AAAAAGTTTCAAGCTTTAGGGAACAGTCGTTTAAAGCAAAAGGAGGGGCCTGAAATCTCTCCCCATGCCAATGATTATGATTAGTGAATTTGTTTGATGGGTTCGTTCCCACAAATATTTCACAGCCTCAAATTTGTTTTGGTGGTGTAATCATCATGGCATGGCCGCGGTCTTGTAGCATAATAATAACATCCGTTTATAATTAAATAATGTGCATAATATACAACTCACCCTCAGTCCCTTCGTTTATAAGTTTTTCTTTTTTGTCAAACTCAAGTGTTTTAGTCGGCATTTATGACTATATGCAACAAATTAAAGTTTTGTTTTCACATGGATTGGCTAGATTCTCATATAACACCGGATTTAAAACTTGTAATCATGATCTTGGTTGAATATATATATATATATATATAGTTCATACGTAGGTTGATACTAAAAAAGTATTTACAGAATAATTACATACACTAAGGCAAAACCCTAAAACTTTCTTACATTATATATGGAGAATATAAAGATTATGGGTGAATATACCCTGAATTCGTTTGAAGAAAAGAACCTCTCTTTATATATATATATATATATATATATATATATATATATATATTTTTGTATGACATAATCTTATATATATATATATATATTTGTTAATGTCATAATTTCATAATGAGATAATTAATTAATGTTTAGAAATCCAAAGAGTATGGTATGGTGCCAAATAAAGCAATGGAGGAGGATTTGGCATTTCTTACGTTTATTGTTGGATAGTGTTTTTGTTTTGTTTTGTTTTTTCGTTGGGTGGATTACTTTAGGGCAAAGAGAAAAGAGAGAGGCCATTGACATTCGTGAGACGTTAACGTCAATGATATTCCTCATGTCTGTAATAATAATGAAACGTTGCAAACCCAAGGCGTCGGTCATTGTCGAAATCATGCATCGATATCTTTGTCTTTGTGTTCGGTCTTCGGTCTCAGTCTCAGTCCTCTTCGAACGCAGTCATCATCTGCTTCAGCAGATGTTTTGATCGATGGATTGGACATCCTAGTTGACCTATGCCCACGTGTCGTTTTTCTAGATAGCTATATATATACGCCTTAATTATATCCATGTTTTGACCGATAATAACGTCCACACCCTCGATGATAAGCATAGGTAATATAATAGGTTAACTAAGTTAAAGCCTGTTCATGTAACATGTTTGTATTATCGTGTGCGTATATATATTTGCATACTTTTTTTTCTGATTTTATCAAAAATAAAAATGTGTTTTAGTTAACGCTGTTAATGATTTGTATTTTTTTTTATTAAAGTGTGAGTATATATATATCAACCATGTGTTGATAAGACAAATCTAAAATATTATTTTTTGATGACCTGTCTAGAAACTAATATAAAGAAGAATCTACAACTTCTAATAGAATTTGAAACCCTAAAAAACAAGAAAATGGGATTTCTAAAAGAATTAAAATTTTAAAATGGATAATTTTCTACTTATCCAAGGTGTAAGCAAGCCCATTTGGGATATATGGGCTTATAACTAATGGTTCGGCCCAATATCTGTCTTGACAAACCTTGGGATATCCCTACTTTGTATAATATTTTTTTCTATTTACGTGCTCACAAGTTTTTTTTTTTTTTTTTTTTTTTAGACGGGTATATATATTTGTGTTGGTCTTAATGGTTACAGACTCTGTAGCATCAAGCAAAATGTGTTTTTTTTCACTTTCAAATTCAATTGAAGTTTGACTTTTTGTAGTTCTCTTTTAAAAAAAATAATGGTGAGAACGGATTTACACGCTGGCAGGAAAATAAATAATTTATTGCCACAAAATGAAATAAATAAAAGGCGAAAAATGCGGAATCCTCCACTCCTCCGCACCCAAGAGTTGACCAATTGAGCTAATCGTAACTATTATTATTATTATTATTAAAATTGTCTCAAGCACATAGGTCCATATATAAAGATGCGAATAAGATACAAATCAATCACAGCATAAACTCGTTTGAAGTTCTTATTAAAACATAAGTCTTTTTTCTATATAGTTCGAAGTGCTTCAACGATGTCTGGACACAGGCAAGTTCTTGCGTTTCTCCCTCTTTTCACATACACACACACACACACACACGTATTTTTGTGACTTTTTAAAAAAAATTCTAATCGGATATATTTCCTCTTAATTTCCATTTTCTTTTGCAATGTATATCTCTTTTTATTTTTTTTTCAATCTTTAATAATTGGTTTTCCAAAATATCACATTTCCTTTAGGAATTCTTCTAAATGTTGTATGTGTTTCTTTAAAAAAATTTGTTTATAGATATTGTATCTACGCTTAACAGTTTTTCCATTTCAAATAGCAGCACACACAGATCCTAATCGCAGCATAAACTCATTTGTAGTTCTTATTAATTAAGACATAAGTCTTTTCATCTCTCCTTTGTGCTTCAACGATGTCCGGACACAGGCATGTTATTAGTCCCTCTCGTTATCAATGTCTCGTTCATCTAGTTCTAGATCTCTCTCTCTCTATTTACATACATATATGTACGTATTTCCATGTTTTGATATGTTTTCCGCATGCAGGTTGGAGGGCAAAATCGCAATTATTACCGGCGGAGCGAGCGGCATAGGAGCCGAGGCCGCCAGACTGTTCGCTGGACACGGCGCTCGGGTCGTGATCGTGGATGTCCAAGACAAGTTGGGACGAAAAGTCGCCGTCTCCATAGGAGAAGACCGAGCCACTTACTACCGTTGTGATGTAACGGACGAGGCGCAGGTCGAAAACGCCGTCAAGTTCACCGTCGACAAATACGGACGGCTCGACATTCTCTTTAGTAACGCCGGTATCATGGAACAGTTCGGGAGCATCCTTGACCTGAACCTCGCCCATCTCGACAGGACCATGGCCGTCAATCTCCGTGGCTCGACCGCCTTCATCAAGCACGCGGCCCGTGCCATGGTGGCGAGCGGAATCCGTGGCTCGATCGTCTGCACGACGAGCGTGGCAGCCGAGATAGCAGGAGCGGGACCGCATGCGTACACGGCGTCGAAGCACGCGCTCGTGGGTCTGGTCAAGTCGGCTTGCGGCGAGCTGGGAAGGCACGGAATCAGGGTTAACGGCGTCGCGCCGTTCGGGGTGGCCACCGGAATAACTAGCGATGGTACGGCCGAAGGCGACAAGAATGTGGAGGGCTTGATCGCCGCGTCGGGGAACCTGAAGGGCGTTGTGCTGAAGACTCGCGACGTGGCGGAGGCAGCGCTTTTCCTGGCTTCCGACGAGTCGGTTTACATTAGTGGCCAGAACCTCGTCATTGACGGCGGTTACTCGGTGGTCAAGCAACTTCCATCCGCCTAATAAAAACCTATCTCTTTTTCCCTTTTTCCAGATAAATAAATTATAAGGTCCGATGACTGTCCAATAAAATTTCGTTATCCTATTGTGTAAGATCTTAACCAAGCCCATCTCCAACCAGTTTTTATCATAAACGAGCGTATTCGTTTTGCCCATAATATTTTAAGGATGACCCATAACCGCAAAACCCCCAACCGACTAAATGTAATAGACGTGACACGGAAATAAAAAAAAGACGTGACACACATTATTGTTATACATGGTACATTATATTGGTCCGTTGTATGAGAGAAGAGATGATTAAATTCTCGAATATAAAAACTCGTAACGAGTTTCCTTGTAATATCCTTCGGATCTGGTGTATGTGAGGTGCAAAATATTTATGTGTAACATTTGATAGACATGTAAAAAAAAGTTTCGACTCTTTTGCAACATGGGCTACTATTGCAAACATGATTGATGAGACGGTCAAAGGCCTCGAGCCATTAAAACCCCGGCAAATTCACATGCACTCCCATAAAAAAAAAAAACTTTCCGCACATAAATAGATGCGTGAATAAGATCAGATCGTGCACCAGACCCACATTATAACTTTGTCTTCTTGTCTCTCCTGCTAAGCGCCTCAACGATGTCGGCACGCAGGCAATTTCCCGTCCCCTCCCTTGCATATACATGGATATTCACACATATAAATATAAATATGTATGCATATATAGGTGTAATACATATGTGTTATAATGTCGCGCAGGCTTGAGGGCAAAATCGTAATAATCACCGGCGGAGCGAGCGGGATAGGCGCCGAGGCGGCAAGGCTGTTCGCGGAGCATGGAGCTCGGGTCGTGGTCGTCGACGTACAGGATGAACTTGGCCGAGAGCTGGCCGTCTCGATCGGAGAAGACCGAGCCACTTACTACCACTGCGACGTCAGAGACGAGACTCAGGTCGAAAACGCCGTTAACTTCACCGTCCAAAAGCACGGCAAGCTCGACGTCCTTTTCAGCAATGCCGGCGTCATCGAGTCTCCGGTGAGCATCCTCGACTTAAACCTCGACGATCTTGACAGGACCATTGCCGTCAACCTCCGCGGCTCGGCCGCAACCATTAAGCACGCGGCTCGCGCCATGGTTGCGATGGGCACTCGCGGCTCGATCGTTTGCACGACGAGCGTCGCGGCCGAGATCGGGGGAACGGGCCCGCATGGCTACACCGCGTCGAAGCACGCGCTTCTCGGGCTGGTGAAGTCGGCGTCGGGAGAGTTGGGGAAGCACGGGATCAGAGTTAACGGCGTCGCGCCGTACGGAGTGGCAACGCCGTTAGTTTGTAACGCCTTCGGGTTGGAGCCGGAGCAGGTGGAAGAGAACAGCTGCGCGTCGGCGAATCTAAAGGGCGTGGTGTTGAAGGCACGCCACGTGGCGGAGGCAGCTTTGTTTCTGGCCTCCGACGAGTCTGTTTACGTCAGTGGCCACAACTTGGCAATCGACGGCGGTTTTATAGCCGTCAAACAGTAGCTCCGCCGCCGTACAGAACCAAATAAAAAGTTTTTTTTTAGGAACTTTTTATATTATATTTTAATATGAGGGTTTTGATTTTTATATGATATATAAAAATATAATTTTATAAGAGTCGATAACTTGGGTGCAAGAGGGGGCTTTCCCATGTGCATTTTCTTGGAACGTGAGATGTTGTATTCTTCCATGGAAACATCCATATATACAGCGATAATCTAAACAATTCTTAACGTTGATGAATTAACAGATCGTTCTGATGTTATGAGCTTTTTGGGCTTGTCGGAAACACAGAATCCAACCCAAGATTTACGTTATAGATATCGGTCCATCCATTTCCATCTAAAAGTCAAATTTACACGAGAAACCAAACGGTCAAAACTGCTGGTCTCACATATAAAATGACCAACAGATTCGAAAAGTTGTCTCGATCTTTTAACTCCGTCGACCCCGATTAGGAATTTGTAATTTGAATATTGATCAAATATGGCATTGATTCTTTACTCGTACGATTTCATCTGCTTCGCCATCGTTGCAGCGGCCGTGGCGGCATCCTTGTGGCTTCTGTTGGTTAAAGAAGGGTCCGACAAAGGCGTGGACGGTCCAACAGTCGAGAGCTTGTTGGTAGGTAGAGAGGAGAACGAGGTGGTCGGGTTCAGACATGACGGGGGTGAAACTCAGGTGGGTTCGGCTCGGCTATGGACCAGCTGCTGGAGAGGAATGCATCCTGTCTGGCTTCTGGCCACTCGTTCTGTTTCCTTTCTTGTCCTGACGGCTCTATTGACGTGGGACGTCATGGAATGGGGCTCAAGCATCTTCGTCTATTACACCGAGTAATCCATTTTCATTTTACAGATTTCTATTAAAAATCTTCCACCCGATTATCGGCTTATTGTTTGAGTTTGATCGTATACAGATGGACGTTCGCATTGGTCATGATCTACTTCGCGGTATGTAAAGGCAGACAATCTTCTAGGTTAAGTACCTGTTCTGTCCCGTTCGTAAACAGAAACATATACTGAATTGGTCTGTTATATAGATGGGGATCATTGCTTCTGCTTATGGCTGCTTCAAGTCCTCTGATTTCAACATGGAGCATCGACAAAGATTAAGCATTTGGGGGTACCTCATGCAGGCGGTCTACCAGGTTAGTGAAATCCAATGTTCATGACATACCAAAGTCATGTCTCTCCTATGGAGACTGAGATTCAGAATCTGATTTCTCTTTCGGGTTCTGACACAGACATGTGGTGGAGCCGTCGTGCTCACAGATATCGTGTTCTGGTTAGTCATTGTCCCGTTTCTGTCGAACTCTCACCTCGGTCTTAACCTGGTACGATGGTTACAACTTCGATTTCTTTTTTGACTCACTAGTCAGATCCTTTGTCATGGTTTGGTTATCATTGGCAGCTGACGGGTTGCATGCACATTGCAAATTTTGTCCTCCTTTTGTTAGACACTGCTCTCAACAACCTTGTAAGCAGATCACCATAACCATAACTCAGAGAAAATGATGAGCAGAAACTATACATAACTCTCTTGTCCTTGTTTCAGCCGTTTCCTTGGTACCGGATCGCCTATTTCGTGCAGTGGAGCTGTCTCTACGTCGTCTTCCAATGGATCATCCATGCTTGCGGATTCACCTGGTAAGAACCCTAAACCTCTACCACTCTAAATACCTCAAAACTTACGGTCTACTACTCATATGAGGGACCGAGACTCAATTTTCAGGTGGCCATACCCATTTCTCGAGCTTGATAGGCCATGGGCTCCAATATGGTGAGTAGCCCCCATCTTACTTCCCTTAAATCTTCATCTAATTCTCAACTTTCTGCACGTAACCTCAAAAGGATTTATACACAATCCCAGGTACTTGTGCATGACAATCGTCCACATCCCTTGCTATGGAGCTTACGCAGCAATCGTGAGGGCCAAGAACTCTAACCTTCCAAATCTATTCCCCAATGCTTTTGTAAAAAGTTATTGCTAATACCCTATTCTCATAATCATCAAATTCGAGTGGAACAAACATCAACGAATCAAGAAGCAATTCAAACGGGCATAAACTAGACGAATCATAAAGAGCAAAAAAACACAAAGGTATCCATAAAAACCTAGAAATATTCAGTACCAAGGGTGTTCAACATTGGATCCATGACGATGAAATTCTTAAAAAAACACCAAATCAAAAAGCGTCAACGGAATGATAGAGATCTATTCGATACGCGATTTACTCGTCACCGCCATCTTTCTGGTAAACGTAAGTGAGCCCGCACTTACCGCAGTAGTGACGGTCGAAGTGGCTCGCCATGAATGTTCCCGCACCGCAGTTCGGACACTCCTTCCTGAGACGCTGGACCTTGTTGGAGCCATCGACCTTGTAGAACTGGAGGACAGCGAGCTTGACCTTCTTGTGCTTGTGCTTGATCTTCTTGGGCTTGGTGTAGGTCTTCTTCTTCCTCTTTTTGGCGCCACCACGGAGGCGGAGAACGAGGTGGAGCGTCGACTCCTTCTGGATGTTGTAGTCTGCGAGGGTGCGGCCGTCCTCCAACTGTTTCCCGGCGAAAATCAGCCGCTGCTGGTCCGGCGGGATCCCTTCCTTGTCCTGGATCTTAGCCTTGACATTGTCGATGGTGTCGGAGGACTCGACTTCAAGGGTTATGGTCTTCCCCGTTAGTGTTTTCACGAAGATCTGCATCTTTGCAGGTGCACTTGCGCCTAGCGGCAATGGCTATTGCACTTCTGTCTGGAGGTGAATAAAAAGGTGGGGATGCTAGGGTTTTGATTCTTGAAGGAGTAATGCTAATTAAATTACGTAACTATCCCTGGGCTTCCTTATTATTTACTTTGGGCCTTAGAATGACCTTCATGTTTTTTGGGTTTCACAACCTCATCATGAAATAGGGTTTGGTTCAGGCCCATCTATATTTACACACGTGCGTCAAAAGAGAGGAGATTAGAGAAATGATGTTATACCAAGGGTACATTTGAAACACTTCTACTATTTGCCCAAAGTACAAATAAAAGGCAAAGGCAATTCAAGGGTATTCTGGACATTTGAAATACTTCTAATTTTTCTGATGTACCGATAAAAGAAAAAATAGCGTGTAGTTCTACAATTCACCCCGCAAGAACCCTAGATCTCCTTTGTCATCTCTGATTCTCGCGAAAAGGGAGTTTTCCGTCGGAGACGAAAAGTCATGGATGATAGCTGTGCCGTTTGTGCGGAAAATCTAGAATGGGTTGCGTACGGATCTTGCGGTCACCGGGAGGTTTGCTCCACATGCGTCGTTCGTCTCCGATTCATCTGCGGCGATCGCCGCTGCTGTATCTGCAAGACCGAGTCCCCCATCATCTTCGTCACCAAGGTTTGTGTTTTTGGAGTTTGGCCTTCAGTTATTCTGCCTATTGTTTGCTCCCCCGAACCGATCGTTCCCTTGATCTATTCGTTCTGATTTTGAATTCAACCGTACGCTTTGATTCGTGCTTCTGTTAGGTGAATGACGGGGATGTAGACAATATGACACCTTTTGTTTGGAGAAATCTGTAGTTCTGCTTAGAATTTGCGATTACAAAATTTGTTGATAAATTGAAATCTCTAATTTTGGTTGGAATTGCGGAATCTCATTTAAATTGTTACTAGAATGGTTAATACCACGTTCCAGGAATTTTCCGTTATTCAGATAATAATGCTCTTTTCGTTATTGCAGGCTTTGGGTGATTATACTCGGACTATCAATGACTTTTCCACCTTTCCATCAGAGCCAAGGGAAGGTCGGGTAGGATCTTTCTGGTATCATGAAGACACTCAAGCTTTCTTTGACGACTTGGACCAGTACAGGATGATCAAGGCAATGTGCAGACTCTCTTGCAGTGTTTGCGATAAGACGGAGGGCCAGTCAAAGGAAGGGCCGAAGCACCGGACACGGTTTAAGGGTGTCGAACAGTTGAAGGGTCATTTATACCATCGGCACAAACTGCATATGTGCAGTTTATGTCTTGAAGGACGGAAGGTGGAGCCTCTGAATCTATGGTTCATTGCTTTTTTTTGTTGCAATTTTCGGATGTTCTCTGATCATTTGTTATCGCTTGAAACAAGCCTCTCACAGTTGATCATTCTGCAATAGATTTTGTGTTTTTACTTTAACGATATATTCTCTGAATGATAGGTATTTATCTGTGAACAAAAGCTGTACACTAGAGCACAGCTGAACCAACACATAAGTACTGGGGACTCCGAAGTTGATGGAAATGAGAGTGAAAGAGGAGGCTTCACTGGTCATCCTATGTGTGAATTCTGTAGGAATCCCTTTTATGGTGATAATGAACTATATACACACATGTCTACGGAGCATTATGCATGCCATATATGCCAAAGGTTATGCAAAGTATAGTTCTCAAATATTCTTTTATTGCGCCATAGACGAATGCCTAAAATAATTCTGTTTGCTTCGATTTGCAATGCAGGGTGCATCCAGGACAATACGAATACTACAAAAACTATGATGACTTGGAGGTGAGATAACCCATCTTCATTATGTCTTGCCATCAGAGTAAAAAATAATCCGTATGCTGAATTGTGGATGCATGTGTTGTGTTCTGACAGCTATCTGTTAATGTTTTTCATTTGTTTTACCAGATGCACTTCCGCAGGGATCATTTCCTATGTGAGGATGAATCATGCCTCGAAAAGAAGTTTGTAGTCTTCCAAAATGAAGCGGAATTTAAAGTAAGTGTTTGTAGGTTTCTTACTGTTTGTTATGTCCTGCTGTATGTGATGCAGTGATGTTTGTTTCACCTATTATCTTTCCATGTTTTCCTACTTAATGTTTTCTTCTTCTCATGTTTTGTTCTCAGAGGCATAATACCATTGAGCATGGTGGCAGAATGTCCCGATCTCAGAGAAGTGCTGCACTACAGGTTTGTACTGTCTTTTTCAGAATTTGCTGTTGTCAGTTACATTTTTGCATGGCCATTTTATATTTCTCTTTATCTTTGCTTCCCGATTTTTTATGTTTGGTTCTGATCCAGATACCAACTAGCTTTCGATATCGCCGAGGAAGTGAACAAGATAATCGTCGTGGAAGGGGACGATCGTTTCGTCGTGAGCCGGCTGATGATGATGAAGGACTTATTGCAGCCATTCAGGCAAGCATGGGGACTGCCAGAGCTGAGAGTGCAAGGTTAGAACCACCTGCAGCAGCATCTAGTGCTCCTGATTACCCCGGGAATTCAGCCACCGATGATGTTGATCCTCTCATTCAGCCTTTTGAATCTTTATCAACAACTGATTCGGAACCATCTTCACGGTACCGTCAAGCTCTGGGGAGCTCGGGTGGTGTACCTCTTGGGGAATCTTCATTTCCTCCTCTCTCTATGCAAGCGAGTAGTGGTCAAGCAAGACCTGGACAGAACTTAGAGGGCTCGTCCAATAACAGCTTGGCTGCTCGCCTGAGACGCCAAACGAATAGAAGGACAAGTGCTAGTCCTTCTCCGGCTTGGCCGGCAGTAAATCGTGGCCCAGCTCCACAAACATCTATCACAAACACCGAGAATTCTACTGCTGCATGGCCTGCAGTAGGTCGAGGGCCTGTACAATCTTCTAGTGGTTTGACCCCATCTCGGCCCCCTGCAAACCCCACAACGTCTCGAAATCTTGCTTCAATTTCACGGGATGCCGGTAATGGACACATGGCAGTTGGTGGAAACTCATCGGGTTCTTCCCGAGATTCAGGCAATGTCAATAGGATTCCCCACTCCTCCTCGGCCCCTAATCTTTCTGATACAAGATCGCTGGACCCTTCTGATTTCGATTTCCCTCCGGTCTCTGCTACTGTGCATAACCGCAAGTCACCAGCCAATTCACAACAGGGATCGAATTCCAAAGCACCATCTAGTGTCAATGATATACAGACTGCGAACAAGTCTTTGGTTGAAAAAATACGTGCTGGCCTCGGTAACGATGAAGACCTATACGTGGCATTCAAGGATATATCGGGACGGTATCGTCAAGGTCTGGTCGACTCAAGGACTTACTTGGAGTATGTGAAGGGTTATGGATTGTCTCATTTAGTTCTTGATTTGGCTAGATTATGCCCTGACCCTCAGAAGCAGAAGGAGCTCATTGATACCCACAATTCCATTCTGAGAGGAGATGAACTGCTGCAGGATAACGGCTCGGCTTCACAGAGCAGTTCCCAGCCAAAAGACGGTGGTAATTCAAAGAAAGGTAAAGGGAAAGCTGTTATGAAGGTTGAAAGCAGCAGCAGCAACTCAAGGGATGTATTAGCTGATAACTTTATGGACACAGTCAGGAGGTTGCAATCTTCTTACAAGCCTCAGGATGAAGATGGAGAGCCGATATCGAAAGACAAGGATGGATATCGCTCGGGGAAAGGCAAATCTAAAGTAACAATGGATGATCAAACTCTGCCAAAACCTGAAACCCGGAAAGATTCTTCATCGATGGACGGGGGTGGTGGTGGCAACACGAGCAAACAACGTAAGAAGACGTCAAAGTTTCACAGAGTACGTCTGGGTGACGGATCAATGGCTGCATTACTCGATCGGAGGAATTCTGATCCAGAGCCAGAACCAGAATCCAAGGATAGTGACCCTAACAGTGGCCAGAACCCAACTGGTGGGTTGCCCGTTCGTGGAGTTTGGCGGAAAGGAGGAGGTTCAAAGCTCTTCTCCTAGTGACATTCTCTTGAGATATTTTTTGCCTTTCCCAGACGAATTATCGGTACGTATCTTTACTCTTACGCCAATGGTGATGACGACGACGGCGATCCAGTTTAGCTGTATGTATCATCTCATTGACGAGACAGTGATGAAGAGAGTCATGTGTGCAAAATACTGAATAGTTACCGGGTGATGGCCCCATGTTTTGATTGGGTGAATTGCCAGTCCATGAACTGCAGCACCGCCATGGCTGCTTATTTTTATGATGTGGACTGTCGTATCTTTGCCTTGTTTTCAAACCTTTTTTTTGGGTTATTTGACTGATTTGGACGAAGTTGTAATGGAAAAAGATTTTGGTTATGGTTATACAATACAGTTGCAGATGCGTAACTACAGATTTACATTCAAAGCTTACAGATGAAGCAGTATCAAGCTTTTTTTTTTTAAAATAGAGAAGGTTTCTGATGAAGAAGCGAGCTTATGTCCCCAAGTGCAGTAAATACAAACATTAAGGGCACATCATATATAATAAGATTCAATTCAACCGAAGGTTTTCTCGCTGCTGTAGCAAATGTAAAGGAAGCCATCGTCGTCTTTGTAGGATTCGAACACAGAGTCCATTAAAGCAGCTGCGGATCAATGAACAATGCGTAATTCACAAACGAAGCTCGTCAAGAGGGAGGCATTGAGAGAAATGGGTGGCGAAACACAAATGTGTAAGAAGCCAAAGACTCACCGGTTTGAGGCAGAGTGTTGTTGACGAAGACGAATAGGGCTTTGCCGGGAGGCAAGTGCAGCCTCGCGCTCAGAATGTATATGAATTGTCCAATCGACATGTCTCTCGGAACCAGAAACCTATTATCACATATAATCATATCGTCTTTACGAAGTTCTCTCTCGAGCACATGAAAGATATTCACAACATTGACTGATCCCCCGAGATTTATCAGTTATCTACCCTTTAACTTGCATGAACATGCTCCAATTCATGGCACACACTTACAGATGACCCATCACTCAACACCACATCAAAATCGGAAGGAACAACGATGTACAAGACCGTTTTGAAATGTTCTGATGCATATCTTCACACTATTCATCAGCATTGGTGCATAAAAATGACAGAACAGTATGCTAATCAGCAATTACGGCCAAGAACTTCACATGACAATAAGATGATTAAGAAATGCTAGGTACTAAGTTTCAAGTTCATCTTAGTCCGAAAAATGGATCACTGGTAAGTCCTCATGATGAAACTTACTTTTTCTTCTCAATCTCAGGCAGATCAGTTTTGGAATACTTCTCAGCAATTACCTGCCAGAACATTCAACGCATCCAAAACTTCAGATTCCAACATAGCTCCATGTTTACATGTTCAGTGGATGAATTGGTCAGACAAAACAAAAGAAGAATAAATAAAAAATCCTGGTCACAAATCATCCATCCACTGCATTCACAGCCACACGAGGTTTTAGCACAGATTAAGCAACAAAATAAAACTTCATTTCAGCAGCAATCGGAGCAAAGGTTGAGAAAAGTGAAAGCGAACCGGGGGAACCGGACTTACTGGAACACGAGTAGGATACTTTGCGATGATCTCCCGCGATTCGGCGAGCCTTTCATCTGAGAACAAGAGATGAAATCACCGGTTTCCTTTCGTTCGATTGAAACAAAATCGAGGGAAAATTGGATCGCAGAAGGAAAAATGAGCACGAACCGAACGAGAACTCTTCCTTGAAAGCCTTCATCTTCCCCGCCGGAGATTGCCTCTTTCGTTTGCTGTTTCTCTCCCACACGAAAATATAATTTACCCCAACTTTGTTTCATCAATCCAATTAATTAATTCATAGACACCGAGTTTCTAATAAAGGTCGCGTGTTCGACCCAAACTTTCACATCACTTTTCTCTTTTTAGTTTTCCCTTAATTTTCCTGTGAATGTTGTTGGTCAAATATATTTACAATATTTAAGATTCCGTCAAATGAAATCTCTTTTATCGTCATTAAAAATATGATTTTTTTTTCATCTAAAATTTTACTCCCTCCGTTTCAAATTAGTTTATTTTTAACTTTTATTTTTACAAATTAAAAAAAATAAAAAAATCATAAAAAAATCATCTATACCCTTATTTAATATAAAGAAAATGATGTTTTCTTAAATATTTAGTAGCTTTTATTAAAGATAAAATTATAATTTTTTTAAAAAAATATTATTTAAAAAAACTATAATAACAACCTAGAAAAAATAGTCTAAAACGTCAACTAATTTAAAATAGAGGGAGTATATTTTTGTGTTGGAAATTTTTGGACCAGAAACTTCAAAGACTAATAATACTACAAAACCCAATTAAAGAGTAATTATAAGAATATTACATGCGGTGTCACCCTGAGACCTGATGAATGGTGGAATTCATCACACCAACCCCACGCACGCCTTGCACGTGCTAAGTGGGTGGTCGTTTTAATCACTTTTAATAATAATAAATGTGAGTGGTTTTCTTCAAGCCGGTAAACCGGTGGGGGTTGGCGAGTGACCGGTAGTCCCCGTTAATCCAGGAAACAAAAAGACTCGCAATTTAATTTAATATCGGATATATAAAATCGAATATATATAATCATATTAAAATTGATAATTTTTATAAAACAGAAAAAATGGATAAAAAAACGAATATAAAATAATAATAAAATAATTTTTAAATAATAAATATTTTATTAGTAAAATTAAATGTAAATCAAATTTAATATAAAAAAGAATGGAAATATAACTTTTTTAGAAAATGAATCCATAATCAGAATTGAGTTTGAATTGAAAATATTCAACCGGTTCATCCGGTAAGCAGGTCTACAGAGACGGCCTTCTATAAGAACAAGGCGTTGTGGAGCGTCAAGGGCCGCGATCCAGTGCCTCGGTGTCGGCTGCTTCTGTTCCTTTCAGGTTTCCTCGCCATCTCTCTCTCTCTCTCAATTTGATTTGGATATTGGTCAGATCTGTGCTGGTGTTTTTTGCTATTTGGTTTCTGGAGTTCGAGAGAGATTTAAGCCCGCAATTCGATTGGGTTTTTTTTTTTGCTGTGTAGTTGTTTTGTTTTAACGTTGTTTTCGGTTTAGGCGTTCACCTCGAATCTGTATTGCGACCATTTTCCGGCGAATCTGCGTCAAAGGTGCTGGCATTTTGAATGATTTAGTTCAGGTTTCCGATTAGGTTTCAGTCGTTGCGAATACTTGTTACGTCTAATCCAGATCTGTCTTATGCTTTTTCCCGCTCATTCCCTTTGGTTTACCATATGTCCTTTGATCCATTTCAGCGATTCTTAGAGTTGATCGTTCTTTGACCGAGATAGTTCCATTATATTTATTTCGACTAATCTGGTATATGTCTGGATTGAAAAAATTACTCTCTCTGTCATGTCTTGGGATTTTTTTCCTTTTGTTTCTTTCACCTTTACGCTACTATGGGAATGGAATCTTTGTGGCCTTTTATCGTCCGAGGCAACGAGACTGTACTTCACTCGCATTATTGTTGACAATTCCTGTTTTGGGTTTGTTCCTTTTGTGACTTGTTGTAGCTCGTAAGACATGGAGACTTTTCTATTCACATCCGAGTCTGTGAACGAAGGGCACCCCGACAAGCTGTGTGACCAGATATCTGATGCTGTTCTTGACGCCTGCCTCGAGCAAGACCCTGACAGCAAAGTTGCATGTGAAACTTGCACAAAGACCAACATGGTCATGGTCTTCGGAGAAATCACTACCAAGGCCAAGGTGGACTACGAGAAGATAGTCCGCGACACATGCCGCAACATCGGATTTGTCTCTGACGATGTGGGTCTTGACGCTGACAACTGCAAGGTGCTTGTCAACATTGAGGAGCAGAGCCCTGACATTGCTCAGGGTGTCCATGGTCATTTCACCAAGCGCCCTGAAGAGATCGGAGCCGGGGACCAGGGTCACATGTTCGGCTATGCCACCGACGAGACCCCTGAGTACATGCCCTTGAGCCATGTGCTCGCCACAAAGCTTGGTGCCCGACTCACCGAGGTGAGGAAAAACGGGACTTGCCCTTGGGTGAGACCTGATGGAAAGACTCAGGTGACAGTTGAGTACCACAATGAAAACGGCGCCATGGTCCCTATCCGTGTCCACACGGTCCTCATCTCCACCCAGCACGATGAGACCGTTACAAACGATGAAATCGCTCGTGATCTCAAGGAGCATGTGATCAAGCCTGTCATCCCCGAGAAGTACCTCGACGAGAAAACCATCTTCCACCTTAACCCATCTGGCCGGTTTGTCATCGGTGGACCCCACGGTGATGCTGGTCTGACCGGACGCAAGATCATCATCGACACGTACGGTGGGTGGGGAGCCCACGGCGGTGGTGCCTTCTCGGGCAAGGACCCGTCCAAGGTGGACAGAAGCGGTGCTTACATAGTCAGGCAGGCTGCCAAGAGCATTGTAGCCAACGGGCTTGCGCGCAGGGCGCTGGTTCAGGTCTCATACGCCATCGGTGTGCCCGAGCCCTTGTCGGTATTTGTCGACACCTATGGAACCGGTAAGATCTCGGACAAGGAGATCCTCAAGATTGTGAAGGAGAACTTTGACTTCAGGCCGGGGATGATCTCCATTAACCTCGACCTCAAGAGAGGCGGCAGTGGCAGGTTCTTGAAGACAGCGGCTTACGGGCATTTCGGGCGGGAGGACCCTGACTTCACCTGGGAGGTGGTCAAGCCGCTCAAGTCGGAGAAGCCTCAATCTTAAAAATACCCATTTGGACAACTGTTCTCTCGAAGTGGTTTGTGTCTCTCACTCATTCCTATTCTGATGTTTTAAAACTCTCTCCGTTCTCTTTTGGTCCGGTTTGGTTCTTTTTTATATATACAATGTCGTAATGTACTAATAATGGTAATGAGCTTCTGGCTTAAGTCTCTCTTTTCTTTATTCCAATGAAACTGGTTGTTATTTCAAAAACTTGGGGAATTCATTCGTAAAACTTTTTCCAACTCTGAGTGTCGTGTACGTTATTACCTAAGAGCTGCCTCCTGTCTCTGTCTTCTCTCAATCACAATGGATAGACGCAGACTCCAAACGCTGCAAGAAGGAACATGCCCAAAAAAAAGAAACTGGTCATCGTCCAACCCAAACTCCATTTCTTTTTTCGGATGGAATCGGATCGGGATTAGAGATAGGGAGATCGAAGAAAGCGATCTTACAGGGGTCTTGAGTCACGGCAATGCCGGTGCCATTGAAGTGGCAGTCCCAAGTGTGTTTCCCGGCCGATTTGAAGAAGAGGTTCATAGCGTAAGAAGCGTGAGAAACGGCAGTGTTCGGATGGTAACAAGTGCCGCCTGGCTGGATGGCTCTGCAGCTAACTCCTCTCTGGGCGCAGCTATAGTCAATGTTCTTCAACAGCCTCTCGTTGTCCGAAGCTGGCTTCGCTATGCACCACCTGTCCGTACCTCTGTTCGCCTGTCTCCATAATGATTGCACACCTCGATACTCAGGGCAAAAGGGTAAATGTATATATGTACGTACACACGCGAATGTAATTGTAGGAGGATCGTATTCACCTTGCTGCCTTCATCTCTTGCACAAGAACCTGGTGCTACCCCTGCATGTCATTGTTACACAAAAGACAACATTAGAGCAGAGAGAGAGAGAGAGATGGGAACATGACAAAAACACACACACAAAAAAAAAACATCGACCGAACCAAGAAAACAGAAGAGAAACGCGAAACCCAGAAGGAGAACGAGTTCCAACTGTCGCTTTGATCCCTTCATTCCTGCGTTTTTTTTGGTGAAATGAAAGGTACTGATGGGTTTCAAAGAGATTTTACCAGACAACATAAAGGTTATGTTCCCCCTTTATAAAGTAGCATCCGGCAAATCGCGAGGGTAAAAGGGTCATTCAAGGTGACTAACTCCCTCAATCATGTCGCCCCCATGTTTCAACCTTCTCCTGAACAGAACATGCAACACTCCTGTTCTGCAATTTGTCAATCATGCGATTCAAACCAATCTCCACATTTTTACTGTTTCCCCACAAGAAAATTTTAAAAAATTACGCAATGTTTCCGAAAGTTATTGTACTCTAATTTTTAATAGATAAACCAACAGAAAATGGAGTAGATATTCACATTTTAATAAGATTTATTTCGTTGCTATTTTTTTTTTTTACTGTGATAGGTTTGTTGCAAAGATCGTGACAATTACAGAGAGGGAAAATGATACTATGCTTCGACAACTGATCCTATGCTTCGCATACCACCATGATACCGTGCACCGAGAAAAAGAATAAAACGCGGTGGTGGTGTACGATAAGCGCCGTGGGTAAAAAAAAAAAAAAGGAGAATAATTCACTGTTGTGGACCCCATTGGGTCAAAGGTGGCCATAATGATCTGGGCTTTACTTCTACATATTCAAGGCCCAATATATTTGTGTTGTCCAATATGTTACATTTTATAATTGGATTTTAATATAAAATATGATAATATGAATTTTTTTTTTGGTATAAATGATAATATGAAATTTCGAATACTATATGGCGAACCCATAATAATGACGCAATATCTTTTTTTTGCATCATACATTGGTGCAATTGGTTTTAATGGTGTGTTGTATAATAATACTTGTAAGGTTATTTTTTTAAAAAAAAAACTTGATTACTTAGGGGATCGAATAAGAATATATCAACGTATAACAAAATTGAACGTACTATTTCGCTATTAGTGTATAAATATTACCAACCGGTGCCAAAAATTCGCCTAAATAATATACATTGACTAATTGAAAATGTCCAAAGAGACCATTTGATTCCTTTGAACACGACCAGATTCACATGACCTCAAAAGACTGAGTCTCTATACATACATATATATATATATATATATTAGACTATTTATTGTTACAAAAAAGACTATGAGAAATATAACAAATATAACAGTTGACACTTTTTTTCCCAAAACTAAAATTACAATATAAAAACTAGGAGGAAATCTTATAAAATTGAATTTTCGATCTTGGGAAATCTATGTAAACAGATATTTTCTTTTACCAGTTTCAGTCACGTAACTTGTAGTTCATTCCCATGAATGTTTTACCCGTAACGGTTGGTCAAACCACATCCATATTATTATTTTTTTAATTATTTAATTCCACTGATTTCATATCAGAAAACTTTAAAACACGGATTGTTTATTTAATCAATACGTAAGATGACGTGGCAATCTGGTTTACGACTTTTCTTCCGTCTCCCATCCAACGGCGTCTAATCGAGTCAAGTCGGGTTTGCTCCACCAAACGTCCAATTTTTATTTTTAATTTCTTTTAATGAACGCTTTTATCGTAACTAGGTGAAGATCCGCGCGTTGCGCGGATTGTTCCGTTTTTTATTATACTTTTTGTTAAAAAAATTGATATAAATATTATAAAAATAATATATATTATATGTTTGATATAGAAAAAATATATATGTAAAATTCTTTGTTTTACAAAAATGTTATATATTATTTGTTTGATAATTATTATAAAATTATCACTATTATTTATATAAGGAATTAAAATAGTGAAAGAATATAATAGTTATTCCACATACATTGCATATTAATAATTTATTTTGGTTGTACTTAATACCCGTTATTATCTTATTCAATCTTTGCTTAAAATTTAATTATAAAATAAAAAGATAAATGATATTTTTAAATATTTGGGGTTTTAAAAAATATCGGTTAAATAGTAATGTATATATAAAAAATTAAAACGTAATTGAAATATATTATCACCAAATGAATCTGTCTACCCTCTTAAATATTAAATAATACAGTTTCATTTTATTTTAAAACTGATTAAATTTATATACATGGCGTTTAACTTTTTAATAATATAAAATTGTACATCTTTATAAATCTTTGTAAATAATTTTGTATTGAACCACATAATTACTAACTCATGTTAATAAATATAATATAATAATGATATATTTTATATATTAATCTATTAAATAATCTAGAGATTCATATATAACTTAATAATTACTGTCGCTAAACTTTAGATTTACACACGCTTATAATAATTCTTCTGACATTCAATCTGTCTATTTATGAACGAATTTTTTATGCAAGATCATTCCATACGGGAATATTTACGATATTGCTAGGTTTTTTTATATCAAAATTATGTGTTAGATTATCAGAAATAAATATTATTTTATTTTTAAAAATATATTAATTGTCACTTAATTAAAATATTGGGAGCTTACTCTTGTAATAATAAAAGGAAAATAATTTTCAAAGTTGATGATACTATTCGTAAATTCGATCGTTCTACACGATCAAAACTACAATAATATATTTGCAATTTAAAAAATGTATTAGTTATAAAATCTTTGTTTATATTTTTTAATTTTTTCTTTTGTAATTTGGTAAGATTGATATATGTTTAATTTTGGTATATTTTATGTTTTTTTTATATATTGTTATATAACAAATTTGTATCACCTTTTATTTTCATAAAATTAGTAGATATTCATTTTTTTTTGAACTATTCAACTTAAATTTAAATTTTATTACATTTAAAAATTTCATTCATTTTTTAAAAACAATAATAATAAATTTATGATTTGAATGATTAAATTTGTCAAAAATTCTCCCACCACTTTATTTTCTCTTACTCCATTTTAAAATCTAATCATTTAGTTTATCATCATATCATAATCTAATGACATTATCTCTATAACTATTTAAGTATTGTAATCCATGATGAAAATTGAGTTGTCTCACCAAAATTTAGATGCCAATGTCAATTTTCATAAAAATATCATTACATTAGTATTTTAAAAAATAACACGTATATAACACATTCATACACATATATCATTCATTCTTCGCTCTTACTGCATCCCCAATCACTGTTGCTGCTCGAGCTTTCGTTGCTCGAGCTTCTGCCGCTCAACGTGCCTGAACGCTCATCGCTGTTGTTCATGAAGAGTCTCTGGCTTGCGATCTCGGTGACGTTTTCAGTGTTTCTGTTTTAGGTTAGCGCAAACTTGTTCATGTTGAGCTCTTCTTTAAACATCTCGTAAGTGGATTTTTTCCCGATAAAAATCTCTAAAACCAGAATCCGAAACTATAGACATCTCCTCTTGTGTCGGGTTTTCCTCCAAATGCATACTCTGTAATGAAATCATCGGATTAAAATGATAACTTGCGAAGCAAGATAACACAGAAAATGTAATAGAAGAATCATATGGATCATCCCTAGAGCAATGTAACCTATGGAGCCTTGGACTCCTATGGTGTTGCTTTCTTCCGATTGGTCAATTTTGTACAGAAACCTCGATAATCCGAAATCTCCGACATGGGCAATGATATTTCTATATTGTCTATATTGTTAAAAAAATAAATCAAACATTTGCATTTTATCTGTGTATATGTGTGAATGCGCTTGAATTTAATTAATAATAGCTTATTAGTGGATATATAGTGATGGTGGGAAATTCAACGTTACATTTAGAATTTAATTTGTAAAACATTTATAAATATAATAATTGACATATTTTTTATTCTATAGAATTTAATAAATCAATGAGTTATAAAATCTGCCACGTCACATATATATATAATATATAAATGTGTTGGAAACTATATTTTTAAAAATAAAAGAATGAACTATATACCATAATTTTATTTAAATTTCGTAGCGGCGCATGATCTCTTGTATATATAGAGAGATACATATATACATACATAATTTATGTTTTTCTTAAATTTTCACATCTATTATTGTATATGTGAAATCATAAAGTTTAGGATAAAAAATTACTATTAAAACATTTTATACTTCGAATATTAGCCACAATCATGTACCAAATTATAAAAGCTATTGAATTATGTCTAGATACACATATATATACACGTATTACGATACAAAATCTACCGGAAAACAACTTAAAATTATGTCTAGTTACAAGTACATAATCGTACGTTACAAAATCCATCTCTATTAATAACAACTTAAAATTATTCATCTCCATTAGTTTCTGATACAAATGTGTATTGAAGATGATATGAAAAATGAGCGACATAAATTTAGAAAGCAGAGACAAACAACGATTTTTTTTTACAAATTTAGCAGTAATAAGTGAAATCACAAAGTAAAATGTGATTAGTGACCAAATCATTCACCTTTGCAATTTGAATATTCGCAAAATCAGGGATTTCTCTCTGCAGAAGAACAACCCAACATTCCTCACGACCTCGAGATCATCATTACTCAGATTCTCTGTCCACGAACTCATGTTTGCCCTGTCGACAATGATGATCGAGTACTGTCCGTCCGGCTGCAGCATCAACACCGCGTGCCCTGTCGACCCCTCCGGTGCGAAGAGCCTCCTCGATCAGCTTCTCGTGCGCGTCGACTCTGAGACGGCCAACGACGAATGTCGGATACCGTAACTTCGGCCCGAACGCTGCCTGGTTTGCGCCTTTTTCCGACGGCGAAGGTCTGTCCTCTCCTCACTGAGATTGTCTTCCTTCTTTGGACAGTCTCTCAATATCTGCGTAGGTGTCACCCCGCCACGATGAGCGGCGGTGCGTGGGCATCACGACCGAGTGGGTTTGTTGATTCACCGACGGATCGGCTGAGAGCGAGAGGTTTTGGAGGGTTTTCCTGGGGATTGGTCGAAGAAACCGAGATCGACGTGGAATCAAATTGTTGTCGGGTCACTTCGTTTGATTTTATTGAACATCTAGATGAAGATTTGTCGATCGAGAGAGTGAAATCGCTTTATTTATACGAAAAGTTTTGACCTTTGAGAGAACATTCCGGTGCCGTTAGAGACACCTAATAGTGGCTAATGAATACTTCTGATCACGTTTTTTTTTATTATTGAGCAAATAAAAGAACGGTCTTGACCGATTTTTTATAAATTTTTAACTCCATTAAGTAATCCACAATAAATTTTATTTACTCCAAAATAATCGTAGACTATTCTCCCGTTTTTTTATCATTGAATTAGTGAATACTTTTAACAACAATAAATTTTAGTATAATTTTATTTCATATTTTAAATATAATAATTTATAGACAATTTTCAGCTAATAAGAGGTTTACAAAAACCAATGACAATTGAGAAAACTATCATCAAAGAGAACGTTTCTTTTGTTTTATATAAAATAGATAAACTTTTTTATTTTTTGTTATAATAATCTACTTACATTTTTTTTTGTATCAAGGTTTTAAAATAGATTTTAAATATAAATATAAGAAAATAAAAAAAACTAAGATCAAAATAAACTTTTATATGTTAAAAGTTAACGTTTTGTCTTTTTAATTATAATAATCTATTGATATTTTCAATTATTATATTTGTCACATATTTTTTATATGTAAAAATTAGTTCACCTTTTTTATATGTAAAAATTAGTGTTAAAATTATTATATATAAATGTGTTAAAATTAATTATAATAATAATTATAATTTTGATTGTGAAAGATGATAAGAATTCGATAAAAATTTTAAAAAATTGCCACATGTTTCGATGACGCTTTAGCATCTTAGTCACAATAGGTTATTTTGCTTTAATTTTCTTTTTAAATGTTTATTCCACTAAATATCATTTATTTATCCATTTACTCTCATTATAATGAAACATGCTCTTCTTCATTGATAGAATAGCAAGCAACTTTTTATTTTTGTAACCGTTCCCTTAATGTGTTTAAGAACATTTTGTTTTTATAATTATAATAATTTATTGGCATTTGTTTTTTATATCATGACCTCAAATAAATTTTAAATATAAGTGTAATCAATTAAATATCTCAATAATATATTAAACTAAAATGAAAATAGATTTTTAATACAATAAATTGAATCATTTTTTATTTAAATATTTATTTACGTTTCAACTCTTTATTTATATAAAATATAATCTATTGTTATTTTTCATGTTTTACATATCTAAAAAAACATCCACATATTTCACATTTCACCTCTTTAAAATTGGTGATAATCTAATAAAAATTAACATAATAATGATTAATGATTATTTTAAATGACCAATAAGAATTTTTTAAATCACCATATAATCTGATTACTCATTTTTGTATTATATGTCACATTGTATTTATTAAAAAAATATGTTTTAATTAATTAAATGACCAATAAAAACAAAAAAGCGCCACATAGATGATGAGGTGGATGCTTAGGTGTCTTCACCACAATCCTTTAAATACTATTATTTATATATATAAATGACCAATAAAAACAAAAAAGTACCATAACTAAGATGCTAGACCGTCTTTTCCATCAATATTAACCAACAGTCTTATATGTCCCTTTGTTCAAATACGTTTCATTGTTCTCTGAGTCCAACAAGAAAAAAATTATTTATTAACCTATTAATGAAAAAAATAGTTACTATTTCCCACTAATCCACTATCCACAATTATTATTAGAATAAATGTGGTAAAAACCGTTACTTTCATTCATTGGTAATTCACTCATACAAAAAAAAACACAATTATTTATATATATAGATTTATATATGAAAAAAACAGAAAGAAATAACAAAATGATAACTTTTTTTTTGTATGAGTGAATTACCAATGAATGAAAGTAACGGTTTTTACCACATTTATTCTAATAAGTTACAAAATCCATCTCTATTAATTATTTTTTTCATTAATAGGTTAATAAATAATTTTTTTCTTGTTGGACTCAGAGAACAATGAAACGTATTTGAACAAAGGGACATATAAGACTGTTGGTTAATATTGATGGAAAAGACGGTCTAGCATCTTAGTTATGGTACGTTTTTTGGTTTAATTTCTTTTTAATTTGTTATTCTATTAAATATCATACAATTTTCTATTTACTCTTTTCAATAACCGTTTTCTTTTTATGTAATAAAAAATTTATTTACTCCGCTATGACTGTTTCTTTTTTTTTTTGTAATAAAGAAGGCCTCCACTTACTCCACAATGATAGTTCCATTTTAAAAAAGATTTTTATTTTTTGAATTATAATAATTTAGTAATATTTTTTTGTTAAAATAAAATCATTAAGATTTAACCATAATAATTTATTAATAGCTTTCTTTGTAAATAGGTTTTTTTAGTATAGATAAGATGAATTTTGTGGTTTTTTGTTATTTTTATTAAAATAAAATCATTAAGATTTAATCATAATAATTTATTAATAGTTTTCTTTGTAAATAGTTTTTTTAAAATAAAGACAAAATGAATTTTTTGGTTTTTTAAGTAAATATTTTATTCACATTTTTATATTTTTATACATTTATAACTTATGACTATTATAAATAATTTTATAATCCAATAAAAATTAAAACAATGCCACATGGATGATGATATGGAAGATGAGGTGGCTTCACCAGAATCCTTTAAACACAATTATTAATATATATAGATTTCCGCGTTTTATTGTCTTCCCTATTTTATCGTACGCGCAAGATCCTTCGCTTATCCTACGCACACTCTTCATCGGTTTTTAGATCTCCAAGAACTCACTCTCTCACTCCACTGATCCCTGCGTTTCTCTTTCGATCGAGGTAAGTTCTTCGATTATTTCGGATTCCTTTCCGTGTTTGACTGCTTTTGCTGTTGGTTTACTGATTGAAATGCCAGTGATTGTTCTCAGTCGATGAACTTTTTGTTGAGTTTTCCCAATTCCCTTTTCGTCGTTGTTTCCGGGATCCTAATCACTGTTCGAAGATTAGCGCCATGTTGAATTTCATATTTGGTCATCCATCGGTCTGATGTTAGATTTGAAATTTGGTATTTGGTTTTAAGCAAGCGTACGCTAGATTTTGGATGCCGATTTTATGTCGTGGTTGGTAACGTTAGTTTCTGTAGATTCTGAGGTGTTTTCGTCGTCCAAAAATTTCTAGAGGAGATGGATATTAGATGTGGCATACAGTAAAGAGTTTTTTTTTTTTTTTTTTTTTTGCATTTTTAGTTCCTTTCCTGTGTAAATTTGCTTGAAGCTTCGTTGTTTCCTCTTAGTTTTCTCTCAAGCGCTCGATTCTAATCGTGTTTTGTGTCCATTGCTTTAGTAATTGCGGGGACAATATTTCTGCTGATAGAACCATGAGCTGCTTCGGCTGTTGCGAGGAAGATGATATGCTTAGAAATGCTGATTATGGAGGCCACAACACAGCTAAACATTCCGGAGGTATTTCAGTAATTTGTTTTATGTTACAGGATAAGTTCTTTTGCACATACGCTTCTTTTGGCCGGGAATTTTGCTTGATTCTTTGCTGGAGGAAGCTGGCAAGTTTGCATTGCTGTTTTCCTAGTTTTTCGATTACATGAATTCTGATTAATCTGCTCATTTAGCTGCTCCACTTTGATATCATCACAGGAAATGATGGAGGACATCGTGCATCTGAAACTGCACAAAAGGAAACACAAGCCGTGAAGGTGCAGCCCATAGAAGTACCTGCTATTCCAGCGGATGAACTGAAGGAAGTTACTGAAGATTATGGATCAAATTCTCTGATTGGCGAAGGCTCATATGGAAGAGTATACTATGGCATACTAAAAAATGGGCAACCTACAGCAATTAAGAAATTAGATTCCAACAAACAACCCGACAATGAATTTCTGGCCCAGGTTTGGTGGCTTTCTGCAAATAATTAGTCATTGTTGAGGAATTATCTCATATGGTATGATTTTGTATCTAACCGGAATGAACTTACAGGTTTCCATGGCATCCAGACTAAAGCACGATAATTTTGTTCAGCTGCTCGGTTACTGTGTTGATGGGAACTCACGTATACTCGCCTATGAATTTGCCAAAAATGGATCTCTTCATGACATTCTTCATGGTACGGCAGAAAGTCACTTGTGGGTGTATTTGTTTTATTTCGTGAAATCATTATCCTAGATATGAAGAGTATGGATTTTGACTGAACAAAGCAATAAAACAAGTTGTTCCCAAAACATGGTTATCTAAATGTCTTCTAATGTATTTGACCGTATCAGTCGATCAATTGATAGATTGTTCTGAGAAGGACACATGGACAAAAGACTAGCTTTTAATTGATCCTGTATTTCTATCTGCGGGCAATGCTTCAACACATTTGTAATGCTCCAGGGAGGAAAGGTGTCAAGGGAGCGCAACCAGGTCCTGTCTTATCATGGCATCAGCGAGTGAAAATTGCTGTTGGAGCTGCAAGAGGACTAGAATATTTGCATGAAAAGGCAGAGCCTCACATCATCCACCGGGACATCAAATCCAGCAACGTTCTAATCTTTGATGATGATGTCGCTAAGATTGCTGACTTTGATCTCTCCAATCAAGCTCCCGATATGGCTGCTCGCCTTCATTCAACCCGTGTTCTTGGAACTTTTGGGTACCATGCCCCTGAGTAAGTTGGCTTCTGGTTCTTGTTGTTGCAACCCAACAATGATAGTACCCACTGTTAAATACGTGTAGTATGTGTTTTCCTTCAGTGTTCATTCTGACAAGACAATCACTTCACTTTTTTCACAGATATGCAATGACAGGACAGTTGAATGCCAAGAGTGATGTATACAGCTTTGGGGTTGTGCTGCTCGAGCTTCTTACTGGTCGGAAACCTGTTGACCATACGTTGCCTCGAGGCCAGCAAAGTTTGGTCACATGGGTACTAATTCTTTCCAACTTTACTCTCTCAAAGTCCTGACATTTTAACCTTCAACCTAAACCATCCACATGATAACTGAGCGTAGTAACTTTCTGAATGTATCAGGCTACACCCAAACTCAGCGAAGACAAGGTCAAACAGTGTGTTGATGCAAGACTTGGAGGAGATTACCCTCCTAAAGCTGTTGCTAAGGTAAACCAAAGCTGTGTCCTAGATGATTCTCGGTTTGTTATTGCTTGAATAACAGACAAGAAATCTATAATCTGGAATGTAACACTTTCTCTGTATAATCGATTAAGAAAAAACTCGAGATTGTTGCTTGTTTTTTTGCAGCTAGCGGCAGTTGCTGCATTGTGTGTGCAATATGAGGCTGATTTCCGGCCAAACATGAGCATAGTTGTCAAGGCACTGCAGCCATTGTTGAATGCTCGGCAAGGTCATGCAGGGGAAGTAGCTCCTTAGCCAACCCCTCTCCGTTTGTGGAGGTTACATCTCTATATATACCTGAAATTTAATATATTTGTTTATAAAAATGTGATTGCCCTGATGATTTATAATATCTGTTTTCTTCTAAAATGTGTCCCCTCCCCCTTCCCCCTCCTCCTATAGTATCTTTTGGTTTGTGTAATGGGTTTGAACATATACCCATAAATAGAAAGGGTAAGAGAGGTCAAGTAGTAGACAGTGCTTTTGTCGGAATACTTGCATGTGAATAATTGGCATTCTTCCTTCTTCTTTTATATCATTCATTAGATGAATAAAGTTCCCCCCATTTTGAGATAATGTCATGTATAAATATTAAATATAATCCTGCTAGCGTGTAAAGGGATAATATATTAATATGATAACGCTGGTTGAGGAGGATGATAATAATGAAATTCGTAAATCCGATGTGGGAAGGCGTTCTCTGCCGCTGCCATGGTTGGTCGTCACCAGCCTTAACTGTTAAGGCAATAATTATGCCACCAAATTCAAAGAACCTATAAGTAAATTAGGTTACTAGGAGAGATGAATATTCAACTCGCCACCTTTACATCTCGAATTATTGGGATATCTTTGGCAACTTTCCTAAGAATACGAAAAGAGCTTTCTCTTTAAAATTCATAAAATATATTCATATTTTATCAATTTGGTTGTTTCTTGAGGACGAGATCAATAATCCAATTAATTAAACAAATCCACACACAATATATATATATATATATATATATTCACTTTTAAAATAGAAAACCATAGAGGGAAATAAGTTTGGAAAATATGGGTTCGACGGAGAAAGTGGAACACAGAGTGGCTGGAAATTAGAAAACGGGAGGAAGTTTCTTTGTGGAGAACGGAAACGACAAGTCGAGTTGGTGAAACATACGAACGTGCGCCAACAAGATGGCGAACGATAGGGGTGTCAAAACGAGCCCGGCTCGCGAGCTGGCTCGTGACTCGCTAGAAAACGAGCGATCTGAGCCGTAATTTTTTCAGCTCATTAAAAAATGAGCCTAACGAGTCAGAGCTCATTGAACACGTGTTCAATGAGCCTGGCTCGGCGAGTTGGTATTTTTTTAAAAATATATTAAATTTATATAAAAAAACTCTAATATAATTTTATATTAATTTTTTTCATATTGTTTATATGATATTATAAATATACTAATTATTATGATGGTGATAATTAAAAATATTAAATGGTATTGGTGTTTTATTAAATTTTTATGTATTTATTTAAATTTATAATTATATTTAAAATAAATATAAATAAAAAATATTATATATCCTTGGCTCAACGAGTCGGCTCGTTCAGATCGGAAAACTGGCGAGCAATCTGAGCCGAGGTTTTTCTAACTCGTTAGAAAACGAGCCTAACGAGCTGAGCCCAAAACGATTCGAGCCAAATGAGCCGAACCCAAAATGATCCGAGCTGGCTCGTTTGACACCCCTAGCGAACGACGACGCTCACTTCACTTGACCCGAGCAGTAGCACCAGAGGGCACGCTCTATCTTTCCAAAAAATACCCCTACATGGCCAAGCCCATCAAGCCCATCCCACGAGGGGCATAACGGTAATCTTACGTCACACCTCAGACTCGCCCTTTTAAGAACACACGCCGGTAGAAGTAGAAGCTTTAGAAGAGTGAGGAAAGTCGCCCGAAAAAGAGAGAATAATTGAATCTTAGATTCCTTTCAGTGTTGATGCAATAATAGGGTAACATTCGGAGATGAGTACGGCGGCGGAAGGAGATGCGGCGGATTTGGCGGAGGCGCAGTACGTGAAGGCGAAGACCTCGGTGTGGTGGGACATAGAGAATTGCCAGGTTCCTAAGGGTTTGGACGCTCACGGGATTGCGCAGCACATCAGTTCGGCGCTGGTGAAGATGAACTACTGTGGTCCTGTCAACATCTCCGCCTATGGAGACACTAATCGAATCCCTCCTTCCATTCAGCATGCCCTCTCTTCCACCGGAATCGCCCTCAATCACGTTCCCTCCGGTTATTCTCTGATCCCTCTTTCTCTTTCTTCTTCTGTCTCTGTTCGCGTGCGGATTCTCGTATCTTCAAGCGCTCGTGTTCGAGTTTTTTTTTTCTTTGGCGAAAAAGTATCAATCCTGTTTTTTTTTTTTATTTTTTTTTTATTTTTTTTTGTGTTGAGTGAGTTAGTATCGACTGGAGTTTGGTTTTGAATGGACCCTTTGTCTGGGATTTGGTTTGTACTCCTTCTGACCTGCTAGTAAATGAATTTGCTGTGGCCCTATTTCCATTGTGAATCATGAACTGAGGAGTTTCTTTCTCTGGAAGATCTGTAATCTCAGTCTGTACATTATTATTTTGAACCAAACAAATACTTTTTTTTCTTTCTGAGTTATGTCTGATGTCAGACAGATTTCTTTGTGGTGGTTTCTCAGGAGTGAAAGACGCGAGCGACAAGAAGATTCTGGTGGACATGTTGTTCTGGGCGGTGGATAACCCTGCGCCTGCGAATTTCATGCTCATCTCCGGTGATAGGGACTTCTCTAACGCGCTTCACCAGTTGCGAATGAGGAGGTACAATATTCTTCTTGCTCAACCTCAGAAGGCTTCAGCCCCTTTGATCGCTGCTGCAAAGACTGTATGGCTTTGGACCAGCCTTGCAGTGGGAGGACCTCCTCTCACACGCGGTGAATCCTCGCAACTTATTGCCAATGGACGTTATCCTTCTGATTCTGAAAGATCGACTCTTTCTGTTGCTGAACAAGTTCAGTCCAGCCAATCGATGGATCCAAACCCGGATGCCAGAAGGATTATGGATAATAAAAACAAAGTAAAATTTACTCTGAAACCATCAAAGCAGGTCACTGGGTTGAGGGTTCAGGAGCCCAAGGATCTCTCTCGTCAGCAGCAACCTGCTCAAGGAAAGCAGTTTATGAAAGCTCCACATGAGTTCTTCGGCAACAGTGACCCGAATTCTACAAGCAGGCCTGCTCCTAATACTTTACCTAACCTTACCAACCCTGTGGGCAATACCAGCAACAATGTGACTGGTAATCCTCAGAACCATTACCATTATCCTCCAAGGCCAAGTCCGTTACCTGTGCAACAGCCTTATCATAACCCTGACCCTTCCCTGAATAATGGAAATGGCATCTCAAACAATACTCAGAATCATTATCCTGCTCCTGCAAGGCCAGGTGGGTTTGCTGCACGGCCGAGTTATGGTCCAAATAATCTGCAGCCGCCTGTTGGTAATGGCTTCCGTCCAATGCATCCAAGAAATGATGGTCCTAGATTTCCTTACGCTTCTGCTACCAATTTACCTGATATCGGCAATCTAAATTTGTCCCAGTATCCAAATCATTCTCAAAATCGCCCTAATTTCAATCCCAAAGCTGGACAAGAGTTCAGACCGAACGTTCAGCACCCCTCCTATCCTCCTAGCTTCAACGGTCTGAATGACAGTTATGTTTCACAGGTTCCAGGCAATACAAACTCCTCTGGTCCTGAAGTCTCAGCCCAAGTGCCGAAAACAGTTGCTGGTATTGGTTCCAGCAATGCTATGTGGGGAACTCCAGGGTCCCAACCTCCACCGTCTGAGCATGTGCAAGGCCTTATTGGTGTTATCTTACTTTCTTTAAACACCTTGAAAAATGAAAAGATTATGCCTACAGAGCATAACATAGCCGATTGCATTCGGTATGGAGATCCCAAGCATCGTGGCACTGACGTCAAGAAGGCTTTGGCCAGTGCTATTGAGCATCATATGATTGCGGTGACAAATGTGGGTAAACTAAGACTCTATATTGGCAAATATGAGACTTTATGGAAGTGTGTAAATCCCTTGGGAGGAAACCCAAGGCAATACCCAAAAGCAACTTGGGATAGGATTCGTCGATTTCTGACATCTTCTTCCGGGCGGGCGGCAATTATGGCAACACAATGCAGGTAGAAAACTGTCTAGCTTTTCCGAGGATTCCATATTCTTTAGCTATATATGTACAATAGTTACGATCTAAAATTATTTTCCTTCGGCTCCCATCTCACATACAGGTTCGAAGCTGCACAAGTTATGAAAAAAGAATGTCTTTATGAGCTTACTTTGGGTGATGTACTTCAAATCATGAATATTACAGCAACCTCAAAGAAATGGATTACTCATCACCAGTCAGGGTGGCAACCTATTACTATTACCCTCGCTGCCGAAGATACAGACGAGGCAGGTACCACCAGAACAGGTGCCTGATTCTATTCTCTCGTTGCACATCATATACTGAAGGAGTGGCACAATAAGTAAGTGACTACTCTCTATAACAAGGAGATGACAAATATAGAGCACAAGAGGTAGGTATGGATAGTGTATTTCCATATCATAAAACCAAAACCAAAATGCTCACCAACTCATTCAGGTTATGCCAAGTACCGGTGTAGCAGTCAGTATCACTTTCACGTATCAGTTTTCTTCAATTCTAGTAGTGTTGTAATGTCTAAAGATGGCGTTGGCTTTAGAAAGAGTCAAAGGCCTAAATGGTGTTGGCTGTATAGCTCGTGAAGGCAGGTGGCAGCTTAGGCAATGGTTGATAATGCCATTGCTAGGTGGAGTTTATATGCTACAGAGACAGACAGCCTTTTGAAAAGACACCTTCAAGTTCTCTTACCAAAGACGAGAAGGCTTTATGATTGCTAACGGAGCTTCCTGGACAATGTTAGGTATTGTCAAGAGTATCTCTAGTGAACAATGTTGCATTGAAATCGAACTACCGTTCGCTGATTCTCAGTGTCGGCCTGTCTGCCTTTTCTGGATTCTTAGTGTCTTCCTTTGTTTACACTTTTATAAAATATCTTCTCTTTCCGGTATGGTTTATGTAAATTATTCTATGTAATTCAGTCGATTTAATTAACGCCCAAGTAAATGTAGGGCGAACAAAAACATCATAAAAGTCAAATTACAGATGTTGGTGATGATGATACGATACCTACAATTCTCAGTCTGAGTCTGAAGAACGTCTGCTTATTCATCCTCACAGTCGCATGGATTTGGGTTCTTAGATACGGAGTTGCTATATATGTCTAAACAACAAGAGGAATAGCTATGAACACCACAAATTTTGGTAGCAGAGCATTGATTAGAGATCTGTCGCATCCAGACACAGCACATGATTTGGGATCAGGGAAGGAACGGATTGTGAGACGGGAATGCCTGTTTCTGCTGTTTGTAGGCCCTGCAAAAAAAAATGAACTAAAATGAGATCGGATGATACCCTACAAACCCATCATTGGTTAGTTTGAAGTTTTAAGGGTGTTAATAGACAATCTTTGATGCAAACCAAATAGAATTAGATGCGTGTGGATGCCGGTAAAGTACCTGGTAGCTTTGAATCCGCCAAGTCCAACAGTTCCTAGGACAATGAGTGCGAAAGGAATTCCGATCAGCCATGGGTTGCCTTTCCCAGCATGTGCCCTCGGAACTCCAGTTCTCACGACCCTCGAATACACACCTGATCCAAGAATCTCCATCCTTATAATGCCCCAGCTAACGTTGGAAAGGAAAAGGGAATTTTCATTACATGCGTAAGGTTACCTGTTCTTGAATATCCACGTCTAGTTCCTGGAATAATGACCAGAGTGTAAATTAGACACGTGATATCATTCTTTGTGAAACAATTCAGCACAGTGCCTAGATGCTACATTTTCTACAGAGACAAATTGCATGGTCTGCATACTCCTAAACCAGATGAGCTAGAAATATTCATCGGGTGTCTTGGCGAAAGATTGGAGTGATCTGTCAGACCACCACCGTAGTGACCAAGATACTTGCGACATCCTGGAAAATCTAGCCCGCCATCTTCAACCTAAAGCAGCTGGTATGCAGACAGCTTACCGTATAGGCTTCCTTTCATTCTTAAAGACATAGCTGCATCTCATTATATCATCTCTCCTAGAAAAAAAGGAAAAAGGGTTCAAGGAGTGAGCAAAGATGTAGAGAAACAACATGCATAAAGGATCAGTATTGCTCTGGGAATAAGCAAGTACAAGTAAGGTATATGAACACATCATACACACACTATCCTCCAAGGTATCTGGACTTGGTTCCTCAGCAAGTTTATGCAACATTATCCGTATTCTTCTATCAGAACCTGGTTTTCCCTGTGAGATTTCTAGCTCATTTGGTAGTATGCAGACCATGCTCCTTAAGAATATCACTGCCTAAACTACACAGTACACGCTACGAAAGGTTAATCTCGGTACAATTACCAGACAGAAGGCAAGCATAAGCTTCAGAAACCTGCAACAAATTGGATAATTAATACGAATCTATCTCACTCGGAAACAAGTAAAGAAATGTCTATCTGAAGCACGCCTCTCAAATGCGTAACACCGCAAAATCCATTTGGACGAACAGAGGCTTTGGACTCACCGATTTGAACCTAGACTCCGCGCCGATCTTCTGATCCGCCGGAAATCGGTCAGGATGCGATTCCCATACTTTTCTCAGGTAAGCAGCTTTAACCTACCCAGATATATGATACACGGATCAAATCAACAAATAGAATTTCATCTTTATCTAGCAAAAATGAAACCGCCAAAGGCTAACACGAACAGGCAAAAACGACTTGCTATTGACAGATCAAATTCACAGAACCAGACGGAAAATTCAGATCATAAATCAAACAACATTCGGTGAAGATTGAAAATCCCAAAGTATCAGAATCAGTGATCATGAGGATCGCCCCGAAATACTCGCTCCGATGAAAGATTAGGAGAGAAGATGGAGAAATTTGCGTCACCTGGGAAGGATCAGGGCGAGAATCCGGTGGGAAACCGAGTAGAATCTTGGCTTCCTCCACCAGCATTTCTGAACCCTTCTTCCCACTTCTGACCCTTACCCCTTTGCTCTCGCTTATATACGTCCTCGTTTCTCACGAACCAAAAAGCTCGAACACGTGTTCCTCTCATATCCAGCCACGTTTTAAAACTATATTCATTCCGTGTTTCTTTTTCTTTCCACGTCAATTTTTGAGATCACCAAAATATATTTCATATTACATATTTAATATGTTGAACGAATTATTTTGTTCAAATAATATATCTGCGTCAAGAGACATATATCTGAATAAAAAATAAAGCATATTCGAACTTAAAAATATTTATTCTGTACCAAATATTTGAATGTTATATAGAATCAACCGATATATATATATATGTAAACGGTACAATTGAATGTTTAGTTGAGTAACATTTCTTTTATAAGGTTCAAAATCATTTTTTAAAATAGAACATTAAAAAAAAGAATTACTCTCTCAACTAATTTCCCCCGTAAAATAACAATTTCCAAAAAAAAAAAAAAAAAGAAGCACAAATCCCTCTCAAACCATCAATCTTAACATCAAAGACAGTAAAACCACCGCCTAAAATTAGGTTAACTACTTACTCTTTACACATTATATTGAATCTCATCGTTCCTCCATTGCTCTCTTCCCTTCCAATCCACGGGCCTTTCCCGTTCAGACAAAAGAAAACAAAAAATATGAACATTCCGACCAAACTCGCGTTCGCCGTTCTCATCCTAGCGGCCGCCTCGGCCGCGGTCATGGCCGTGCCGGCCGAACCCAAAACCCTTGTCAACAAGGTGAATTACGTGTTCACCCCTCATGCAAAGGCCGTGGCCGGAATCTGCCGTTTCGTGCAAGACAAGCGACTCTGCTGCAAAACTCTAAAGCACGTTCCCACCGACGATCCCGTCCAGCTAATAAGATCTCTCGCCTCGGCGGCGGAGACCGCCGTGAAAAACGGCCTGAAATTCCTCGACGGGATCAAACCCAAGTACCAAAGCAAGGAGTTTGCGATCAAAGGCTGCGAGAAAAACCTGAATTATGCGTTGGAGGACTTTGCCGAATTCTGGAAACTCGCGGGAAAGGATCTGACGAGCATGGCCGGGAATTACTTCACGTGCAAGCAAAAGATAACTTCCATATTCGGGTACCATTCTACATGTCTGGACGACATAAACGGGATCGACAAGAATCTGAGGAAAGAGGTCGAGGGTGGGGTTGGACTGGGGAAGAATCTGACCGGCGAGGCTTTGGATGTTTACGCAGATTTGAAAGATATTCTCAATGGTTTCGGTATTAAGGCGAAGCTCAACGAGAAAGAGACCGACCCCTTGCAACCGCCTCCGATATCTGAGTATTACTACTGATCAATACACATAATGTATATGTGGTGATATATATATATATATATATATATATGCCAACGACGATGTCGATGAATTTTTATTCAGAATCTGAGTATGTAGGAAATTTGTATGTATGGGCCTGATTGGAAAGGATGAAATGCGATCGAACAAGCAGTTTGGTTCACATATTTACTGTTACTTCTTTGTATTACGAATAATATATGACAATATATATATATATATATATATATATATTATGGTACTTAGTTTATGTCTATGAGTCTTTCCTATTCATACCCATAGACTATACGTAAACAATACAGCGGAATGTTTAGTTGATTTACTTTATTATTTGTGTATGATTGATATAATTTTAGTGAGCCCACCTTTTTTCTACTAGTGCGTGGTAATGCTAATTATTTTGAAACATACGATTGATTAACCAACCAACAACCGGTTACAAACAATTTAAAAACAAAACAAGATTATATATATATGCATGTATATACTGCGCAACCTTCTAAAGTATATACATCCACAATAAAATTACCGAAATCATTTAATGTTTTACCCAAAATCATAATTTTGTCCGATATACAATGAAAATTGGGCGTTTAATGGTTCATAAGGAAAATTGGCAGTTGGTCGACCAAATTTCTCTCGTATGCAGGGAAGGTTCAGCTGATTACCGCAGTAGTCTATGGAATGGTTTCCAGCTGGAGTCAAGTATTCCTACTGCCGAAATACGTTCTTCGGAAAATCGATAGCCTATGCTCTAGTTTTCTTTGGAAAAACTCGGCCACTAGCTCGGGAAGGGCTAGGATAGCATGGAGCACGACCTGCAAACCGCATCGCGAAGGAGGACTTGGAATCAGGAGTATTGCGGAAATAAATCAGATCTCGAGACTGAAAATGATATGGTCATTCTTCAATAGGGCAGGCTCGTTGTGGGTAGCGTGGGTGCAGGTAAATGTTCTGAAGGGGCGTTCATACTGGAATTTCAAGCCGAGCTCGCAACTTTCTTGGAATATCCGGAAACTATTCAAAATGCAAGACCTAGCCAGAGGATTCATTCGATGCAGAGTTGGAAATGGCCAGAGAGCGTTCTTCTGGCACGACAATTGGACTGATCTGGGACTGTTGCTCGAATACATTGGGGTAGAGGGACCGAGACTGCTCAGAATCCCATTAAATGCTAGAGTCTGTCAAGCCGCTTCAGGAAGGAATTGGTGCCTTCCAGGAGCTCGATCGCAACGTATACAGGAGTTGCAGATCAGACTTCTGGACATACGACCGCCAACGGAAGCCTGTGCCGAGGACACCTTGAATGAAAGATAGGAGACAACATTTACTCCACTACTTTCTCAGCTTCAACAACATGGAGAAAATTAAGAAACACTTCAGCCCAAGTGGAATGGTTTCGCATGGTCTGGTTCAAGCAGGCAACTCCTAGAACCTCTTTTATTCATTGGATGGTTATGCATGGAAGGCTGCCAACACGAGACCGATTGCTAAGGTGGAATCTAATACAGGATGCAACCTGCAAACTATGCAATGACGAAGAGGAATCACACGCACACCTTTTCTTCCGATGCTCTTACAGCTATGTAGTGTGGCTAAGATTTGCAGGAAAAATCTGGCGAAACCCACCGCGAGATCTGTCCGGATGTCGTCAATGGATAGCAAACATTCTGGCGGAAGATGAAGATCGGAGAGTCACCCTCAGCAAAATTCTTATCTAACAAATGATTTATGAACTGTGGAGGGAGAGGAACAACAGGGTTTTCACGAATTCTTCTACTCCGGCACCCATCCTCAGCACTCGGGTGGACCAGGCGATCAGAAACACGTTACTTGCGCTGCATCAAACAAGAGACTCTCTAAACAATATCCTTTTGCATAAGTGGTATGCATTGACTCTATACCATAGTACAGAGACGTAGACAAGTGTAGAAAATGGCAATCTATGTAACTTCTTCTCCCTGTTAAGGGTCATTTAGCAAAAGCTTGTATAGCTGAAAGGCTTGTGGATTTTTGTATCCCGGACCATGTCCAACCATTTTTTATTAATACAAACAAATTAAATCAAAAAAAAAATTGGGCGTTTAAGTTGTAATTATCTTTGTAACTTAACTATTTTCGCCCTGGTATGAAATTAAAAAGAAAATGGACGCTACGAGTATGATATATTTACGTGACGATCGAAAAGCATATCGACGCCGTTTTGAGAATGTTTACTCACGTTGTATACGAATATTATTAATTAGGAATATAATTCATAATAAACATCGTACGTATGCCGAGTAAAATCGGCACCATAATAATTATTATTAATTATCATTTACGTTTCCGATAATTTCATTTAGTTTATTTATTTTTAGACAGGGTGGTACTGATGGATGGCCTGCTAATCAGGGCGTACAATTATCTTGCCGTGACCAAATTTAAACCTAACAGCTAATTCTTATATTCATCTATCTAAAGCTTGAGCCATTAAATTTTTTAAAAAATAGCGTCGGAGGGCCTAAAACCTCGCCTCCCCATGCACGTGAAAAAGGGGACAAACCCTAAAGTTAGAAACCGAGCCACCTATAAGAACCTCTCCATTGCACCCCCATGTCTCCTGGCCCAAGTAGTTTCAATTAATCGACTTGGCTTTGTTCGAATAAAGCCCCCCCCTCTCCGATTGTACCATCAATAAATCCGGAGAGAGAGATATTTATATATAAAAAAAAAGATCGATAAAAAGGGGGAAAAAGAAAATAAAAGAAAGAAAATGATTGGGAAGGTCATTGTATCGGTGGCCTCGGTCCTCCTGGTGGTGGGCGTGGCCATCGGGGTTGTAGCGGTCGTAAAGAACAACCACGAGACACCGTTGACGCCTCAGATGAAGGCGGTCCAGGCCATCTGCCAATCCACGACCGACAAGGCCTCTTGCGTCAAGACCCTCGAGCCGGCCAACACGGACGACCCGAACAAGCTCATCAAGGCGTTCATGCTCGCCACTCAAGATGCCCTCACCAAATCCTACAACTTCACCGGCCAGACCGAGGCAAGTGTCTCTAACAGCACAGCCAACGGTCCCACGAATAAGGCCGTTCTCGAGTACTGTAAGAGAGTTTTCACCTACGCGCTCGAGGATCTTAAGTCCGTCCTTGAAGAGATGGGCGAAGATTTGGAGCAAACGGGCAGCAAGCTCGACCAACTCAAACAGTGGTTGACCGGCGTTTTCGTTTACCAGAGCTCTTGCCTTGACGACATCGAGGATGCCGATCTCAGGAAGATGATGGCAGAAGGCATAGCCGACTCCCAGATCCTTACCAGCAACGCCATCGACATCTTCTCCACCGTCGTGACCTCCATGGCCGAGCTTGGTCTCGCCAAAAACGGCACCATCAGCCTGCCCGGAGCTCCTGCCGGTCGCCGTCTTCTGGAGGAGGCCGAAACCGCGGAGGGAGGAATCCCGACATGGATGTCTGGAGCCGACAGGAAGCTCCTGGCTAAGGCCGGTCGTGGTGGTGCCGCTCCGAGGATCAGGCCGACATACGTGGTGGCGAAGGACGGAAGCGGGCAGTTCAAGACCGTTGGCCAAGCCGTGAATGCTTGTCCCAACAAGAACCCAGGAAGGTGTATCATTTACATCAAGGCCGGAGTCTACAGAGAGCAAGTCATTATTCCCAAGAGCAAGAACAACATCTTCATGTTCGGTGATGGCGCAAGAAAGACAATCATCACATACAACAGGAGTGTCAAACTCAGCCCTGCAACCACCACTTCTCTCAGCGGCACAGTCCGTGAGTCTTTCTATCAACCATCAATCATAACATTCTTCTGGCTCTAACTATTCGAATATAATGCACACATATATACACACATATATACGTATTGCCGAAAATTGCAGAGGTTGAATCGGAAGGGTTCATGGCTAAATACATCGGGTTCAAGAACACAGCCGGGCCAATGGGACACCAGGCTGTGGCCATCCGAGTCAACGGAGACCGTGCCGCCATCTTCAACTGCAGGTTCGACGGGTACCAAGACACGCTCTACGTGAACAACGGTCGCCAGTTCTACAGGAACTGCGTCGTCTCCGGAACAGTGGACTTCATCTTCGGAAAATCCGCGACCGTGATCCAGAACTCACTCATCGTGGTCCGAAAAGGCAATCCGGGTCAGTACAACACCGTCACTGCCGACGGAAACGAAAAGGGTTTCAACGTGAAGATCGGAATCGTCCTCCAGAACTGCCGCATCGTCCCCGACAGGAAGCTCTCGCCGGAGAGGCTGAAGGTCGCGTCCTACCTGGGAAGGCCATGGAAAAAGTTCTCGACCACGATCGTGATGAACACGGAGATCGGTGACCTGATCAGACCGGAAGGATGGATGATATGGGAAGGAGAGAGCTTCCACAAGTCGTGTAAATACATCGAGTACAACAACCGTGGACCGGGAGCTAACACCGCGAGGAGAGTCAACTGGGCCAAGGTTGCAAGAGTCGGCTCGGAAGTCAACGGCTTCACGGTCGCAAACTGGTTGGGTCCTGTCCAATGGCTCCAAGCCACGGGTGTTCCTTTCACGCTCGGGTTATAAGCTCCTGTAATTAACCTAAAACTTGAGACTCAGAATCAGTGCATGCATGCAAAAAGGAAATAAAAAGGAGTACGTGGGATGAAAAAGGCATAAAACGACATCGTTTCTCCGGATAAGGTTCTTTTTTCTTCAAGTCTAATGGTGTTAGATTTACGGGGCAATGTTGTAAAAAATCCTTTTGTTGTTTCACGTGCCAAGCAAAAAAATAACTTTTTCTTTTATTTCGCTTGATGAAATATTAGTCATGGTCGAGTTGTATATTGAATAATATATATCTTTTATGTTCTTAATATTTTATTTTATGAAAATAATCATGTAATAATACGATTAAAATCGTCATAAAAAAAATAATATGTTAAAAGAGTATTATACTAATCGCCCTTACGTGCTCTTATGTGTAATATAATATTTTGAATGAATATAATGGGCTTTTTGGTAAATGAATTCAAGCCCAAAACGTAGGGCTTGTTGGGCCCCTAAGAAGAACTGTCCAACAACAAAACGCTGCGTTTCCGACGACGGGATGAGGCGTGGATGAACCAAGACGTTCGTTCTTGCTGGCGCCGTCGCGACGCCGAACAAGGGTTCCTCTCATCTTTCCCGTCCGATCGCTAAACATTGGACGATTGGCGGAAGTGTTTCGGTCTTAAAACATGAGAGAAATATTTCGGGCAAAGTTTTTGAGCAATCTGATTCGCTCGAGATGGCAGATTCGATCTTGCTCGAGAATTTCACAGCCAAATTATCGCAGCAGAGGTTCATTTTTCGCGTATGCGATGATTCGTTCTTATACAACGGGTAGGCTCATGTTTATTCCTGCAATGATTCTTGATTTCCTTGGGTTTTCTCGTCTAGGTTAGTCTCAATCCATGCGCTTTCCAAGCACTTTGGCTTGTACGCCGAATTAGGAAGCATATCTCGATTCTACGTAACAATCTACGGATTTCTCGTCAGTTTGAACCGTGATATGGTGGGATTTTGAGTTCATGATTTACGAAATGGGTTCTGTGATGGCAGAACTGCAACCCCAGTTGTCGCGGGACCTTATTAAGATAATGGAGCAGAGATTATCTGCGATAGAGTGCCGCAATGCTGTTCTTGAGAAGCTTGTAAACCAGGTAATCCGATATCTGTCCGATTAGTATCGATCCACAGCTCCTCTTTGTTGCTTTTGCTGTTCGATTTTGAGGTTGTTTTCGGTCTGTTCGAGTCATTCCAACTGTGTTCTGTTGATTGAAGACAGCCTGAATACTCACCGACGGAGTTCTCAAGAGCTAATAAGGAACTCCGGAAGCTGAGGGAATCAATGGAGCTGATAAACGAATTAAGGGCCAAACAAAAGGTAGTGAATTTATCTCATTTGTTTCCTTGCTAATGCAAGATCACATATTCCATTTGTTGTAAAGTTCATCTATTGGTTGGGTTACTTGCTTTTGACAGGAGATTGATGGACTGAAATCTCTTGTGTCTGAGTGTTCTGAGGATAAGGACATGCTAGACATGGCTGTTGCTGAGCTAGATGAGGCGGTGAATGAAGAAAAAAGAGTGCAGACTTTGCTGCTCAGATCGTTGCTCCCTAAAGATGAAGCTGACGAGAGGGATTGTATCCTGGAGGTGAGAGCAGGTAGACTAATGATCTGAAGGTTTCTTTTCAACTAACCTTCTACACGTTTGATTAACCCCAGAAGGTGGCTCTTCTGTGTTATTTCTTTTTGACTAATCGAATGTTCATTCAGGTACTGGAGGAGAGGAGGCCTCTCTGTTTGCCATGGACATATTTAAAATGCAAGTTCCCTTCTACATATTGCTAATAGAATTATAGAAGATTAGATGTTTCTTCATACTTGAGCTTGCAAATTTTTTAACTCGGTTGGGAATTCTGACAGGTATGAGAGATACTCACAGAAGAAGGGTTGGAAATTTGAAGTGGTAGACATCACTGAGTCAGATTTGAGAGGATATAAAGTATGCTTTTAGTTCTTTGTTTCGTGCATTACAGAAACGTGCTTCCTATGTTTTATTGCGGGCTAAGGTATCAAATTCTGATTGCCAGGAAGCGAGTGCTGCAGTATCCGGAGCAGGTGTGTATGGAAAATTTAAATTCGAGAGTGGTATCCACAGGGTTCAGGTATCATATCTTTCTTTTTTGGCTGTTACAAAATTTTCTATATACTCTTAGCTATTAACGAGTTAAATCTTTTGGCAGCGTATTCCTGTAACAGAGAAATGTGGGCGTATTCACACCAGTGCCGTATCTGTTGCCATCCTCCCTCAGGCAGATGAGGTGCCCAAGTTTCTCCATTCTTTCTTTTGTAACCTATCTGTTGATTTGATTCATCTCAAGATTTACATGATCCTTGATTCGCCGATTCAACAGGTAGATGTCCAGCTAAGGAACGAAGACTTGAGGATTGATACTTATAGGTCTGGTGGCTCTGGTGGTCAGCATGCCAACACGACGAACAGTGCAGTCAGAATGACTCACCTTCCGACTGGGATGACGGTTTCAATCCAAGATGAAAGATCTCAACATATGGTATAGTTGTTTTCCCTCTTTAACCAGTTTTAACTTTTACAAGTTGCTTTGATATGTTAATACTGCTTACTGTTGTTAAACACTCTCAGCAAATAAAGTTTTGTTTTTTTCTTCCCCGTAAGAAACAAAACTCTGGAAGTTTGTCAGACCCCTTTTATGTTTTCAGTTCTTACAGTTGCTGTTTTTTTTTGGGGGGGTTTCTAACTGAAAGTCATTTCCTGCAACAGAACAAAGCCAAAGCGCTCAAAGTACTATGTGCAAAGCTTTATGAAATCGAGAGGTCAAGAATTCATACCAGTCGATCGAAACTACGATTTGAGCAGGTATATCAAGTAAAAGATTTTTCATTCCGGAAAGCGGGTTTCAGTCATTCCTCTCTCCCTACCTGTGTGTATAGATACATATTAACAGATGGCGTTGAGCAGATTGGAAGTGGAGACAGATCTGAGCGTATACGTACATACAACTTTCCACAAGGGCGTGTCACAGATCATCGGGTCGGCATAACTCACCACGCCATAGACGATATGATGCAGGGAGAGAATCTGGATATCTTCATCGATGCCCTTCTCTTGCGTCAAGAAATGGACGCCATAGCCTCTTTCAGCTCCTCTGTGTAGAGAGGAAGACCTGCTTCACAGATTTTGCATCACAAAGGTAAAAAAGAACCAAACTTAAACTGAACCCACCATGGAAATGGAGAGTCATCCATCTGGTTGCTTCAGCTGTCGGAATAAAGCTGGGAAACGGATCACAGAGAGGAAGAAAGGAATGGGAAAAGGGCAGAGCCAGGGAAGAGGCAGTGCATGGGTGGAGACCAAACATTCTTCAACTGTTTGTTTGTCTAGTCACTCCATCCATGCTCTGTCTCTTCCCCGTCTCATGCTCCGCCCCTTCTTTCCTCTTCCTCCAACGAATAAGAACTCTACCTTTTCATTGTCTGAAAATTCTTCTGCATCTCGAAATGGCCAATCGAAGACCAGTTTTTTGTTTTTTCGGTTTCTGGGTATGTCTTCCCGAGTTATATAGATTTCGAATCAGGGAGGAGAATGTCGTTTTGGGTACGTTTCGATTCGTTCATGTACTGCACGAGAATCGATTTCTCAGGAACTTGTACTATACATATGTGTTGCCTTAAAGTCTTGTACTGTGTACTAACCTTAGAGGATCAAAGGCAAAACCTCTGGTTCAGGTCGAAGGTGCTCAGATTTGATTGTTTGGTGGGGGCCAGTGCGACACATTTTACATTTCCTCCCAACCCAAAAAAAAAAGAAAGAGAAATTTTATTCGACTTTGTTTATTGTTCATGAAGTTGTTCACATGGTTAGAGCTGTTCAACATTTATTATGTTATTTTTTTTATAAAAAAATCTATCTAATTATGGAGCTCAATATAATATAATGTACATTGTGTATTTCGAACCTCGTGTGAATTTAATTAAAATAAAACAGATACTATCAGATCACACTTGTCGTATTTTCATCGGAAAGATCTGTGATGATTACGTGGACGAGATAGCCATGCATACACACATATATATGAGCATATTATATATGATTATGCTAGGCTGTGAAAGCTAAGCATCCATTTAGTTAATCCTTTTTTTAGCTACGTAACAAGATTTGGCCTCATGCGAAATCCACGTTTCCCGGAAGTGAACGTTGAAGTCAATGAAATAAATTTAAAAAAAATGGGTATTTTAAAACAGCACATTCCACGAGAATAAGACGTATATATTGATATTCGAGATAAAAAGAAAAAGAAAGAAAGTATCATCGTGAATCAGAATCATTTCATTGATAGTTTTAAAAGCATAACGTGCATTGAAATGGTTCACGTGTATACCAAGGCTTACAGTATGAAATTTATAAAAGAAATCGCCCTGATTAAATAAACTCAGACTAACAAAACGGAATAAGAAATAATAATTAAAGGATTGATGGTTATATATGAGAAAAGCATTTATTTCTCTGACCATATTACACGGAAAATATGTCAGTAAATCGTTGTGACATACATACATACATACATGTGACGGCTTATTTGGACAGGAGGATTAGAAGTAAACGCAGAGAGACAGAGCTTCCAAACAAAGAAAAGCGCCGAAAATAATATTAAAATTAGAAAGAAAAAAAAAGACGAAAATATCAAATACTTAAAAGAAGGCGTGGATGATAATGTTCTTGAAATGCATGAATATATTTTCTTACAAAAAAAAAATCATCAACGAGAAGTCGATTATCGCTCTATGATTTTTTTAAAAAAATGTTAAGTGTCCAGCGGTTGAGGAATACAGATTACAATTGCAAGCAAGTTTTACACGGGCGAAATATTTTTATTGGTCATCATGGTTTGAAGAACTTCGTTCTCCATTTTTCCTCTGTTGGCGGCCAAGTTGCCTGGCAAACACACACACACGCATATATATATATATATATATATATATGTATATGTATAATCTGCACGAGCCTTTGTAACTCAGTGGGATAATTTTCTCCTGATACGGCTACATCCAAGGAACAGAGACTAATTTCAAAGCCAGGATAATTCCTGGTCCAGGTGCTTGTTGGATCTTTCTGGTTTCTGGGTTTTGTCTGATCTACGTTTCTGTGCCTGTTCTTGAAAGGGATTCATTAGTCAACAATCATCACATTTACGGTGATTCTTGGTCTCGTGAATACTGAATTTCAAAAAGCTCTGGTCAATGTGTCTCTCCAAGATCTAACATATCTGATTTTCACATGTATAGGATATTATCATAAAGGACGTGACAGTAATAAATAACAATGGATTCAAGCATTGCAGAGTCCTCCATGTCGAAAACCAGAGAAGAAGAAGGAGAAGGAAAGCAAGAGTCTGATCTGAAAGAGGAGAAGAACGAAGAAGAAGACGAGAAGATCAAGACTGTGCCGTTTTACAAGCTGTTTGCCTTTGCAGATTCGTTCGATGTCTTCTTGATGGTAACAGGGACGATCGGTGCTGTGGGAAATGGCTTAGGCCTCCCTATTATGACCATCTTGTTTGGGGACGTGGTCGATGCTTTCGGACAGAACCAGAACCGTTCTGATGTTTCCAAAGACATCTCTAAGGTAACTGTAAACGAACTCTTCCTTGTCTATTTCCTTCTTTTTTTCACTTTCTGCTTCTGTTTTATGAATTCACCATCCAACAGGTGGCTCTGAAGTTCATATATCTCGGAATCGGAACCCTTGCAGCCGCGTTTCTCCGTAAGAACTTCGTGCCCTTTGAATCTTTGGTGGGACTGGAGTTGGATAAAGATCTAACAAGAATCAAAATCTTGATTTTTTTGTTTTCCTTTCAGAGGTTTCTGGCTGGATGATATCTGGGGAGAGACAAGCAGCAAGGATAAGGAGTCTGTATCTAAAAACCATACTAAGACAGGACATTGCTTTCTTCGACGTCGAGACCAACACTGGCGAGGTTGTCGGGAGAATGTCTGGCGATACTGTCCTGATTCAGGACGCCATGGGAGAGAAGGTAAAAGCATCAAACTTTAACAAAAAATAGTTTCAAACTTTAGTTTCCGGGGTCTGCGGAAAGAGGTCACCCGAATGAAGTTTTGCAGGTGGGGAAGGCTATACAGCTCGTATCGACTTTTATTGGAGGTTTTGCGATAGCATTCTCAGAAGGATGGCTTCTGACTCTCGTAATGTTATCCTCAATCCCGCCTCTTGTGATGGCCGGTGCAGCTCTCGCCATCGTCATTGCCAAGATGGCTTCTCGTGGACAAACGGCTTACGCTAAATCTGCAGTCGTGGTTGAACAAACTATCAGCTCCATAAGAACGGTTCGTTACCTTTTGAGCTCTGGATCTTACAGAACTAATCTCCTAAAAAAGACCGAATCTTGAAACACTTTTCCGGGGTTTTTTTGCGGGTCAGGTGGCATCGTTCACGGGAGAAAAGCAAGCGATAAATGCTTACAAGAAGCATCTAGTCGCTGCATACAAAGCAGGTGTGTTTGAAGGAACTTCAACAGGTTTAGGACTGGGAACTCTCTTCCTGGTTGTGTTCTGCAGTTATTCTCTGTCTGTTTGGTATGGTGGGAAGATGATACTGGAGAAAGGCTACACCGGAGGACAAGTCGTCAACATCATTATCGCCGTCTTGACTGGTTCCATGTCAGTTTCTTCATCACAGTTTCTCTGTAATGAATCCATAGATGTTTCAGACAGTAATAACTTAATAAAAAAAGTTCTTTTTCTGTTCCATCTCAGGTCTCTTGGCCAAGCGTCGCCATGTTTGAGCGCTTTTGCTGCCGGGAAAGCAGCGGCTTACAAGATGTTCGAGACCATTGAGAGGAAGCCCGAGATAGACTCTTACGCCACAACTGGGAAGGTCTTGGACGATGTCCGTGGAGATATAGAGCTGAAAGACGTGACCTTTAGCTACCCAGCTAGACCAGACGAGCAGATATTCCACGGATTCTCGCTCTTTCTCCCGAGCGGTACGACTGCAGCTCTGGTCGGGCAAAGTGGAAGCGGGAAATCCACTGTGATCAGTTTGATAGAGAGGTTTTATGACCCACAAGCCGGCCAAGTCCTGATAGATGGGGTTAACCTGAAAGAGTTTAAGCTGAGATGGATCAGAACCAAGATAGGACTCGTCAGCCAAGAACCGGTATTGTTCACATCAAGCATAAAGGAAAACATTGCATATGGAAAGGAAGATGCCACCATTGAAGAGATCAAAGCAGCTGCAGAGCTTGCAAACGCATCTAAATTCATCGACAAGCTTCCTCAGGTTGAAAAAAAAAACCCGGACTTTTCTGTTCTCTGTTCAGATTCTTACCACCTTTTTCTGAGAACTTTGAGGTGGAGACAAGTTCTGTAATTGCAGGGTCTGGATACAATGGTCGGTGAACACGGGACTCAGCTGTCGGGTGGGCAGAAGCAGAGAATAGCAGTGGCGAGAGCTATTCTGAAAGACCCTCGAATCTTACTTCTAGACGAAGCTACGAGCGCTCTCGATGCAGAATCCGAAAGGATCGTTCAAGAGGCTCTCGATAGAATCATGGTTAACAGAACAACTGTTATCGTTGCTCATCGTTTGAGCACCGTGAGAAACGCTGACATGATCGCCGTGATTCATCAGGGCAAGATCGTAGAGAAAGGTAATCCATAATCTTACATTCATACATAAACAGATGTATATGAATGCTGATATACAGATGATTGCTTCATAACGATCAGGTTCTCACTCGGAACTGTTGAATGACCCGGAAGGAGCATACTCTCAGCTCATACGTCTACAAGAAGAGAAGAGACAGTCAGAAGGACCGACAGATGAGCAAAACAGGTCGGAGACATCGATGGAACCGGCGAAACAGCAGAGTCTTGGAAGCTTATTGGGAAGGTCTATAAGCAGAGGAGGATCGTCTCGTGGAAACAGCAGCCGCCATTCTTTCTCAGTGTTTGGTTTTCCTGCAGGAGTAGACACGAACAATTCCAATCTTGATCAAGAAGAAACTCCATTGCCAACAGAAGAACACAAGAAAGTATCAATTCTCAGAATCGCTGCTCTGAACAAGCCTGAGATCCCAGCGATCATTCTCGGCTCGATATCGGCTATGGGGAATGGCGTTATACTTCCGCTTTTCGGAATACTCATGTCCAGTGTGATCAAAGCGTTTTACAAGCCACCAGACCAGTTAAGACATGATACGAGGTTCTGGGCAATCATCTTCCTGGTTCTTGGTATAGCAGCCATTGTAGCGTATCCTGCACAGACATTCTTCTTCTCCATCGCCGGCTGTAAACTGGTGCAGAGGATCAGGACGATGTGTTTTGAGAAAGTGGTTTGCATGGAGGTCGGGTGGTTCGACGAGCCACAGAATTCTAGCGGAGCCATTGGCGCGAGGCTTTCGGCTGATGCAGCCACTATCCGTGGTTTGGTCGGAGATGCTTTGGCTCAAGCGGTTCAAAACCTCTCGTCCGTGACAGCGGGTCTAGTCATTGCCTTTACGGCTTCTTGGCAATTAGCTCTTATCGTACTCGCAACTCTGCCACTTATCGCTCTTAACGGTGTCCTATACATGAAGTTCATGAAAGGTTTCAGCGCCGACGCAGAGGTAAATATATACACCCACCCACACACACACATACATATATGTATATATATTTCTGGAATCACTGGCTAATGGGTTGGAAATTATTGCAGAATATGTATCAGCAAGCAAGCCAAGTGGCTAATGACGCAGTAGGGAGTATAAGAACAGTGGCATCTTTCTGCGCGGAAGAGAAAGTGATGAAAATGTACAAGAAGAAGTGTGAAGGTCCTATGAAGACAGGGATACGGCAAGGTTTAGTTAGCGGTATCGGTTTCGGGGTTTCCTTCTTTGTGTTGTTTGCTTCCTACGCGACCAGTTTCTATGCCGGAGCACGGCTGGTTGATGCCGGGAAAACAACCTTCGACTCTGTTTTCAGGGTAAACAAAAAAAAAAAAAACACAACGTAGGATGTTTTTTCTGCTGCTGCTGCCTGTGAGTTGCACAAAAATCTCACTTGCCCGTGTAATGTTTGACCAGGTTTTCTTTGCTTTAACCATGGCGGCTGTAGCCATTTCCCAGTCAAGTTCATTGGCTCCTGATTCCAGCAAAGCCGGAATCTCGGCGGCTTCCATCTTTGCGATCATCGATAGGAAATCAAGAATCGATCCCAGTGATGAATCGGGGATGATGCTGGAAAACGTGAAAGGAGACATAGAGCTCCGTCATGTCAGTTTCAGGTACCCAGCAAGACCAGACGTCCAGATCTTCCAGGATCTTTGTCTTAACATCCGTTCCGGAAAGGTAAGAACTTTCTGATCAAGATTCAAGAACTGATCACAAGATGGACACTTTACATCAGAACCCTGCTTTTCTTTTTACAGACAGTTGCTTTGGTCGGGGAGAGTGGAAGCGGAAAATCGACGGTGATAGCGTTGTTGCAGAGGTTTTACGATCCAGACTCGGGTGATATCACACTGGATGGAGTAGAGATTCAGAGACTGAAGCTGAAATGGCTGAGACAGCAAATGGGACTGGTCAGCCAAGAACCCGTCTTGTTCAACGACACCATCAGAGCCAACATTGCTTACGGGAAAGGAGGAAACGCTACAGAAGCTGAAATCATCTCTGCAGCACAACTCTCTAATGCCCACACCTTCATCAGTGGCCTTCTTCAGGTAGAATCCTATAAAAATATATATATTCGAAACAATTACCATTATAATATCACGTAATGTGTATGTATATATATTGAACTTGGACAAAGTAGGGATATGAAACGATGGTGGGAGAGAGAGGGGTGCAGTTATCAGGAGGACAGAAGCAAAGAGTGGCCATAGCCAGAGCCATTGTGAAGGACCCCAAGGTTTTGCTACTTGACGAAGCGACCAGTGCTTTAGATGCCGAATCAGAGCGCGTGGTTCAGGACGCGCTGGACCGGGTGATGGTTAACCGGACCACCGTAGTGGTGGCCCACCGGTTATCGACGATCAAGAATGCTGACGTCATCGCCGTGGTTAAGAACGGAGTCATCGTCGAGAAAGGGAAGCATGAAACCTTGATCAATATCTTTGACGGCGTTTACGCTTCCTTGGTACAGCTTCACATGACCGCTTCTACTTAAACATCGTTTTTTTCCCTTCTCTCGTCCTTTTTTTAAAAATGTAACCTTTATTTTCCATTGTCTGTCGTATTCAAGTGTTATTAAAGAAAACATAAAGAAGAATAGTGAGTAGGGAAAAAGAGAGAGAGAGAGAGAGAGAGAGATCATGGGAAAGAAGTAAAAATGCAAACAAGAAATAGTCATGTGAGAGTGCAGAGTGCTAATCATAAGCCTAGACCCAATTCTTTTATTTTTGATAAATACAAGACAGAGGAGGGGATATGATGATTTAACAATGATGAAACTTATATACCCCTCAGGTTAGCTTACAAGGCAGTAGTCGACCCCTCCACATGTTAGCTTACATGAGCCTATCCTCAATCTGCAACCAACCCGGGAAAAAAGACATGCTTTAGACCTCTATAACCTGCTTAGGTATACAAAATCCTCTGGCGTGTGCTTTTGTCATAAGTCCATTCAAATGTATTATGACAGTGTAAAGAATTTAAACCCATATGATTGCGGAGATGGCAAATCGGAGTTTACCTGTTAATGTTGAAGGAAGGGTTCGGAAAGTGATCTGATCCGAAGGATTGCATCTCTTAACCTCTCATAATCCTCTACTCTGTTGTAAACCTGATGAGAAATCCGGACGTATGCAGTGATTACTCCTCCATCCTTGTCTCTCACTCCTTCTTCGCCGTCACTCAGTCCCTGGAAATAGATAGGAACCTCCACTCCACAATGCACTCGAAGGTATGACCTCAACTTTTTACCATCTTCCTCGCTCTGTAAAGCCAGTTTTGAAGGCAACCCAATCATGGCCATTCCGACACACATTTCAGGCGGAGACCCGAGATTTGTCCCCCAGGCATCAGCCAACATGATCCCCATTCTCACAGCTTCATCGTGGTTCCTCTTCATGATCCCTTCAATTCCTCCCTCGAATCGGTTTAGAAATTTCATCACAGACGGAACAACCAGTTGCGAGCTGTAATCCCTTGTTCCAATCCATGCACTCTCTATGGGCAAGCCATTGCCATACTCATGCGACACAACAGGATGGTGAACGTCAGACCCAGAACTGTGTTTCTTGCAGTAGAAGAATGCGGCAGAGGGTGGGCAGAAGAACCATTTATGCAGATTGCTCACGTAGTAATCAGCTCCGATTTCTTTGACATCGACTTTGACGCTACCCATCGCATGAGCCGCATCGACAAACACCTGCTCCACGCCTTCCTCTCTGCAGATTTTCACCAATTCTCGAACCGGCATCAAAACACACGGCATTGACGTAATGTGATCGATAATCGCTAACCTAACTGTCCTACCATCAGCTTTACCCTTCTCTAAACCTTTCCTAAACGCGGCAATAATCTCATCGTTCGAGCTTACGGGAAAAGGCAACCTCACCTCGACAGTAGACCCTCCCACTCGCGTTACGTGAGCTTGGATGGATTTCTTCACACTCTCGAACGCGCAGTTGAACATCACAACCGTGTCGTTCCTCTGGTACCTCCCGTCCACGAAACCGCGGCCGAGTTTCTGAAGAACGATAGCGGCGGCGGTAGTGGCGTTATCGACGAGCGAGACCTCTTCGACGTCATCGGCGTTGATCAGGTCCTTGACCACGGTTCTCGACTCGAGCAATCCACGACGAAGGACGTTGAAGTAGAAATCGTCGGGCTGCTCGAGGAACCGGAGCTGCCACTCGCGCTGGTCCGCGAGAACAGAGCCGGGACAGCACCCAAAGCTGCCGTTGTTGATTCTGGCGATTCCATTCTGGTGGTGAGCGAACTCGGACCGGATTTCAGACTCGGTGATGAACTCGGCGAATCGAGGCTTCTTAGGCGCGCGGTGATGGCGATTGGACTCACCGTTCCGCTCCTCGGACTCCATGGGGGTGAAGCTCCGCTAGGTTTTCTGGATTTGGGGACGAAATCGAGCGGCGGAATTTTTTGTTTTGCGGATCAGACGGTTCACTGTGGATTCGTCATCGCAGAATTAGTGGAAAGGAAAACACTTTTGTCTCACAAATTCTTATTTAGAGGAACGTTATCATATAATAATTTATATTTGCCTTGCAAATACAAATGAGATGAATGTATGTGATTATCTCTGGGCCTCTAGCAGAAAATGTGGGCTTATAGTGGATAACGTGGGCGGGGCCCAAATTGGGCTTTGCAAACAAGGAGAGTTTGAAAATCCAAGCTCCACATTAAGAAACCATTGACTGTTTGACAAAGACATGGGCCGGGCTCATTTGTAAACAACCACGATTTCTAACAAAAGGTCTTTTTTTTTTTAACGAAGAAATTAAAATAGGTAGAACAACATGAGATCCGAATTCAGTACGAGAATGCTGTCTGTCACGGGGTGGGGTATAATTAAGCGTGTATAAGTCGCATAAACTGCATAATTAACCCTTATTACGTTAACACTCAAATGTGTGTTGGCTTCTTTGATTAAAAAAAAATAAAAGTATAATAATTATGTTTCTTTACAAATGATGTCAGCACCTCGCCTGTCTCTTTGTTTATCCGATTTTATGCCCCCTTTCTTTGTAATTTTTCAATATATATATATATATATATGTGTGTGTGTGTGTGTGTGTGTGTGTATGCGTGTATTAACACTACAATATTTCTCACTCTAATTTATTTTTGGATGAAAAAAAAATGTCTGAGATCAGGAATTTCCTTAGTATAGACTAGTTGAATATGACAATGACACCTTCCATTCATTATAATGAAAACTACAAAAATGCTCTTGCACTATATTCTTTTTAAACTGGAGAGTGACGGACCATATACAAAGTCATTATACCTTTATTTTAATTAAAATCAGACATATGGTCGTATAATCATATTCCCTGTACGGAAAAGGTATTTTTCCCTTCTTTTATTTTTGTGCTTTGGTTTCCTTTTTTCTAATAAACAAAAGAGGTTGAAATAATGCGTTTGTTTGATTCTTACTACTTTTTGGGACAAAATGAAACTGACATCATGCTTACCATTCATATATATATATATATATATATGAAACTGACATCATGCTTACCATTCATATATATATATATATATATATATATATATATATATATATATATATAGAGTTGATAAAACGCCAATTTCTAAGTGCAAATTTATGTATTGTTGTTAACAGTGGTGGACCGAGAATATTTTTTAATTGGGGACAAAAACTAAAATTGAGGAAACAAAATTAATTTTACTTTGGAGGTAATGAACTATTTTAATTAAAATTTTATATTTTTTATAAAGAAAATAATTATGTGTTGATTTAAAAGTGGGGGCCAATGCCCCCACTACCTTCTACATGGTTCCGCTCATGGTTGCTAATTGTAATGGGAGGTCATGGCGGTCAACTGGAGTCAAAATTATGACAGACGGTGGAGCCTACTGAAAAGCCACGGCCGTCATTCACGCTCCTCTGCGAGACCCCCATGTCACCTTATCCTAATTCTTATGTATTTTTTAATTGCATTGTAATTTAAAAAAAAAACAGAAACATAGACGACCCAAAGTTGATGTTTATATTAAAGATATGGTGCCATTTACATGTTATAAACTCAAAATTAAAACTCATTATGAAAGATCATAAAAAAAAAACAAAATAATGTACGAAAATCAGCTTTTTCATTTTTTTCCCTTCGGAACGACATATTTTGAATAAGCAAGAGAAATTTTCTTTGAAAAAAAATAATAAAATGAGGACGCTGACGGGAGCTCAGGTGGAAAATAAAGGAAAGCACTTTACAAAAACCCTATTCTCTGTATAATCGGTGGCGGATGTAGAATCGCGTGTCAATTTTCCCTCTTTTCTCCTGTTTTTCGTATAATTTTCCTCTCGGATCACATGAAATATAAAGAGATATGAAGAAGATTTGAGAAGATTACGTAATATTTAGATTTGATTTTATTTCTATATTTTAGATATTTATATTTATTAAATAAGATATTTTATGATTTTGTTTCTGCTATAAATATTGTAATGTTACATGTTGAATAATGAGAAATCCAATGATTCTTCATCTCTTTCTCTATTATGGTATCAGAGCTTCGGTTTTTGTTCTAAATATTTTTTTTTATATCAACGATGTTCGTTGAATCCGAAAACGATGATGAAGATGACGATGATATACTAACTTCAATAGTATCATCACCTTGAGTATCGTCTTCCATTCATTTTTTTTTTCCATTTTTTTTCCGACGACGGTGTTTATCACTGTCAACCCTAGCCGATGTGCTACTCTTTTTTTTTTCTGCCGACCTCATTGTCGTGCAACCCAACTCGCGCATATGCGCCGCACATCCGTGCCACATCAGCCTTTGAATCCGGCTTTTAACCTCTTCGATTGGAATACTCCGATCGTCGATCCACACATTTGCACCATTTATTTTCTTTTTCCGGCATAACCGCTAAACCATCGCGCCTTTTGCGCTGCCGACATTGCTGTCGCACAACCCCACAATACCGTGCATGTGCACCACGCTTCTGCTTCACCGGACTTTTTCAGATCCGCCAACAATCCACCGGTTCCTAGGTTCGATTGTCAAATCCCGTTATTTTCTGGAGAATTCAACCTCAAACAGTTGTTTCTCATCTCCTTGAGTTTGAGGGGGCGTATAAAGAGATATGAAGAAGATTTGAGAAGATTACGTAATATTTAGATTTGATTTTATTTCTATATTTTAGATATTTATATTTATTAAATAAGATATTTTATGATTTTGTTTCTACTATAAATATTGTAATGTTACATGTTGAATAATGAGAAATCCAATGATTCTTCATCTCTTTCTCTATTATGAAATACGCTGATTTTTTTTTTTTAAAGATGCCTTGGTCGATGCTCGTGGTGATAAACAGATGAGATCCGGACTCTGTGTATGTCCCTCTTGTCTCTTTCGAACAGAACGTTAGAACTCTTCGTCAAACATCTTAGATTTCATCGAATCTTTTTTCCTTCTTTTTATAATTGTTGTTTTAATTCGATGACTTCCCTTTCTGGGTATCTCCAGTTCTCCATTCTCGTACTGTCATTGAAGCGATTGAGAAAGAACGGATGCTAAAGAGACGGTGATGGTGAAGGTGAAGGATGGGCCTACTGCTTGAATTTTGGCGGGCAGCAACGGTCACTTTCAATGATTTTTTCCCTCTGTGGGTACCGGTGGCTCCCTCTTAACATGACCCATTTATTCAACCTTGCAACTTGCTCAAACACAGAGAGAGAGAGAGAGAGAGAGAGATTGTTTTCTTAGTCAGTTTCTGATGTTGATTGTTCTCTTATGAGAGAGAGAGTCAAAGCAAAGGAATTCGGTAGTTGAATTTCGAAGATCGTCTCCTTCGTTTCAGTTTCGGGTACTGGTTTGGGTTTTTTTTGGTGGTGGAGCTGAATTAAGTAGTTGGAGGGGATCGTAGATCTCATTCATATGAAGAGATCTTTCCTTGTAAGTTACTATCTTCTTCTAATCTTGCTTTTTGTCGGGCATACCATTGTTAAGCTTTGTCTCTCCGGTTGGTAAATCTTGTCACTGAAATCTGAACTGCAAATCTCAATCTGCTTCGTCCTAGGATCACCATAATCGATCTCCATTAGCAATGCTTAAGGAAAGATGGGCAATTTTCGTAGAATTCAAGGTTCTTGCTGTCAAGAATTTATCCTCTTTTCGCTTACCGTTATTGGCGTGTGTGAGAAAATTAATTTGACAGAAATTTTATGTTTAATCAGTGTTAAAGATTGAGACTTGAGGAGAAATCTCACTGTTCTGTGTTTCAGCTGGTGTATGTGCTTCTGGTACGGGCATTGCTGGATGGTGCTCTAATGGCTGTAGAAGGCAGCCTGCGTTGCGAGTACACGAACTCAGTGAGTCTTCTACGGCCACATAGCGTCTCCATAACCGAGTTTGGAGCCGTTGGAGATGGGGTGACGCTTAACACTAAAGCCTTTCAAAATGCAATGTTCTACCTCAATTCATTCTCTGATAAAGGAGGTGCCAAGCTTTTTGTACCTGCTGGCCGCTGGTTAACTGGAAGCTTCGATCTCATCAGCCACCTCACTTTATGGCTTGATAAAGACTCTACGATTCTCGGGTCAACGGCAAGTTTCTGTCTTTACGTAATCCTTGCTCATGCCGTTCGATCGAAACATAGCATGTCGCCATGGGAGTCAACAAGCAGAGCTTTGTTACATCAAACTCTGTTCTGTGATTGCTTATGTAAAGCTTACTTTTTCTCAGAACCCGGGTGATTGGCCAGTGGTTGATCCATTACCATCGTATGGACGGGGAAGAGAGTTGCCCGGTGGAAGGCACAGGAGTCTTATATATGGTCAAAACCTGACAGATGTAGTCATAACTGGTATATACGAGTATGGTTTTGGGGATTCCAAGTAATTTTTTTGACTTGTCTTTGATGATGATGATGATGATTCCTGGATGGCAGGTGAGAATGGTACAATCGACGGACAAGGAAACGTGTGGTGGGATTGGTTTAGAAGCGGAGTGCTGAACTATACGAGACCGCATCTGGTTGAGCTGATGAACTCGACCGGAGTAATTGTCTCCCACCTGACACTCCTGAACTCACCCTTCTGGAACATCCATCCTGTGTACTGCAGGTCATTTCTATCTTATCCTTTGATCTCTGTTTCCCCAGTTGAATTTTCAGTTCATTGCAATGAAACATCTGAGATGGGTTTTCCTTTTCCATTCTTTATTTTTTGTGGAACAGTGATGTTGTTGTGAAGGATCTCACTATCTTGTCTCCACTTGAATCTCCGAATACAGATGGAGTCGCCCCAGGTGAGCTCCCGGCTTATATAGCCTTCTGTTCTAAATGTATTCTAGATCAGATAGGAATGTTACTGGTTGAAGGAATTGAGATTCCAGGGATCAAATTTCACAAAAGCATTATGAGAACTACAGCACAAGATCAAGACTGTGGTTTGATATGAAATTTCCACAAGATAGCTGTGGTTTTAGTGTGAGGATTTGAGCTTTTTTTCAAGGTTTTAGCTGAGATTTTTGCATTCACAATGCAGATTCATCCAATGATGTTTGCATAGAGGACTGCTATATAGTGACGGGAGACGATCTGGTTTCTATAAAAAGTGGATGGGACGAGTATGGAATTTCCTATGCACGTCCAAGTACGAGAATCAAGATCAGCCGTTTGACCGGTCAAACTACTTCGAGCTCAGGCATAGCAATCGGGAGCGAAATGTCAGGGGGCGTGTCGGAAGTGTATGTAAAAGACGTACATTTATACAACTCAAAGACAGGTATACGAATCAAAACCTCTCCCGGGAGAGGAGGGTATGTAAGAATGGTCTACGCATCGAACGTGAAGCTGGACAATGTAAGTATAGCCATTCAGTTCACAGGGCAATATGGAGAGCACCCAGATGGAAACTATGACCCGAAAGCCTTCCCCCTGATCGAGAAGATCACGTTTGAGAACGTTACGGGAGACAGCATCGGAGTTGCAGGTCTCCTGCAAGGAATTGAAGGAGACGAGTTTCGGAATATCTGCTTGGTTGATGTTTCTCTGGAAATGAAGAACTCGAGCAAGCCACCATGGAACTGCTCGTATGTCCGAGGATATTCCCAGCGGGTTCTGCCGGAAATCGCTTGTGATTCTCTGCAAGAAACGATATTCCCCGATCACGCTTCGGATTGTTATGGTCTGATGAATGTTATCCAGAGATCAGGCACTCGAAGCAGAAGAAGATCTTGGTTGCTTTCTTGGTGATAAGTGCAAGAAACCAATCCTCGTTTTCTTTTCCCTTCAAGGATTTCGATTTTAGAGATCCTTGCTCTCGGTGACAGCAATGGAAGAGTGACAAGAAAAATGGCAGAGGGTGGAAGCCAATGCCAGAGTGTTTTTTTTTTTTTTGACGGTAATTTCGTGTGCAGTGAAGAAAATAATCCGAGTTGTGATCGTCTCCTTGAATGTGAGGAGAGATCATATGTTTGATTTTAGCCATTGTTCTTTCAAATCAGTTTCTGGGTTTTCATGCTCTTAGAGAGTGGCTTGAGTTGTAATATTTTCCGACAGCCTTAGATATCTTCCTTTCAATCGATTTTGCTTTGTTTTGTACCTTTTGTCCCCTTAGATTTGGCTTCCGTCGTAATTCACGTACCAGCTGTTCAATTCCGTCAGACCTTGTCGATTGAGTTTGGAAGCTTCTTGCTTTAGCTAACATTGTTAATCATTTCCGTACAACCGATTCGATGGTGGACATGGAAGAAATAAATAAACAAATTTCCGACGAGTGATGTACATGCATGGCCCCAAACACTAGGCTTCTCCGGCGTGTATATATATATATATATATATATATATATATTTTTATATTTATATATTGCTGATCCTAGCTAGATTCCATTGTACAATATCATATTTTTTTTTTATCCAAAACAACCGAGCGTTCTTCCACACTTTCCCAGTTCAAAGGCTCCACAGCTCATGAACGTCAGTAGTGGTAAGCTCTCGAGATCTTCAGTCTTGTCACACATGACAAGAACATCCTACGATCAAAAACCATGTGAACACAGTTGTGTTAATTATATGATTAGATTTTGAAAATGCAATAACAACAATGGAAAAAGATTATGAATTAATATTAAGAAGTAATGTGAAATGGTGATGTGATGGTGATACTCACTCCCATGGAACATCACCAACCATCATCCAGTCGCCTTCCTTGTCGGCGTACGTTAGCACGTGAGTCTTCTCGCTGCACATTTCTTCCTCTTCAGCCCCTGCTTCCATTTTCCCCTTATATTTCCGATGAATATATACATATATATATATATATAGAGAGAGAGAGAGAGAGAGGGAATGGGAAACTAGACGTACAGAGGATGGAGGTGTTGAACATGAGATCAAGAGTTCTTATCAAATCGTGATAACCAGCTAGGGCGAAGAGATCGATCTTTCTGCCGATGGGAACTCCCTCCATGTTCACCTTCACGTAGAAGCTCCCTACGCTGTTGCATTCGTTCTCCTCTTCTTCCTCCATCATCTCCGCCGCCTGCTCTTCTTCTTCCTCGTACTCCTGCGGCGGCGCCGTGTACCCGTTGTATCCTCCCGACGACGACCCGAAACTCAGCCCGAGCCTCAGATCCGTACTCAAGTTTCGACTCGTCGACGTCGTCCCAAATGGGTTGCTCTTGCTGCTACTCTCTATCGACGACGACGACGAGGAGCTTCTTCTCCCTCTCCCCATCTCTCTCTCTCTCTCTCTCTTCTTGTTTAGGTCAAGACAAAGTAGTGAGCCGCCACGTCTGTTTTGAACGTGTTTGTATATATAGAGGGGGGAAATATGAATAATTTAATATGCTTAGAAATGTTTATTTATTTTTTAATAAAGTGATGGTGGAATGATGAGACAGTGTTTGCTAGAGATGTTGCGGGTGTAGCAGACAATCACACGTGTCAAGCGGGAATCAGTCAAAGTGTTGGTCATTATTTTTGTGTTTTGTATGACCCGCTAATTAATTGTCATTAATTCAACAAACACACAACTGTTAGTATCCATTCTGTTCATACAAAAATACGATCCAAGTTCAATTACGTCATATTTCACATGTTTTGGTCGAGATCATTGCTGTTCAAATTTGAATAAATCGGCGAAACTTGCGATTGTTTTTTTCTTCTTCTTTCTGGAATTGGAAAGGGGCATCATTACACAGTATATTTGTGGTTGGTGTTTGTCTGTCCGGTTAAATTTTATTTTATTTTTTTTGTATTCTTGAATACATGTGTTTAGAAAATTATTTTCGGTTTCATTTCCATTTTTTACGTACGAAAGAAATTTATTCAAATTTCTTCTTTTCCTAACATGGTTTTTTTTTAAAAAAAAAGCTAATGCTTTTAAACGAAATTAAGAAGTTAATTGAACGTAGACAAGAAGGACACGTTCGAACAGGATAAGAAGAGATTTTTTTTTTTTTAAAAAAAAAAAAAAAGTGGACAAACTCCCTAGAATTTATTTAAAAACGTTTAAAGTAAATGAATAAAATTAAGACAATTACCTCGTCCCAAATGAATGTTCAATGCATGAGATTATCGTGACGCGCATTGAGGCATTCGTGGTGGGTACTGCAAATCGCATTTCCATAATTAAGGGTTATCGATGACTGTGTGTGTGAGAGGCTTTAATTTTTAAAAAAAAAATGTGTTTTTGAATGCTTTTGTTTAATTAATCATCTCTCTACCAACACGTCTTTTCTACGTTAATTATGATTCATCCCACTTTAATCCTCCCGCCTTTGAATTATGACCAAATTCCCATTGGACTCCCCGTCATATGTAAGCATGACAAGATTTGCATATGAAGCTTTCCTTTAATCTCACTCTAGTTTCTTAATCCCACTTTATTTAATCCCTACTGGAATATGTCATCACACTTCTTGTGGGTGATGCAAAGTCCACGTAATAAATTATATATTTTTTTAAAATAGAGCATGAGAATAAAATTATATATGGAAAAAAAAAATAGGGATGGGTAATTGGTGGAAACAAAAAGGAAGCATGCATGGGTAATGAATGCTTCTCCTTAAAGAGAGGACCTAATGAAGATACTTTGCCTAAGAGATGTCCAAACCCACTATTCCATTTTGCAAGCACGAGGTTGCGAGGCAGACCACCACCCCCTTCTCCCCCGGTCCATTACACGACAATTCCCCACGTGCCCAATTCCACGTGTCATCCTCTCATTCGTCCAGATCGTTCACCACCTAAGATTCGCACAACAAAACGCCCCCCTTAAGTCATGCATAGTCGTAGGAACCAATTAGAGGACGAAGTGCGATGACGATCGAATACGTAGTAGCGTTAGTTGGATGCATGCGATCGTTTTCGTGTTTGCTGTCACACCGAGCAATATGTTTTGACAAACTAAATGCATGCATGCATGCCAAAATGATCCAAGGAGACAAAATCATCAGAAATATTTTAGAAAAACGTCTGGTATTTGTTATTATATAATGTACTATATAAAATTCATATATACTGTTTCTATGTTTAATATAGATCTCAGATAAAGATTTCAATTCATATAATCGAAATATCATCATTATCGTTAAAAATCCGAACCGAAGGCAAACTTGAATATGATGGGAAACAGATTAATCATGTAATTAGGTCTGAGCCGTTGGATTCAGAAAAAGGGAAAAGAGGTATTTTTGTAGCTTGGACCAAAAGAAACGGTAGCATGTTTTTGAGAGACGTAGAAGCAATACATACATACATACACACACATATATATACATGCATGTATATGTACATGTATGAGCTTACGAAGAAAACACAAAAACAAAGGGAAAAAAAGGCAAAAGGAGGGAAATGTTCCCCACCCCCACTACCGTCATCCTCGCTCTTTCTCACTTTTTCCCTCTTTCTTGCTGTGCCCGCCTCCTCTCTCTGCACTTCTTTGTCCCCCTCTCCCATTTTTCCCTATATATATATATATATATATATATATATATATATATCATTTATCATTTATCACATATTATTCTCGTAGGATTCGAGTGTTTAACTTGGCAACGCTCGTTTGTTTGTCGTGTACGTATATATAATTATATAATCTTGTATAGTTCCTTCGTTTGTTTTATCAACACTTGATTCAATCTCTCGCATGTTTCCCACTAGTCTACGTCACGTAGTATGGTGCTGAAATTGTAACAATTTACCCGTTATTTTTTTTTATATAATTTTGACGGTCAATGTTAAAAAGTGTAAAATCAATTGCTTATGGTAGCATTTCATTGACAAAGTAACTATTCTATTTTTCGATAGACAAACGACTATTTGCTTTATTTCCTTTGATTGCCGTCTGCTACTTGAAAATATTTTGGTTATATGATTTTTTTTTAAATATGTGGAGACAGAGCTCTGTAACGCCCAGAAAAAAAAAATCAATAAGTCTCAAATTTTAAGGCACTCATCGTTTTTTTTTTAAATTTTGAAATTCCCATCATCATAATGTCTGGTCCTTTTTTATGTGTTCACGTAGGATTTTCCTCTCTTTTTCAATTCCCATATGATTTTTTTTTCTTTGTTTATATTATTAATTCATTCGATTGTTTGTGTGTTTTTTTTTGCTAATTTTCATAACTCGACTTTACTGCTTCGTGTTTGCTTGTCAGTCAAAACTTGGGCTGCTTTAATGGCATGATTTGCTTGTCTCGTGACTGTTTTGTAGGCCCTATCGTGGGGCAAATCATAGCATTTCTCGCCTTCTCTTTACTCCCTTTTTAACTATTTTTTTTTCTCTTCATAATTTATATTTTAATCCATTTTTAAAAAATAATTTATTTTACAGTTCCGTGTTTGAAACAATCATCTCACTCGTCTTACCATTCCCATATTCAAAACCATCGGTCTCGAAATTTAATAACCGTAATTCTTTATGCATAGCAATTAAATTCTAGGTAAATTATCAATATATAGATAATAACAAGATACTTTCTTCCTATTCATGATTTCTTTTGCCTATATCAATTTTTTAAGTGAAAAATTCAGATTTTTTTTTTTGTAGAGAAACCAAATAAAAAATACAAAAAAGATTTGGTAGTTCCAAGTATTCGAAAAGGGGGGGAAATCTAGTGCCAAAGCTAATTAATGTGCATATAATATAATACAAAGTCGATAAAAGTAAATATGGTGTGTGTGCATGTGGGGCTTCTTGAGACGTTACGTGTGTGTGCCTTTATGGATACTATATTATATTGCATGATTTAGATTTCGCACACACCCCATAAATGATATATTATCAAATCTTATACGATTCTATCAACTAAGCAAAACGGTGGGTGGTGTGGCATGATTACGACCCCTAGCTATATATACATATACATATATGCATACATATATATATATATATGACATTATTTATCTCCCACATGATATTGTTTTTTTGGCACATATAAATGAAATTCCAGTACTAAATTTACTAACTTACAACTATGAAAGGGTTTCTCCCACCCAAAACGGTCCAAATTCAAATTGATGAATACATATGGATACAAATGAAAAATATTATAAATCTTGCATTTTGAGTCGGCTTAATATTGTTATCTAAATAACTCTAGAGAATATTCGCATTACCGTTAGCGGGTGTATATATTCATTATAATACGTATAAGGAAAAAAATATTTAGAAGGTACATATGCTCTTTTCCTTTGCACTCGAAATTATATATGAATCTAAAGCTACGAGACGTGTCACGGATTCGAAAAATACTACGATGCAGATGTTGACACGTGTACTACAAAAAGATCCGACGGCTATGGAATTAATACCATCGATCTTCGACGAAGGAACAACATAAAACGGTCGATATAGTACCGGTGGTAGTAATTATACACAAATCCAAGGGACAAATCCGTCCGATTGGCACACCATATATAAACGCTAGTAGGCCGTTCCCCTTCCAGAATGTCAAAATCAAATTTCAATTTCCCCGCCTCTTTGTCTTCTACCTCGACACCTCTCTCCGAGCCGAGTTTCGAAGTCCCTTTTTCTCTCGATTTTTCCTGTGAAATCCGCGTTATTTTATAGGGATCTTCCCACGCAAATCGTCTAATCGGCAGTTTCTGGGAATCCGAGTGCTTCCGACTTCAAGAAGCTAGTTGACTGTAATCGATTCTTCACTACAGCTCCCTTTTGTCCCATTTTGGTAATTCGTTGTTGAATTTCGTTTCGATTCAGGATTTAGTCGTTGAGAACTATGCCCCTTTGCCTTCTTGTTGCGATTTCGTTTACATCGATACTCGATTTTCAAATTTCGATGATCAAATGTCGCTACGACGACAAGGAAAAAGGGACATATTCCCCTGACGAGTATAGTTTCTATGTTTGATTTTTCCAGAAATTAGGAAAAAATCGAAATCGAAAGTAGGTGAAATTTTGCTGCGATGAAGATTTCACGATGATTAGGGTTTACTCTGTATTTTTTTTTGTCTTGGATCTTCTATGTTTCCATCTGGTTCTGTGCTCACTATTTGCTTCAAAAATTGCAACCTGCGATTTGTTGTCTGTTATTAGTTGACCGTTTTTAGCTGAATTAATATTGTATCGTGTTTGCACGTCACATAATTACAGCAGATGCGATTGCATTCGTGTGGAAGGGGGCCATCGTGTTTTGTTGATCATACATGTTTATTTTGAGATCGGATATTGCTTCTTTGGGTTGTAAACTTCGTTGATGTTCTCATTGTTTTTCAATTATTACATTTTTTATAAAGCCTGGGTGACAATGTTTTCGTCCGTTAAGTGAGATGCTTGGTAAGCTTGTGTTCATAGTCACACCTATTCTTATTTAAAGATGTCTCATCTCCTGGTTGCCCCATGCGTGTCAATTTAGGTAATGCTCAATCCTTGTTATCGGTAGGGAAACCACAGAACATTTATTGTGCTTGTTTGTATACGATGTTTTATTTGAAGATCATTGCTGATAGATTGGCTAATTAACTCAACTCTGAAAATTTTGTGGATGTGCAAATTCATTTTGCTGATGGTTTTTGGTGATTTCATGCAATGAACTGGGAATTAGGTTCCGAGTTATTCACAAACTAGTCTGCCAGTAAAGAGGAAGCACACCGAGACAAAATTCCAAGGTATAGAAGTACAGAAAAAATTCGATGTCTGATTTGCTTTGGGGGATCATGAGCAGATAATAACATATTCACATAGACACTATCTTATGAGCATTGGCTTCTACAATTGTGCTTTTGTACCCGCCCGTTGCATAGGAAATGTAAACCCTGACCTGGATTTTTTTTTTGTGTTGTGTGATCATGTAATCGTTTTTGGCAGAGCAACAAGAAAAATTGAAAATAGTACATGAGAAATTCAAGGATGAGATGAGCTATCATCTTGATGATTTGAAAAACAGCATTGAAGGGCTTGAGGCAAACCAGACAGAGTTGAAAGGAACTATAAAGAGGCAAAGTATGTGATTCTTATATCACTCTGGAAAGTATCAACTTATAGTCTGATGCAGCTCCACTACTATTCGTCACGCTAGGACCCATATAAACAAATATATTGGTCCTTTTCGTTTCTTATATCACATTTGAGTTTTGTTCAACTATCTCATCTTTTTCATGTTACAGAAGCATCACACCAGAAACTCATCATGCAATTGGAAGGAGAAGTTGAGACACGACTTGTCAACGAGAAGAGTCAATGCTGTTAATGAGGCAAATTTGAAACTGATGTTAGGGAAAACTTGTGTTTAACGCATGACCCGCTTGAGATACAAAAAAAAAGTCATAAGAAAAACGCGTTTCTGAGTCCTCGTACCACAACTCTTTAGCTCCTCTGTTTTCTATTTCTATTTATACGACACGTGACATTACATGGGTGTGCAGTCAGCAAGAGCAAAGATGGTCCAGCTGAAGAAAATTGTGGCAGAATGCCTCAAAGATGACATGATATTTTGTTAGAGTGGCATGGACAAAAACATGGAGCAGACAGCATCATATCCGACCAATTTACTTAGCGTAGTAAGTCTCTCTCTCTCTCTCTCTACATGGATGAGGTTTATATACACCGACTCATTGCTTCTATAAGTTATTCGGTATTCAACTTTAGTCGCCTCGTGGGTTCACGTGAGTGGGTAGTGGTTATAAACCCTAGTCCTGGGGAATTTAATTGTGTTCCAAACTCTAAGGTCGTTGTCAACCACAGAGAAAGCTCATTAATTGAACAAGGGATTCTTAGTGGACACTAGTCACACCCATACTAAAAGCATCCTTTTCTAACCAAAAAAAAAAAAGTCACTTATGGGTTTAGCTTCTCGGGGTTCTTTGCATTTTTGTTTTGCCCTTTGGCACACAGTTTTAGAGGATTTTCTCGGAACTTCAAATTGTCCACACGTCCGTCTGTAGAGTTGTCACCGTGTCTCTTTTCAAGATTTTTTTTTGATAAAGTTTGGTGCGGCGAGATACGAATTTCGGTGGTTTGAGAGCACTTTGAAGATGTAGCCATTTGTTGTTATACAACAATATAAAATACTACATAATACATTTGTTGTTATACAACAATATAAAATAATATGAATTCACGAGAGGGAACTCAGAAACAATGGTTACCTAATATATGATCGGATTGTGCTTTTGAAATGAAAAAAAAAAAAGAAGATTGGTATCTTCTTGCTCGTAACGTAAGTAAGCCTTGTGAGGCTTAAAAATAAAAAGATAAATCTCTAAGGGGGTGAATGCATAAGACGACAAAAAGACGGTGGGGACAGAGACACTAGGAATCACGCGGCATCACGTGAACTGCACGCTCTGTCGAACCCCACCTCCTCCTGTTTTTAAAATGAAATAAATCGAAAAGTCCAAATGTTGGGTCCGTGAGGGTCTCTTCTGTTAAAGTGGGGCCCAATTCTGCTTTCGACACATATCACTCGTTTCTTGGATGCTCTCCCGTTTCCTTCCACGCGGCCTTCTCTTCTTTCCCCATTGTCTTCTTCCATATATCTTTCCGAATCTCTTAAATCTTTCCCTTCATGATCCAATTTTACGACGTGGGTGGTTCTGCTTTGCATGTATTTCTTGACTTCTGTTCTGTGTAAAAACAATCCTTATTGGCATTGTTGTTCATGTTTCATGGGTTTGTTTAATCATGCCCCCATCTAGTTATCTGATTGACGAATAAATATCACCATGGTGGCCAACAAAATCTAACTCGAGACCACGAAAACGCTATCCTACTTTTCGCATGGTGGGGGGACTGAACTCGTTGATTTGACGGTCATAGGTTGTCTCTCTCTCTCTCTCTCTCTCACTGTCCTCAAACATTTATCTTCTATCATCTTTACGAGGTAGCCGGACTTTATATTATATGATCAAAACTCGTTTCGTCTTGTAGTCCTATTTTTTCATTTTCTAATATAAACGATATTTGATTCACAGACGAGAAGAAGAGAGAAGTGGAAAAGGCCAAAAAGAGTGTGAAGTTGAAATCTCCTATAAAGTCACCTATTCCCTTTTATCTGATAACAAAGAAAGAATAAAAAAAAAGAAGAAGAAGCATTTTCATTCCCTTCAATGGAAGAAGAAGTTCACTTTGCACCAAAGATGATCTCCACCCCATTATCCAACTTCAAACCAAAGCAAGTTCTTGATTTTCCTCTACTTGTATATACGCTTCGAAGTCTATGTACATATATATGAGAGGTATGATGATGATTTCAAATTCAAACGTGATTCTTTGATGCAGGTTAGAGGATCATGACTACGTGGAGCTGGTGTGGGAGAATGGTCAGATTCTTACCAGAGGCGGCCGCAGATCCAACGTGTTCAATCGTCGTACGACATCGCTACTGGATTTGTACGAAGCTGAATATTACGATGTTCTCAAGCAGAATACTGCTTATGTCTCCAACATGAATCTTGGAGATCCCAAGTTGCCCAAAAACCAGATTTCAGACGCCAAGTCTCCATTTTCCGGCGGAGTTTTTCCTGAAGAAAGTGATAAGCCGACGAAGGAGAAGATCCAGTCATCTACGCTCTTTAAACGTCAAGCTGTTGAAGTTGCTGATGATAAAGAAAACGCGGCAATAGAAGTAGAACCAAAGACCGAACCGGGTTTGCCTGATCATGAAGCAGTTCTTGAGAACGAGAAAGACAGACATGGTTCTAAAAAAGGAAAGGGTGTTGAACCCATGATGATGGTCGAGGCTGGAAGTGGTGTAGGGGCCATGGCCAATGACATGATGAACCGGAAGAGCTTGAAAAAGGAATCCCTCGAGTTTTCACCTCCTGATGCTCAGTCTGTGGCCATGGGAAGATCTTTAGACACGGTAGGGATTGAAAACGAAGAGACGGAGAGTAGTAACTTGCACGGGTGGTCAACTGAACTGTGTAGCGCTTCTTTGTCCGTTTACTCTCGTGGAACTATGGAAGATCATATCGCTTCATCAGTGAATAGAACATATTCAGAATCTGATGGATTACTGACATACTTTAGTAGCGTAAGAGAATGATCTCAGATTTGTTTTGTTTCTTCTCTTGTCATGTTTCTGAAGAAACTCTTTGTTTCAATGCAGGATTTGGACCATGAGTCAGATGATGTGGAGGAAGAAGTTCCTGCAAGAACAAGAAAAACTGCAAAGAGAAAGCCAAGTGAAGATTTTGATGAGTTATCTGAAAGGGTGATCTTCCTTCTCTAATCAACTAACATGTAATGCATAAACGAAGTAGAATCTAATGCATCGACTTTGCAATATTTGCCAACAGGAGACAAGACACGAGATTAAAAAGAAAATGCGTGACTTGCGGAACCTACTGCCTAACTGTAACAAGGTTTGCACTAGAAACTCTTTCTTTCTTTGTAAACATGAAGCAAATATATATATATATATATATATATATATATATATATTTGCTTCATGTTTTCATCACTTTCTTTATAGAGATTGGGACTCACTCACTTACATTATGCTATGCATAGGACGACGACAAAGCATCTTTGTTAGATGAGGCTATCAAGTATATGAGGACACTTCAATTTCAAATGCAGGTAAATAATATATTATCAGAAATGTTTTCTACCAATCTAGGATTGAATTCAGCATCGTGTCCTGACCTGTGTGCGTGTATATATATATATAAACATAAATATATTTCAGTTCGGCTTTATGTCACTGGCAAACTCATTTGCTCCACCAAACATGATGCTGCCTTTGGGCCATTACTCTCCAACGGTGGGTCTAGGAATTGGCACCCCACCTTTTGTGCCTCCACCAGTTCCCGGAGCTGCCTTTCTTCTCCAACCTGGAGTTATGCCCACTTCATATTCCAAGTTCTTCGATCCAATAGAATCCTCTCAGCAATTCCAAAGGTTTGCTTCCATGCCAAGTTCGGATGATTCAGAGGAATCAAGTAACCAGGGAACAGTGGATGGAGCTTCTGCACAGTTACAGATGCCCGAGTTCTCTCAGGTTTTAGACATTGTTTTATATTGTCTGACATGTGATCAGAGTCCTGTAACACAATTTTCTCCATATTGATGGATGTTAAATGGTGTTCTTCTTGATCTAAAAACAGGTCAAGAACGAAAATCAAGAGATGGCCAAGCATGGGAATGACGGAGCTCCTGTTTACAGTGGGAGAAGAGCTGTCTAGGAAAGATGACCCTTAAGCATTCTCCGTCTTTTAAGTTATGCATCTCATCTTTCAAAACTTAGCTTGTAGCAAATGAAGGAATAGTAGAAAAAAGGAAGAAGAAGTCGGCAAATAATAATGACTCAGGTGTGGAGGATTCTGTAAATACCCCAATGTAAAGGACAAATGGTTTGATGAGAGATGCCGAGTTTGTTTCCGTGAAAAGGGTGTTTTGAGAATTCTCTTGCAACAGAAACGTCAAAGACATATATGGCAATTGCTCTATGTGTATATCCAAAGACAAGGAGTTGAAACCTGAACATCATCATTATCATTATTACTCAGCTTGTTACTCGGAGTTCATACTCGTTTCGAAAGACAGGACATGATGAGGAACCATGGATTTTACACCAAGTCCCTTGAGGGCCAGTGGCTCACTCAAGCTTCCACTGGCAGCTCTCCGCAGCTATAGATTCTGCATGTTTTCTTGGGAGCATCCATCCGGCCGGTCTCTTGTGCCTCGAGATTCTTCACAATATCCATTCCATCAACAACATGTCCGAACACGACATGGCGATTGTCCAACCATGGTGTCTGCCAAATACATACATACACATACATCATAATTCAAATGTATAATAACATACTAATGCAGAGCATCAATGAATTGAACTGTATAAGCCAAGAAACTTTTGGGGATCTTATTATTACCTTGACTGTGCAAATGAAGAACTGGCTTCCGTTGGTGTTAGGACCAGCATTGGCCATACTCAGTACTCCTGGCCCTACATGCTTCACTGCAGTCAAAAGGAGGATTCAAAGTTATGTTATCTTTCTAAGGCTTTTTTTTTTTTGAAGAGAAGTCGACATTTTTCCTATCAATCAACCGAGAAAATCAACAGAGTGGTAAATAAAAACTCCCAAGCTTACTCACATGTGAAGTTTTCATCTTCAAAACTAGAGCCGTAAATGCTTACTCCTCCAGTACCCTGTAATGATATGGAAAGACAACTCAGAAGAAGCAAAAACCGAGGTTTTTTCATAAATGAATGTATATAATTCCCCGATAGCTCACATTTCCCTCGGTGAAGTCTCCTCCCTGGATCATGAAATCCTTTATAATGCGATGAAATGAACAACCCTTGTACCCATATCCTTTCTCACCTGAGTATTCATCCCTTTGTCAAAGTTTGACTACATTTGCAATCTTCTTTGGGAATAATGGGATTAAGATGAGAGATCTAACCAGTACACAAGACACGGAAGTTTTCGACCGTTTTAGGCACGACATCTCCAAAGAGACCTATCACGATTCTTCCGGAAGGTTCACCACCAATTTCAACATCAAAGAAAACCTTCTTTGTCACTTTAGCTTGAAGTGCTTCCTCCTAAAATCAGTGGCCATTAAACTCAGTAACTTAATCCAAACCCCAAAGTTCAAAGCTTCTATTTTTTTTTCTTTTTCGTTTTCCCGACTGTAGTAAAGAAAAGCTAGCCATGATTATGAAATGACAAGCATAGTTTCCTGGAATCTTACAGTCGCCATGGCTTTGACACAAGCCATTCTCCGAGACCTGGAAGCAGAAGCTCCTGAAACATGCTTAAGGGTAAGACTCGATGAACGGTGCAGTCTTGAAAACAATGCTGCTCCTGAGAAACCTAAGCCACCGGAGTGAGAAGCTCGAGGGCTGGGAATCAACTGCGGCCTACCCACCCCAGAAACAGCCTGTATATGTATATACACACGGGCAATGAGAATGTAGGTATAAACTGACACAATAACAGTATCCACACCAGTACATCATTACGCCTTTAGAGACTCTATCAAATCCCAGCAATACGCTTTGTATTTCAGATGGGTTTCTAGTTCTGTCGACACAGTTCCATTAGCATCCAGAGATGGGAACCCAGTAAACCGAAAGAGAAACCCTATTACCAATGTACTCAGAAAACAAACACCAGTATTCGAGCAGACCAAAAATGAGATTCAAGGAGCTGAAATTGCAGAAATTTTGACGCAAACTAAAAAACCCAGGAAAGTTTAAGGGACGAACCCGGGGAATGAAGCAGGAAGCGTGAACCATTTGCATTGAAGACGAAGAGGCCATTGAGTATTGAAAAGTTAGAGAGAAAAAAAAAAAATCGGAGCGTTGGTTTCCTCTCTACAGTTTTTTTCAGATAAGAGTAAAGCGCCGCACGGCCCTTTGTTTCAAGTGGTATTATCCTTAACGTTGACCGCTAACATACGCCGCATGCTCTTGTGCACTTTCGACCGTTGTCGGGAGAATATTCCGTACGTACAGTATCAATAACTGGGCCGATTTAACGGCCATCAAGCCCAGCCCAAAATTACAACACATCATGAACCTTCTGGGCCAGCTAGAGGCTCCGTATTAATGTTTTTAAATACAATTATAGATATTTATTTTCTCATTCAACTAATTTGTGGGGAAAAAAATCTTTAGATTGTATGTATAGGCTAAAGTGTATATTACGTACTGAATGTGATTGGTGGGTAGAATATTAATATACGTGTCGAGGATATGCGTATTTTGAACGATAAGAAGTAATTATCAAGAAGGGAAAGATTGCGATATCATAGCAATGAGATAACTGATTATGCAACAATAAATTGGAAAAAAGAAAACAAAATCACAAGTTTCTCGGGCATTGAGAGATGGGATTCTGTCGGGAGAGCGAGGAGAAGAAATGGATTTGGTTAAGTCAATAAATTGTGAAAAGTAAAGGGAGCTCCCCTTGACACAAGGCCAAAGGTTCTACTGAGATACGAATCGCCTGAAATTATGTACGGATGGCGTAACTACCACGACGACGGTCGCTCTTGAGGGTTCTTCCGGTCATTATTTCCTCGATTACGCTTTGACCCATACATTTTTTTAGGGGTTTCCATTGTTCCCCCAAATAATTGTATTGTATATGTTTGCCAATTTCCATTATATTATTATTTTTCTCAAGTGTGTGTTCCACTTGAAGAGGCGGCAGAACGTTTTGAGCGGGGAGGTGGGTGTTGCTCGATTGATGGATAAAGCAGGACCGTCAAAGGTATACAACCATACCTAAAACCAAAACCAGGTATATACACGCATGTATATTAAAACTAGATAGATTTTTTTAATAAAAAGAGAAAAAAAAGATACTTTTTAGAGTGATAAGAGAGAGCCTGATGAGGATTTTTCGCAACTACTGGCATAAAAATGTACAAGAGGAGCCTATGGGACGGGGAACATAGAAGAAGATACAAGCAGAGAGAGCTGTACAGTTCAATTGGGTAGATTTTAAATGCGGAGGTTATGACAGAGATGGCCAAGTTCGGGTCGAGCATCGATCCATTCCATGAACTTCATCTCGTCTGGGGACGTGCAGTAGAGGTAAGATCTGTACGTAATCAGGTAAAAGTACCTCCTGCTCCCACCACGCCAACAACAGAACACATCATATTAGCAACTAGTGAATCCCTATTGGTGTGCAAAGAAGGCATCAGTCAGGAGTTGAGGACAAAAATCCCTACCTCAGGGCTTTGACACCCATATCCATTATGTACGCACGTTTTTCATCATCTCTGTTTGGAAGTTTCTTGATTTCTTTGGCGTAGTATAGAATATCTTCCTTTAAATCCCCTGCTTCCCCACACCTTTCTCAATTCAACCAAAAAAAAAAAAAAGGAGAAACAAAGTTAGCAAACGGTAAATAACAGTGAAGGCAGTAATGTAATGTGAGGAGGAGGAGATTACAGTTGGATGATTCCATCAACATCTGCTTTGCTTTGAGGACCATGTGTAAGCACTCTTATCAGGCTCAGTATGTCACTGTAATCCTCCATCCTCCATGCTTCTTCTTCAGATGCCCTCCTGCAACTCTCCTCTTCTTCTTCCCCGGTCGAATTTGGATCCCGCGATAACTCAGTTGTCAAGTTCTGTCCAGTTTGGAGTCCAAGACATGTGATAGCCATTGCATATGCTACTCCTCCGTATCCCGTGTGCGATACAAATAGGTAACTCCCTGCCAAACTGTTGAATACCCTTACCCACCTCACTCAGTTTTTCCAAATATGCTTCTTTAAACTAGCAACGATTAAAAAAAAGGAAGTAAAGGACAAACCACATTTTGTGATACTTACTCATCTTTGCAGTACTGGATGGCATCAACATCAGAAGCCAATGCCTCTCTTTCTCTTGTTAAGGGGATTCTCTGATATGATATGTTGTACCCTTCATCCTTTAAAGCAGCATATACTTCAGAAGGCGTCTTCACATTATCCGGGAAAATGTTCTCCCAGTATCCTATTACCCGAGACTGATTTGATGCTGGGCTGTATTCTTCTCGATGCAATAGCATCCTGCCACCGGTTTCTTTAACTTCTGACAGTATATCCTCTTTTAGCCGTGCTTCCATGCTCTCCACCTGCAATACGGAAATGAGTCAAGATCACACTTGCCTTCGCAATTGAGCTGTGCATGTTAGTAGAGACGTACCGCTGGACCGGTTATTCCGACATGCTTGAGGGTATCAACAGGTTTATTCAGCTCTCTCAGAACAAACGGAGTCCCATTGATGTAGACAATTGCTTCTTCTCTCAAGTCTGTCACTACTATTCTCTTCGTGGTACCCCCACCTTCTTCTGCCGGTTTGGCGCCTAAATAGGCAAGCATCTTTCTTGCCCCAGAGATTGTGGGGGTCGCCATGCTATACACAGGACACCTATCAACCTGGAAAAATAAATCAAATTAGGCAGAAATATCATACAGTTCACCATTTAAATTTTCTGGTTCAAACTTGTGTTTTGATTAATTTACGGTTATTTTTCAAAACATCAGGCAGCCGCATTCAAGCGTACCTTGAATAGGTTAGGTGCACCGTGAATCTGCATCTGACTGGAAGTTCTTTGGCCGGGAAAGAAATACATTTTAAGTATAGAGCCTTTGCCCAAAACAGACCCACTGCGATCCTTGACGATAGATTCCATGACCGCGTCTCCATGTTGAGATTCATGCTGTGTCCGCAATTCCTCCTGCATTTAAAATAAGCTATGTTGTAATGCACACGCTTCCATGTGAGAAAATGAAAGAGACAATTACATGCTCAGACACATTTTCCAGCCTGAATAATGAGACGAAGACTCACAGGAATGGTGAAAAATCTCCCAGGTCGTAGCCTTATGCTCCACTTCATTGCTTGCACCTCAGGCCTCTGATGTAACCAATTCTTAAATGTAACCTTGGATTCTCCTTGGCCACAGAATCCATCAAAAGCCTCACTTCCAAGATACGCAGAAAAGGCAATCAAACGGAAGTATCTTTCCAAGTACTCAGCACCACGTTTCAGGGCTGCACTCCTCACTCTTGGCTCGACATGTTGTTGGTTGAAAACCTTCCTGTACTGCAAAACAGCTTCACGGATATTTTGCAATGCAGAACATCTATCGATCACAGCATCTAATGCTTCACGGGATTCAAACCCATTATCAAATAATCTAGTGATCTTCCACAACAGAAGGATGTCGTCCATTCCAAAAGCACGTCCATGTTCCTCTTCAGTTCTTCGTCCAGAATTACGAGATCTTGTTTCAGTGTTATTACCTCCACTTTCTTCACCACCACTGGAAGAATCTTCATCCACAATTTCGTGAGTCAGAACATCATAAAGGACTTTAACGGGTCTCCCATAATTGATACGAAGCTTTACAAGGCAGGCAATGACAGTTCCAGTAGTCGTTCTTCCTCTACCCATCTGTGAATTCAAAGTGAGAGAGAAAATGTCATTAAGTAGAACAGAAAAGCCCAGCTGTGTGGTAAATGGGTATCACCAAATACACGAGAAGATTGGGTCCTTGAAGGAAACTCAACCTGGCAATTGAAGACAAAAGCAGTATCTTTCAAAGCAGAAGAGATATTTGTCGCCAATGTGTCAAAGTCTGAACTTTTGGGAGCTTTACCATCAGTTATAGGCACACGTGCATACTTAATAGGAAAACCATCAGACTCTAAGCATTTGTAAACTTCGAGAGGTGTTTGAACAGAGTCAGAATTCACATGCTCCCATGCATCAAAGATCTGCCCTTCCTTCGTTTCATGAATGACCATTATTGCACCCCCATACCGCTTAGCCTCTCTCAGAATATCCTCCTTCAAACGAGCTTCCATTCTCTCAACTCTATCTCGATCAATGCCCTAACAGAGATATTATGTTAATTTCCAAAACCAATTCAGAATATCCTCCTTTAAGAAAAGTTTCAACTATCACATCTAAAACTTGATGTATGCTTGAATGTATTTGAAATATAATGATAAATTATGAATTATTACCGTGTATTCTAGCATGTTCTTATATGGCCTTTCAACCTCCCGTAGCACAAACGGCTTTCCATTGATATAAATGACAGGTTCTTCCCTCATGTTGTGCCAAAAAACTGGCCGGCCACCTCTGGAACTTCCAACTCTTGCGATGACAGATCGAATGCCATCAATGGTAGGATTTGCAACACCGTAAACAGGAAATCCTGGAACCTCTCTGAAGTTCGGTGCTCCTTCCACCCTCTCTGGTAGACATGGAATTTGACAACCAGGACAGTGATCACTCTTCAGGACAGTTTGGCTTCCAAGCACTTCTCCATTTCTAAGTGCAGCAACAACACCCATCTCATGGGGGCGCCCACCAGTTGATTCTGCGATTTTTGTCAAAGAAGGCTTCGTAGTTGCATATCCCAAAGCACCCATAGGATCTCTCCTGAGCAACCTGGATGAAGCATTTCAACTTTTACGGGACACTCTCAAATAACATGCCACCCATGGCCCTAACTGATAACAAGTGTTACTAATACCAATATCAGATACCTTTCACTTCATAAAAATTGCATTATAACGTGATTCAAAAATATTGGAAAATGATCTTGATGCTTCTGTTTTATTATTCTTGGCAGTTAATAGGATTTTATAGCAGTTCAAATAACAAAATCGCAGTTGAAACCAATGAAACATAATCAAACTCTCTAAATGCTAGTTTTACTTGAACTGCCCGCTTTGAAAACAGAGATGTAACCAGAATGGCTGACAAATGGATCAAGATTTTAACCAAAGCAAATCATCTAATCGCTGGTCGCCACATACCTGCGTAGTATGCTATAGAGTTCTGGCCTAGCTCGCATCCACTCAGCAAAACTGACATGGCCAAGCAAAGCAGATTGAAGAAAAGAACCCTCTGAATGAAGATATACAGCAAAGCATATAAGGAAGTAATATCTTTCCAAGTACTCGACAAAAAATGAGAGTGCTGCCTCTCTCTTCTTTTCATCGGGTTGGCGCAAAATACTACTGCGATAGGTTGCAATTGCCTCTCGTAAATTCTGTAAGTTGATTCATAAATAAACTTCAGACCTTTTACCCTAAATTCATAGGATAAAAACTATACAGTAGCTACAAATAAGATCATACACTCAATCAGCCTAGAAAACTCTTTACCTGCATGGATGCACATTTGTCAATGACTTTATCAACTTGCCTTTTGCCTTCAACACCTCCCTGGAGACACGAAACCAATTAGTAAGTAGAACCAGCAGAATGGCCGAAATGAAAAATAGATTCGAACATACATAAATTAAGTACCTCTAAGACCCGAATCAAACTTCTTATGACTGCATATTCCCCTCTACGGATCGCCTCCTCAGAACTTGGCAGACTAACAGTAATATTTTGACCAGCATTATAAATTCTCCCCAAAGAGTTGCTTCTTGGGAAACCTAGATCTTTAGCCAACACGATGTACAGAACACAAAAACAACACCTGTCAAAAACAACTTTTACTAGAATCTACAGGCTTATCACCAGTGCCTGGGGAACTCATTTCTAGTCTGTATGCATAAAAACATACTTGAGAGATGGGATGATTCAGTGTTTGATCAGCTCTCTGAAAAATAAAGTCTATCGTGTGTGTGTGTATATTCGTAAGTAGCACGTGAACTTGGCAAATCAAGGTAGCCCAAATATGACTAGACACCCGAGAACCGTCCTTAATTTAGAAAAAGAAAAACAGAATATAAATCATGCAAAAGACCATTTCTAATATAGGATATGAATGGCAGACAGTTCTCACGTTGAATAAGAATAAATGAATCACTGTATGTGCCGCCATAAATATGTAAATGTTTACTGAAAGGATAATAGTTTCCTGTCCCCTTATGGTAGCAGAACAAGTATCAGCAACTAATAATACCAGGTCAAAAATGCTGGAAGTTCATGTGATTGTAACAATAAGGCAAAGAGTCTAAAAGTGCCCCAATAAGCAAAAAAGTACCTGATGCTCCAGTGCGCTGGAGATAGACCAGAGTGGCAACCACCATACCGGTCGTAGTACGTCCACGTCCCATTTGACAATTAAAAATTATCTCTGTGTTAATGTCAACTTCAGATATCTTCTGAATCTGGAAACATACAGATGAAGAAATAAAAATCGAATATTGGCATTGTAATCCACAGGAGTAAATCCTGATATGCTGAAGGGGTAGCCAGCTAGTACCATGCGTTGAGGCTCAAACAAGGGTATTCATGTTATAAGCCTCTAAGATTTGGCATGATTTCCTCATACGTATTTAACTTAAATTACTGGGAAAGGGCCTAAAGACATTCAGTAATTTCATAAACTTAAGACATACCAATTTATCAAAATCTGTTTCTTTTGGTGACTTTTCGTCCGTCACAGGAACACGTTCATAATCAACAAGGTAACCTTCTGCTTGCAGTTCTTCATAAACCTAGGCCCAAGAAAATAAGAAGAATAATGAGATAAAGTTGGTAATCTCATACAAGGTTGCATACTTTGCACCACACGTGTTTTAATGCTTGCTTCCAATTCCATACCTCAAGTGGAGTCTTCAAAGAATTAGATGAGACTGGCTCCCATTGGTCCACCATTTGACCATCTGGCAATTCATCAGTGACAAGGATCTTATTTCCATATCTGCTATGCAAAATTTCAAAAATATTTGGTAGCACCAAAAGAAACCAGTGATACAAACAGAGTTAGAGCATTTCAAGGTCCCAGTAGCGAGCCATAATTTAGAGTAAAAAGGTGCACCTCGCCGCCTCCACGAGAATGTCTTCTTTCAGCCGAGCTTCCATTTGCTCTACCCTGTCGCGGTTGATCCCCTAAACAGAAACATAAGCTTAAGGTTAGAAATGAAAGGAATTGGGGAGATGTCGTGCCTCTGCTGAGCAACATAAGCCAATAACATGAATAAAAGGCAAATAATGCACGAGAGCTGTATGCCAGTTCTAAGGCTCCCTAGTTGCAGGTCTCTAAAATTGAAACAATAGGTAGCAGTAATTAAATCAAAACAACAAAGGGCACATGAAGATATGCTAAAAGGACAAGGTTTTTTACCGTATACTCAAGGTTGGTGAAAGGTTTCTCCACGTCGCGTAACACAAAAGGCCGCCCATTTATATATACTACCTGCCATGTGTGTACATATTCATGAGACGCACAAAAGCTACACTAGGCTGTACTATATCATGGATAGGTAAGAGTCTAATAGTTGGCTTCACTACTGCTGTTAACAATTTCATAGCCACATAGAACATTATGAAACATGGGTTTTATTGCTCTGTTCAGCTTGCTAAAGACTTAAGTATTCCTTGCACCAAAAAAAAACTTTCCCAAGCGTTGGAGTGTTTGTCAAACAGGTCTTGTTAATTTGGACCGGTTCAAAAGCAGCCAAGTAGATAAATTACACTCAAACATAATTTATATTGCATCACAGGGAAAACTGCAACAAAAACCATGCATTGCCTATTCCTGGCAGGAAACAGAGAGATTTACCGGTTCCTCCCTAAGACTAATCCAAAGAACTTGGACTTGCTTCCCATCTTTGTGAGCTCCAATGTGCCTAAGGACGTTTCCAATTCCAATAGCAGTTGGAATTGCAACTCCATGGACACGTAGTGAATCAGCCTGTAACAAAAGACCACGAAACCAGCACCAAGCAGCACGATCAGATCGGGTTGAATCTATTATCTCTCAACCAAAATAGTGCAATAGACAAATGGTACTGGTGGAAGCTAACACGGGATCTATATGGTATCTGCATTGCAGAACATACACACAAACATTTGAGAAACAAAAAAGAGGATAGGCGAGATCTGGAAAATTCAGGGAATTTAGTGCATAAACCCCGAGTCCAGATACCTACAACGTTGCGATTCTTCTGACACCAAGTCATAACACAACTTGTATGATTTATTCCGTTTACGGATTCAACTCACTTCATACGATAAGATTTTCCCCCCACGATAACTGGATAACACAAACACGCAAGATTCAAGAATTCTAAGCAAGAACCAGCGCGAATAATCCTATTGCAGCCAAACCCGCAACTCCTAGAACAGAATCCTTATGCCCGATAACTGTAAAACTATCAACAAATCAAGCCCGAGAGAAACCTGACGGTAATTGGGAGCGCCTTCGATCTGAGGAGAGAGACGTTTGTTCTGACATCCCGGGAAGTGATCGCTCTTGAGGATCGTCTTCTTCCCAAGTACCGATCCATCTCTCAGCTTCATCACATGCTCCGGTTCCTTTGGTATCGACATCTCTCATACAACAAACGAACACAGTTCACACTTCACCGCAGCAGATTTGAGACTTTTTCCCACCCTAGAAACAAGACCGGAACCTTCGATTCCTCTGCTGCTCTCTTTTCCTGTCCCCAACTTCGAAACGAACCCGTTCGCCGATAAGACAAAGCGCCAATGCGAAGCCTAGGAGAGAAGGAAAATCCTGAATCCCACCAGAGCTATTTTCTCGCGCGATAAAAAAATCGAGCAGTAGAGAGAAAATGGAACAGCCCTGAAGGAAATTGTACGAATCAATATGAGCTCCAAAAGGCTCAAAATTTTCACGCGAACGATAAACACGGTGGCGAGAGGAAAACAAGAACAGAAGATCACACACGGCAAATGAAAAACGAATAACCTCAGACCGATACATACATATATATACACACATAGAAACGTACATAAAATTTTAAAAAATAAAATAAATACTGTTGTTAGTACTTAATCTCAGAGCCGGCACTCCAGAAAATATTAGATAATCATATGGTTAATTGTTATTACACGTAATCGATGGCTAATAAAGTAATTATACATTTAAAGTAACTACCAACTCTTGGAGACAATAAATGGTAAGAGAATTTCTATTGGCTGGCGAATGAGGTGTGTTGTTTTTGGCACACAGGAAATATCATATTAACAACAATAATAAATGATTACCAACAAAAAAAAAAACAATACTACTAAATCGGATTAAATGACAAACTCGAAATATGCATTGGAATAAAGAATATTCCGAAAATAAAACCTGAAATTATGAGTTACTACTTTCAAGAGGAAAAAAAAAAGGGATACGATATCTACCGTGGAATATTCTCTTGCGATGCTAAGAGGGCAATCGACCACCACAATTCACCAAATCTCCAAACGAAATTTTGCATGCGAACACAATATTCGGAATTTTTTTTTGGAGAATATAAATCAACACAAGTGTAAAAACTAACTTTTTTGTGCAATAAAACTAATTTCTAATGATTAGGTAACGACCGGAAGCGCATCAAGGGAAAAATGGCGAAAATAGTTAATAAAACTACTTTTAAAGAATGTATTTGTAGACTAAATTAGTCAAATAGATTAATTTCATGTACAATTTAAAAAAAACAACACGTTTTTCTCAAAGGAAAAGTCATTCAAGTATTTATTTTATATTTTTTTTCCAAAATTTCGAATAAACAAAAAAACTAATTTTCAACAAAAAAAAAATGCATTGACATTATCACACACGCTCCTAAAAACTGAATTAGTGTATGATAAATGATCATTGTAAAACATTGCGTGTTTACCCCTATTATATTAGTATTGGATAATACGTGTAGAGATGTGGATATTATGATAATACTATACGGAAAAATTCTAAAAAAATACTGAAAATTTTGATTAAAAAACACTAAAATTTTTATTTTATCAAATAAATATTAAATTTTTTAAAATTTGACAAAATAAACATTTTATCTCTTCTACAATTGTCAAAATAAACAAAATAATTGACGTAACATAATGAGATTCAAACACGTCATATTATTTTTTTGACAATCGAAAAAAAATCATGTATTTTTTTAGATCACTAACAAAGTTCAATATTTTTTTGATAATCACAGAAAACTTCATATAATTTTTGGATCAATCAAAAAGTTCAGTGTTTTTTAGATTCGTTTAAAAAGTTTAATATTTATTTGATAAAAAACAAAATTAGGTGTTTTTCATCAAAATTAAAATTTTCAGTGTTTTATTTTTAGATTTTTCCTATTATAACCTCAAAACTTCCTTTTATATATATATATAAGGAAGTTTGTGTATGTGTGCAGTGTTTCAATTCATGATATGGGACGTGCGATTATGGTGTCGGTAATATTTTTAGAATACTTTGCAGTAAAACGCGTTTACGTTTGTTCAGTATTATATAAAAGATATAACTACAGGTCATAATAAGTACCGAAACTAATGTTGAACTACATAACCGTGTTTTACGTTCACGATAAGATCGTGATTACAAACGGGCCAACTTCACTAAATATTCATATATAGAAAATCAAGCGGTGGATTATATGCATGTATTCAATATACAACATGTTACTATTTTATTATCACCATGATACAAATATTTTTGTTGGTTTATAATTTGATAAACGACAAACCCTGACATATTATAAAATGTATTTTTTTCTTCCTTGTAATGACCTGTCCGAATGAAAGAAGTAATATAATAGACTCAAAGGCACGTATTTGATACGATCCAATGAAGTCTTTTCCATCTTTAATATAGAATGTATTGAAATAAAAAAAAATAGTATAATATGAATCGGAATTCGTCACACATATCATCGGTTCACATTCGAATCTGAATCCCAAGAAGTTTCTAGAATCATTATATGATTACTCGAATCAAAGATACTCGTGTTTTATACCGATAAATAAATACATAAATAAATAATATAGTACAAATAAACAATATTTAAAGCAGTCAAATCGCGCGTATGACCGACTGACATTACCCTTAACAACGCATTTATCGTGGTTCGCAAGGCTTCGTGGATGCGTGCCACCTTTTCTTTCCATTTTTTTAATTATTAAACAACCTTTTAATCAATCTGCTTATTTTTATATCGTTCACATTCATTCGTTGTCATCTTATGTCAATCATATTTAATTTTATCTTTTTATTCGGATGATGCAAGAGCATGTGAAAAGTAATACCCGCTAGACCAGTCAGAGTATCTGGTTGTTTTTAGATTCCTCGTCGGAGACTCTGGCTCAGGAGGAAGGTCCGAGTCCGAGTTCGATTTGGGCAACCGCTTCTGTCAAAAGTGGGCCCAAAAAGTTCGTCGTCCACGAAGACAAATGGGTTCGACACTCGTCCGCGTCTGATTCGCTTTGAGCCGTTAATTCCCGATTTCGCTTCTCGTTCATCTTCGCTGGTTCATGCTCACGAATCTTCGCTTCACCCGAGGCAAATGTCTGAATCGCTCTTCCCAGTGAATCTTCAGCTCCATCGTCATGCTTTCTTTTCGAACCCTCACTAGCTTCGTCTCTCTCCCTTCTCCATCTCCGGCGCCGTCGTCGCGTCGCCGTGTATTCTACCCTCCGGCGGTTGCTGCTGCTGCTGCCGCGCCGCCGCCTCTAGAGGTAACTCCCGTGGAGTCTGATCGAATCGTCGTTGGCTTGACGGGGCTAAAAAATGGAGGCGGCTTAAAGGAGGAGGACAGTGCTACAACTCTTGACGGTGGCTACGGACGTCAAGGAGGAGGAGAGGAAGAAGATGAGGAGGAGGAACAGGGGATTTCGAGTATCCATGTGCCTCGGGAGAAATACATAAATGTTTCGAAGTCAGATCTAGTAAACGGCATCGCGACGGCGCTCCTAGATTCCCAAGACGGAGATGCTGATCTCTTTCTTCTCCTTTCGTCGTGCGTCGACCATAAATCCTAATTTCTCGTGAATTAGTTAGCAATTGCTTTGTCGAACTTTCATTTGATGCGTTTTCTGAAATTCATTAGATGCTTGGACGCTATCATTCATGCGGAGCACAAGAGGATTCTAGAGCAGATGAGGGCCGATCACTTCGCAACTCAGTCCATGGAGGAGGTAAGGGACGATGGTGTGATGGGTAAGGAAGAATCCTCTAGCTCTGACGAAGAAACAGACACTGAGGAACTTACCTTGAATGCCAAGAAATATCTGCCTAGGGGTTTAGATGGATATGAGAGCTTGTCATTACCATTGCCTGATGGTTTTGACATATGGAACTTTCTAATTTCTTCTGGAAAACATGGCAAAAGACGCTCGGCACAAAGGTATAATGTGAGAGATTTTAGTTGCTGTGTCACTGAAAATCTAATATAATGTGAGAAATTTTCCAATGCAGCGTGGCTGCTGCAACCCGGTTCCAGCGGTCTTTCATTCAGCTTCTCCACAATGCCGGTTTTGAAGAGCTTTCAGCCAGGGATTTGGCCTTGACCTCAGCCCTGAACACTGATTACCTCCTTACTCTGCCTATATATGTTGATTGGAAGAAGGCCTCTGAATCTAATGCGATCATTTTCCGGTAAAATTTATACCTTTGAACTTGTTTGTACCATGTGTGATCTGTCTTTCTATACAGCAGCTCTTGATATTGCAAAAACTCTTATTCCCTCACAGTTGATGTAGAAAGATCCATATGGTATCATCTTCGCCTCATCTAAGCTTGGTCTCGTCTAAGCTGTCTTTATCCTGATATCTTTGTCTCATAATATGGTAGAGCCTATAGGGCTTTTCTGTGGTTTTGAACCTCACCAGGCTTGCAAACCTTTTTGTTTTGTGCTTCGATTCTGCATTTGCTTGTTAGGCTAATGCTTGTTTTGTTATATTCTTGGGTGATTTCTTTTCCGTTACAGGCGTGGATATGCAACTGAGAGGCAGAAGGGTTTGCTACTTGTAGAAAAACTAGACTTTATCCAGTCTAAACTTCTGCGGGGAATCTTCTCTATTATCTCAAAACCCCTCTCAAAAGTTGGCAAATGGATAAACAAGGTTAGACTCTGTTCTCATGGAACATATGTCATCTGATTTCATCATCAATCGGATCTTCCTGTTCAACTTTGAGAATCAGACATCAGATGTCATGGATAAATGGATAACTATCTCTTTTCTTCAACTCTTGAAATAGGCTGTAAGTGATGTTTCTCAAACACAAGAAATACAAGATTGGACAGAGAAAACGAAAGTCTGGCTTAAGGAGCTATCCCTTTTTCAGCAATCATATCTCGACCAAGGGAAATTTTCCGATAATTTTTTGGGAGGAGAGCTGCTATCAGATTCAGATCTCCCCATATGGCTAGCAGCACAGAGAGCGGTCAATAGGTATGAGGGGCTTCTTTCACCTGTTGGTCCTCGTGAAAAGCTCTTTAGAAAGTTGCTTGCCTGGATTGGTCTCGTTAATCCCGCTTCGGAAACACCATTTCAGTTAGAGAATGACAATAATGCATCTGATCCTTATTTGAGGTATGTGCATTCTTTTTCTGCCAACTTTTTTCATGTCTGATCTTTGTTTTGCTTAACGCAAAATCTCTATAACCAATATCAGGTGTTTTTACTATATTAAGTTTGGGATTTTATTACCTGATTGAATCTGCACTTGCTTACCCTGTATTATCAAGTAAGTCTGAAAAGTTCCTATGCGTATTGGTAGACATTGATCAAACATAAAATTCCTTAACAGCACTGATTCTATATCTGGAATTAACTTATGGAATCTGCTCCTTGCTGTTTGGTCTGCTTGACCTGAAAGCGGATTTGATGTCTGATCTCTCTTCGGCTCTTTTCTAAATATTCCATTCACATCTTCCTGACAGAGGCTACTTACTAAAGCGCCTTCCTTAGGTGTCAGTGTATTGCATCGGCTATATATTATCAGCACAGCGTTGTTAAAAGGATTGCACAGTCAATCCTATAGTATTTGTTTTCTAACAGTTTGACATGATTAGCCATCTAAACTAAGCAATAGAAACATTCTTCTCAGGCCGATTTTCTTATCAAGGATGACGCTGGGTGATATATGGAAACCTGCCTCAAAGAAAGCCTGCGGAAATGATATTTGGAAAAGAATAAAAACTTCTGTCTCCATTCTTCTATCACCGTCGACTCTGCAGGTATGCTTTTCATTTTCCGCACAAATGATTTCTTTTGGGTATGAGCGCCATCAAACTTCCTCATGTGAATGCATCAAAAGTTAGGCTACAATTACCTTTCTCATATAATAATGCATTTAACTAACAGGAGCCTGCATTTGAAGAGCTGATATTGCTTTATACAAAGGATGCAAGTGAAAAGGGTGATGAGGATAAAGGCGAAACCCGGTCATTACAATTGAAGATCTTTGAGAGAATTCCAATTCCAGATTTACCTGTAAGTTTTATTATTTTTTCTAACCCTGCATTAGTTCAGATGTTGTCAATTTCACTTCTTGCTTCTCTTGGCCACTGAGCCTGTCCCCAGGAATTCACCATTTGTTTCCTGCTCTCTGTAGGTTATTTTCCCTCACAAGAAGTTATACTTCCGCATCATAGATACAGTAAGTGCAGTTATGTACATACTTGATATATTAATCGTACTTTGTGAAAATGAAGCTTGCGAGATGTGTGAGACCACCATGAAGACGATAACCATATGGGAGACAATGGTTATTTTGTGAAGTTTTGCCTACCTTGATCCGATACTTGAATCTTTTTGTAGGTACGACTGGATATAGCTACAATTTTGGGACTCTCAGCATACTTCATAAATTACAAGTTTGAGAATATCCAATCCTCCCCGTATGTCTGCTTGTCCCCTGTTCCCTTTATGCGGCTTGTTTCATCTAAACAGAGAATTAGAACTTGTTCTCTCCCTTCCATTGTTTGCAACACAGATCGGCGTTATTTCTTGATGTGATCGCTGTTACTGCTCTGATAATCTATGTAACACGTGTGGCTTTGGGTTACAAGCAGACATGGGATAGATATCAAGTGAGTGGATGAGTTGCATCTTGTCGAAACTAAATTTGGTATTCCCATCACTGCAAAGGTTTTCAATTTCAAGTTTTTTCCCTGCTTTCATCCACCTCTGCAGTTGCTAGTGAACAAGACGCTTTACGAGAAAACATTGGCAAGTGGGTTCGGCTCTGTTCATTTTCTTCTGGACGCCTCAGAGCAGCAGCAGGTAAGATAGTCCTTTGCTTCACTCGTTTATCCCGTTGGAATAGCGTGAAAACTATTCAATCCTATAAAATCTTGTGCTGTTGTGTTGATGGTTTTGTTCTCTTTTTGCTTGATACCTGCAGTACAAGGAAGCGATTTTGACTTATGCGATTATTCTTAAAGCAGGAAACAACCAGGTTAGACATGGTCAATTGTTCTTTTACGCTTGAACTATAAGAATCCATCTCGTGCTTCTTTTTCATTTGGAAATTTCAGGAATTCTCAAGTTTAAACCTCAGTCATGGTTCATAGTTCAGGCTTTTCACACAATATGTACAAATGTATCGATGCTTATGGTCAAAGAACTATTGCCTGCAGGACAAGTCTCGACAAGGAGTTCAAGATAGATGCGAGAGGTTTCTGTACGACACTTTCAAGACAAAGGTAATATAGAATGCGTGGAATTTCAGCTCTTACGGTGACTATACCCACATGATGCTGAAGACAACAACATGTTTAAGAACGTGCAGGTTGAGATGCGAGTAGAAAAGGCTGTGAGCACGTTGATGAGGCTTGGCTTAGTAACAGAAACAATGGTCGAAGGCAAGGCCAGGCTACAAGCTGTTCCTTGTCCACAGGCTTATGCCGCTCTTAAAGACCGATGGAACAGTCTGCTTGGTTGATGTTCCCAAAGGCGAAAAAGCCATAATAGATGTACAAATTTTGCATCTTGTTAATGCTTCGAGGAAACCAGAATTTAGATGTACAGAATAAAATCACTAACACAGTTGCTTTCATCTCTCTGATACACAGCTGGGAACACAGATTGTTGCCCCATGAACAAACATCTCTGATTCTCCTCAGAACTCGAGAGGTTGAGATCTTGTGAAGATAAATACTCCTCCTCCTCCAACAGCCCGACCCAAGAGCATGTTATTATCAAGATACGACAGGTAATACAGCCCGCCTACAGATCTCCTGCCATCCGACACTTCATTCAGCATTGTTCATAACCCATTTGGCTAGTTGGCGAGACAGATAAAGAGGAGACATGTGACTGACATACCTTCCTGGACTGGTAGCAGTCACGGGAATCTGAGCTTTGAAATTAAGGAGGAACTGCAAAATCTGGACATTGAGAAAAGACGTGAAGAACAACAGCGGATTAGTATCGGTAGCAACACGTTAAGATACAGAAATCATATTTCACCTGAAGGCTTATAAACGAACGGGGAAGTATTGCAGGTGCTATGACTGCTTGTATCTGCTCACTGATTTTTATGTTTGTGATGCTTATCTGCCAGAATTATATTGTTTCAACTGAATTCAGACACTGAAGCCAGCCAGCCACAAACCGGAAACAGTGAACTATGTCCCAAAAAGGAAACTGACCTCTTCGAACTGGAGATAGATATTCCGGGTTGAGACCTTGTCAAATTTCGCTGAAACAACCAGTGTCGCCCCTTCTTGCTCCTGCGAATCATATGTACCCAAAACTCTATCCTCAGTATCAATTTTCATTCGGTGGGTTATTATATGTTGCGAGGATAGAGGAAGAAGAAAGAGCAGAACCTCTAACAAGTTTGGAACACTCCACCGGACAACATTCCGAACAATCCCTCTGTCTGATAGATCCCGACACTCGAATTTCTGAAAGATCTGACCCACCTGTAACCCAGTTGTCAATGGATAATACTTAATTATATACAGTTAACAATTATCTTTTGTAATGAATCCATAGTTACCTGAAAGAAGGGAAGCCTAGAGGCGGCTTCGAAAAGGACAAGAACATCAGGAGCAGATGTGTACTGAAGCCGCCATGTCCCATCTAACTGAACCATGTCGATGGGTTCACCTCCTCCATTGTACGATTCCACAATCACCTGAAAAAGCCCTTGAACCATTCCCTACTCAAGAAAACTAACACTACCACCTTTTGTACACTGCAATTTTACATGCATCATCATACCATGGCCTCCTCAATGAACGAACGTTGGTCAGAATCCGCAGAGATTCCTCGTTGGGTGTCTTGCACAGCTCTCAGGAGATCGTGTTTCTTGTATTCTAAGTCAAGCTCCGTATTATAAACCTTCCACAAGACATCGAAATCAATCAGTGCAAATGCAGAAGTGGAGGAGACGCAAGTAAGAGCGATGGCGAACAAACCCTAGCGTTCGTCCCGGAGGCCACAGCTACTGGCCAAGACGACCTCCTTCTCTGATGGGCATTAGGGTTTAGACAAAAAGGGTTTATCCCACGAACATCTCGCTTCGCCATTGATGCACTCGAGAAAGTTGCAGATGCCATTAGATCCATCCCTTCACAAAATGGCCTCAACAGAGCCATCACCGATCACAACCCAATGTCCGAAACACACATAAAGAAGCTAGTGAACAGATACTGTTGCTCACTCCGGATCAAAACTGAAGCTTTTTGCCAAATCATATCACAAAAAAAAAAAATCAGTTTTTTAACCTCCCGAATTTTTTTCCCCTAAATGGAATGTCAAATAGAAACCTCAAAGATTTCCATGACGAAGAAGGAAAAACGAAGATACCTCTGAAAGAAGCCAATCGTATACGAGAGAGTGCGTAAGGTTTATCCCATCCCTTTCGAGTTCCGAGTTTCTTTCTTTCTCCCTTTCCGTTTTCGTTTATAATTTCGTTTATTCCATATCCATAACCATAAATAGCCCACCGCACGAAATCTACACCACGTGGCCGCTTTATGCACCTACCTGAGCCCGACCCGATCGGATACGACCCGGCCCGGCCCATACCCAACAGATGATGGCTTGTTGCTGACGACTGCTCTGCTTCCCTCCCTCTGCTGTTTCCGATGGCGTCCGGTTTCGCGTTGGGTCGCTGCTCGATTTCGACGTGTAGGACGGCCGATGCTTTCCTGAGTAGGTCCCGAGTTCTCGGCGCCAGGGATTTGAGATTCCGTCGCCGAATCACCGGAAAATGCTCGCCGGCGACAGGTTTTGTCGTCGCAGATGATGAGAAGTACGGGAACAAGCAGGTTATCAGCCTCACTCCTCGCCTTTACGACTATGTCCTCTCCAACGTCCGCGAGCCTGAGGTTTCGTCTTCCTCAGACTTGGTTTCGTTCTTCCCTCTCCGTTTAGGGTTTCTCTTCTCTTTGGGTGATTCTATGTCTGCTGATTGCTTGTTAGATTATGAGGCAACTACGCGAAGAAACAGCTGAAATGAGAGGTAGTCAAATGCAGGTAAATCTCTCCAGATTAGGGCGCTTTCCTTGACGTGTGATTGTGTGCTTTGCTAGTTTCAGCTGATTGATGAGCTTTGGTTTTTTGTATGTTTGGAAATTGAAATGGCTTCCTAGGGTTTTTTCGCATAAACTTATATTCATTGGATGTTTAGATTACTTTTGACTGGGCATCATTTTGGTGGTAGGTATCTCCTGATCAAGCGCAATTGCTTGCAATGCTTGTACAGATTCTTGGAGCAAAAAGGTGTATCGAAGTTGGAGTTTACACGGTATTGCCTCCCTCTGTATAGGTTGCCTCAGCATTGTTAACTCACTATAGTTTCTTGTAATGGAATTGCGTATCCTTCAGGGATATTCGTCACTGGCTGTTGCTTTGGTTCTACCTGAATCAGGTTATCTAGTTGCCTGTGAAAGAGACGCTAAGTCTCTTGAGGTCGCTACGAGGTATTATGAACTTGCAGGAGTCTCTCACAAGGTCAGTTTCCGAATTTTCTGTTTGAACTCCTTTAGTTTGAATGTTTTATGACTAAATGCCGAGAACCTAAACTGAAAAATGGTTAGATTTGCTGTCTTGTGGGACATGTTTATCTATATGTCTGTCCATGCAATCTGAATTATTTGGCACTTGTGTTTATTACTGATTGATTCTATAAATTCATTGCACGCTACTGCATGGTTGTTAAATCTGTCTACTCTGTTCAGATTAGGGTGAAACATGGTCTTGCAGCAGATTCTTTAAAATCTATGATTCAGAACGGCGAAAGTAGCAGGTGATCACAGCACCACTTCCTCATTTACTGCAGAGATTGGCTCAGTTTGAAGTGATAATCACCCCTGTTTCCTTTTTTTTTTTGGTTAGCTATGATTTTGCATTTGTGGATGCTGAGAAGAGGATGTACCAGGAGTATTTTGAATTGCTTCTTGAACTCGTAAGACCAAGACCGTAATGTTATTCGGGCAATCTGGGTTAGGTTAGATATGCCATTGTTGTCTGTGTCACTCATGTTAGCTCCAACAGGTCAAGGTCGGAGGAGTGATTGTGATAGACAATGTTCTATGGCATGGACGCGTTGCTGACCCGATGGTATAACATTTCTGTGACAAACAATCATCACATTCATATTACTTTTCCACCGGGAGATGATTACGTTACTCCGTTACGATTTAACGGAACAGGTGAATGATGCTAAGACAATCAGCATTAGGGAATTCAACAGAAGGTTAATGGACGATGAACGCGTAAGCATTAGTATGGTGAGTCTGGAGAACACATCCGCTTTAAGCATAATATTAGTATGGTTTAATATTTAATAAACCCTTGTTTTTGGTAATGCATTCAGGTACCAATAGGTGATGGCATGACTATATGCCGCAAGAGATGACCCTGAGGCTCAGAGAGAAGCCTTGACAGTATCATTGATGTTGAAATCTGTCTCAAGTTGACTTCCCCTTTGTGTTCAGAAGCATTTTGAAGGTAACATATGAAATTTTGTCTTGCCGGTTAACTCATGCAATTGTATTGTTACTTTGTTATTCACATCATGTGAATTACGATTTTTTTTTATTTATGTAATGGGCGTAAAATAGTGATATTGCATATGGAATAACACCATAAAAACGGACTGGAGTATAATAGAATTTGATGTGAATCCTTTAAACTCGTATAGAAACTCAAATTAACTTGAACCAAATATATTAAAGTTGATTTTTTCATCATTAAATTTTGAATCTAAACAAAAAAAAATAAGAGTTTCTCGGATGAAATGTGATTCGACTTTATAACTATATACAAAATATTAATATCAATTTTTTTGGGATAAATTTTAAATTGCACTCATAGAAAAAGAATGTAAATTTTGATTTTTTAAATCATTAGGAGAAGCTGATTAAATAAAATAAAAATGCTTTCGGCTGAGCTAATAATAATTGTAGCCTGTTTATAATGATCATCACGAGATCACAGCAAAATCTATTGGATTTTACTAGACTTAAATGTATTATTTGGATCCACCTTTATTTTATGAAATAGTTATACTTAAAACATCGTTTTGATAGCTTCGTGTCTCTTTTATATTTTTCCCCATAAATAATCAATATATTATATTTTGAGTCTAATGTAAAAATAAAGAATTAGAGTTTCTTTACGTCCACTTGGAGAAAAGGTATATAATCAAATGTACATAAATAACATCGGGTTCATTACAACTAAAATCGTAGCACATGTAGTGACTTAAAAAATAATTTGTGACCAATTCACTTTTTTTCAACCTCTATTATTTTTATTTCGATTTAATCCATATTTGGTTATATTACTGTCTGCTTTATTTTTATAAAGTAGGATATAATCACACGACTGTAATTATTCCAGAGATCAGTGTGGGCCACCACCACATTAAGACCCAGCCCATCACAACAATAAAGCCCAAAGTGCTCTTTCTCTCTCTTTTTTCAAAGCTTATAAAAACAGGCATTTCTTCTCCTCTGATTCACACCATTGTCAAGTCTCATCGAGAAAATGGGTCGGAACCTGAGGAACGCCATTGTCGCTTTCCTTGTTCCCCTTCCTTCCATTTTCTTCTACCTCTCCTTTCTCCGCCTTTACTCTTCCACTTCCGCTTCTGAGATCTCGGCCCTTCATTCATGGTGTGTCAACCACCCATTCCTCTTGGCGAACGCCCTCTTCTTCTTCAACGTCAACGTGCTCTTCTGGGTCATCGGTATACTCCAATCTAGCCACTGGGTATGCATCCATCCATATGTTTGGGGTCGTAAAATTTTTGTCGTGATCTTTGTCTGAAATGTTGGCTTTTGTCTGTTTCCGCAGATGATCGATGTGTATTGGACTGTAATTCCGGTGATGCTGGTTCACTACTTTGCAACGCACCCATTGGCACAGTACAATCAGTGGAGGTCCGCCATTGTTGTGGCTCTGACATGGGTTTGGAGTTTAAGGTTGACTCATAATTACTTCCGCCGGGAAAAATGGGAATGGGGTGCTAGAGAAGACTGGAGATTCAGTGACATGCGGAGACAGTACAGAAATCATTGGTGGTGGCTCTCTTTCTTCTCCGTCTACGTTTCGCAGCAGGTAATACTCAGACACCTGTTCGATGAATTGTCCGAATGAGCTTATTTTTGCTACAAAGCCTTGTGCTTCAGCGGTTTTTTTTCTTCGGTTTTATCTCAATAAAGCGGTTATAAGTCCAATGGTGGTGAAATTTTGAAAATTAGATGGGCTTAAGAGAGAGATCCTGACAATCAATGAGCATCGATTGACATTTCATTCCATCTTTAGTAGAAAAGAACCATTGCCCCCATCATTTGCTTGCATCATGGTGAATATCCTGTCATAATTTGGTAAATTCCAGTTTAATGCCAGACATGTGTTTGCTTTGGATGATTTCTGGTTTTCATTTCTTTTGGGTTCTCTATAAATTTCTCAGATCTTCCTCATCGGGATATGTCTACCATTATACTTTATCCACTCCATTGACAAGCCACTGAACATATGGGACTTCATTGCATCAATAATCTGTTTGGTGGGCATTGTAATAGCATATTATGCAGACACACAACTCCACGAGTTCGTGACCAGGAACGAGGAGCTCAAAGAGCAAGGTAAGCCTAAAGTCCCGAATCTTGAGACGGGCTTGTGGCATTACTCAAGACATCCTAATTACGTGGGCGAGCAATTGTGGTGGTGGGGATTGGTCATATTTGCGTGGAACCTTGGCCAAGGATGGTCTTTCGTAGGAGCAATGGTTAACACTCTTTGTCTGGCCTACGTGACCGTCCTTGTGGAGCGTCGGATGCTGAAACAAGAGTACAGAGCCGAGGCCTATAAGCTCTACCAGAAGACCACGTCAGTTTGGATACCCTGGTTCAAGTTTCCTATTGGTGTTAGAGAGAAGAAGATCGCCTGATGAAAGCTGATTGATTATCTGATCATGCTTTGTTTATGATTCTTTGAGATCGTTGGAATGTGTGTTTTTCTTGGGAATGGTTTCATGGTTGCCGATTTGAGCTGTCATTTGTCTGAAAGATTATGTTTTGTCACATTCTTTTTCATGGCGGGTTGGGTAAGAGTTGTTTGATGAGCCACCTAAATTTTGGCTTTTGACTATAATAAAAATCAAATTTCTTGTGTTACAGATATTGGCCGATCATATATAAATATTTCGCTTAAGATGGCTGATTACATCATTCCATCAACATTTTATACATGACAAAACTTGTTCATGAGGTGCACAATATACGACAGTTCAAAGTACAGGGAGGAAATGTGAAAAGGTTTATAATGCGGGGGTCAAATCTGAATTTCTCATTATTTGACCTAGTGAAACGACAGGAAGTTCGATGGCTTATATTGAAGACTGCGCGTAGTCGTAGTTTGTATTCAAACACCACCTTGCACGGTTAAATATTTTATATAGTGCTATGTTTGACCAAAATTAAACAGCTGTACCATTCTAAATCGAGAAAAATCCCCAAATCTCTTTCGAATTTTAGGGTTCATTGTTTCGTGTCACTTGAATCGGGAAAGACCCGTCCCCTGATCAAGGCGTTACTGATATCGAAATCGATCGATTCTTCGCGATGACATCGGTTTCGTTGTTTCCATTGAGCCTTACCTTTCTTTTCCTGGTTTTCTACTTGATCGGCGTGCAATCAGAGAATCACGCTGGTTTATCGGCGGAGAAGGCCGGAGGCGGAGGCGGCGATGTCTGCGCCGGGTTCTCGGCACCGGATTCATGCCCGATAAACTGTTTCCGGGCGGATCCAGTGTGCGGAGCTGATGGAGTCACGTACTGGTGCGGCTGCCCAGACGCGGCGTGTCACGGCGCTCGTGTCGTCAAAACAGGGGCTTGTGACTCGGGTAACGCTGGAAGTGCCTATTTTCCTGGACAAGCCTTGCTCTTGATCCATATTGTGTGGCTTATCCTGTTAGGGTTCTCCGTTGTCTCCGGTGTTTTCTGATTTGTTTTCGCTTTTGTTATTCTGAAATAGTTACGGTTGTTTTGAGATTCGTTCCTGCTGTAGAGTTTGTATGATGAAAGTGGGATATGCATACCGTGTAGATTGAACTTCTGGTATTGATGTCTGTAACTCGATTCCTCGATTCACTTTGGTGGTTTTACTGAGTAGATCACTCTTTGTCCTAGCTTATTGGGGCTTGTGGGACTGTGTTAAAGATGTCAATGGATGTGTCCTTATCTTGAACCTCAAGAACTGGGGATGGAAGCAACATTTTCTGAAATGATCTGCCTAAGGAAAAAGATCTGTCTTTGTATTTCTTTCGTGAGATTCAGATTGTTTTACCTGCCAGAAATCCGATCTTTAGCCACGCACTATGCAAGTTAAACTTTTCTACCCAGCCTTCTAACGGGGCAACTATGAAAGTAAAAGAAGATTCTGGATGAACGAATCTTCGAGATCCACTAGCTCTGCACAAACCCCACATGTCTAATGGACATATTCACCCAAAAGCTCAAAGACTTGTCCTCTTGGGGGTAACTTACCCATTAAGCACCCCAACCCAATTATATACATATGTCTGCGTTTCGTAGTTATGGTTATGGATGTTATCTATACAAAATTATATTCATAGATGGTTTGACTTTGACCGAACAGTGATAAATTGGTCTACACTTCCACATACGCTTAGATTCGGTCATACGAATATACAGAGGACATACGAGTAGATCATCAATCAGTTATAAGTCGACGTCGTCAATGGACTTTTGCGAAAACATGTGTACGGAAAAGTTGTTGTGGGACCCTTTAATTTAAATTAAAAAAATGTTAAATAATTTATAGGTAGCGTGTCTACTAAGAACATTGAAAGGGAAGAGCACCAAAAGAAGCCGATGGGAAGTCTTCTCTCTCAGTCTCCTCTTTAAAGCCATTTGTCTTCTTTACTCTCTCACTCCTTCATCGCATCTCCTCCATTGTTGCTTTGAACGATGGTTCTCAAATGGAAGATGAAGGGCTTCGGATTCCGACCAACAGACCAAGAACTCATCGAAGATTACCTCAACTACAAGAACCTCGGCGACGATACCCCTGTTCATGAAGCTATTAACGAAATCAACATCTACAGGTTCGATCCCTGGGATTTGCGCGGTCAGTACCCTCTTTTTACTTTCCTGACTTCGTAATCTCATTGCAAAAACCCTCCCAAATTTCGGGTGGTTGATCTTGATTTTACCCAAATTTCAGGGCAATCGAAGATCCAGTCCGAAGATGATCAAATCTGGCACTTTTTCTCTCCGAGGAACACCAAATACTCGAAGAGCAAAAGGTCTAACAGGAAGACGGAGAATGGGTATTGGAAGGTGACTGGACGAGATCGCAGCATCAAAGGGACGAGCAAAAAGGTGATCGGTACGAAGAAGACGCTGGTTTTCTACAGAGGTCGTGTTCCCAGTGGCATCAAGACTGATTGGGTTATGCACGAGTACCATAGCTCTGCTCTTACTCCCGACAAGGTACCCAAAAGATGTTTCCTCTTTTCTCTGATGCCATTGCTGTTTTATTTGGTCCCCGAGTGGATGGATCCTTCGAGTTGATGATTTGCTTCAAGTTGGGGGTAACATGAAAACTCTTGGCTGATAGTGATAAAAGGCTATACCTTTGTTGTGTATTGTGTTTATATTCACGAAAACTGGTGATTTCCCTGATTACATTGATCTTGGCTCTAACTCTAACTTGGATATGAAAAATCAGTTTTGGCGGTAGTGATGTGGTGTTTGTTGAAACAAATCTGTCCGAGGCTTCTATGCTGTGAGTCTGTGACTGGAATGAATCCGCCAAGGATTGATGTTACAGTCTATTGAATTGTGTAGGGGAAATCTTCTGACCACAAGAGACATTACAAAGAAAGAGAGGGATATGGGTTTACACTGATCCCAATCCCAGTTCACTCTGTACATAAATCCATCGATATCTCCTCCCATTCTTCCTCTTCCATAATTCTCTATATACTCACTTTCCTACTTTATTACAATATATAAGTGTGTGTGTATATGTGTATATATATATGCAGAATCCAGCTATTGTACGTAATCTAAGATATAAAGTAAGAAAGATGCATAGTAAACATAAAAAGCATTGATCTTGATTCAAGAGAGGGTGCAAGAAAATTAACTTAAAGCTTTTTAAATTATATCAATGAAAAGATGCGTGTGAATTCATATTGTACGCAATTACATTCCGAAGCTTTCATATCCTAGTTGCTATGTACACGATTTGTGCCAAAGCTTTCGACTTCAAGCTTTGGAACCACAATAGAATCAAACAAAGACCAGCTTCTACTGAGTTGTAAACTGAATCAAATCATTCCAAATTCCTCTTCCCACAACCTTTCTTAGAGTGTTATTTCTTGAAAATATCATAAAAATTGAATCTTTATGATGCATTCTGGTGTCATATACCACCTCCGATCTCTCTCTCTATATACGTATATAATTGATCATATCTATCTACGATTCATATATGTATATTGTGATTTTCACCGATGCAATGTAGGGAATCTATGTTCTTTGTAAGGTGATACATAAGTCGAAAAGTGAGATTTCTGTTTCATCTGGTGGTGGAGCTGAGCCTAGTCATCCTCTACCTTGTGTTTCTGAGGATCATGTGACAACAGAACAGACATTTGAGGTTAAAACAGTAGATGGGTTGTCTAATTCTTTGGCTGTTCCTACACGGTTCATGCTAACTTTTGCTGTGTTATGATTTTCTCTTTTCAGACCATTGGCCAAGCAGAGGAAACTCCTAATTCTGTATGCAACACCGGTGGATTTGACACTGATTTGGGTCTAATGTGGGACGAGCTCGATGAAGAAAGCCCTATGCTTGACTCAATATTGCTGAATGACTTCAGCTTTATCGATAATATTCCTCTTCTGTCTGAATTTTGCTCTCCTTTGGAAGACTTAGAGGTTGAAACCCAATCCATGCCTCAGTTTGCAAATTCAGTGTCGGCTAACCATTCCTCTGAAACTGTCCATAGTCAAATGCAGTCTGACTTGATCACATGGTCCTGTCCTGATCATAGCAGTAACATAGATAGTGAAACAGTCTCCTTATGGATGAACCAATGCTCTCCTGGAGCCTCTGCTGGAGAGCGTTCCTTCAACACAAAGTAGACCACTGAATCCGACCTATAGGAGATATCATTACTCGATGCTGTGATGATATATATTACGGAGCGTATATTATTGCAACTCTGAGTAATGATATTTGCTATAGTCGGGTCGATCAAAGTTGAAAGGTTTTGCCTGATTGACGTCTTGCTCAGGTCATCATCGTATGTCATAACACATCATGTCTTGTTCTAGTAGAGTTGTTTTTTTTTGTTCCATGTATCCATTCATACAAGGCTAACTTGTCTGGCTTCTTTTACTTGCTCTAGCAGAATATTGAAGAAGTTCGGGGCTTGGCTGATGACGATTCAGCAAAATCTTTCAACTCTATCAATTTAATCGCATCAACAACTCTGAAGGAGAAATTTCTCCACTTCGAAATCGAGGGCAGGAGAAATTTATCAATTTCTACAAGGAAAGTTACTACTCCGTAAAAATTATCTCAGCATCAAGCATGGAAGAATCTTCCAACGCAGCTACGTCTTTGTAATCTCTCAATCAACATTTCCCATCGATGAACCCCTGAAGCAGAAATTCAGGCATCAAGAAACTGAGGTCAGAAGATTTCGGAAAATGTTCGGGAATCTTCAACTTCAAGATCTACATTTACACTCAAGATTTCTCCCGAAAAAAGGAACTGTACACCAGATGGGTGTACACTTCAAACATCAACTTATGGACACTGTCCAGACGATACAATCTTTCATGTCGAGGTTGGCAAATCGCATCAGTACCTTGGAAAGAGATGCTTCTCCATTTCCAAGGTATCTTTTTGCCGCACCAGACAAAGAAGGATGAGTTCAGAAGATTTCAGTAAGTGTAAAGGATCAATTTGAAGCTCCTTGTTTGTGAATCTGGAGAAAAGGCACTCACTTATTCTTTACCCTTTTTCTCCTTGCAGAGTTTCTGAAACCTTGAGCAGAAGGCGAAGCTGAAACCTTTCCGAGCTCTACTCGAAAAATTTATCCAATTCTACTCGAAACCACACCCAGACCAGACATCCTTAATAAAATTGTATCTTGGAAACTTCATCTGCAACCACATTCTCCTACATTGAAGCACAAGGAGACATTTCATGTTGGCTGATAATTCAGAAAGCTTGCCCGGATGTCCTCACCAGCTCCTGTACTGGAATTAGGGTTCATCAGGTAAAGTCTGAAAGAAAAAAAACACAGCACATGAGAAGTGATCTTCTTTGCTCGTATGTGTTTTGCAGATAAAAATGGATACTCATGCTTGCTTGGAAGTATCAGTATTCCGTATTCCAATTAGTACGAAACATCAAACTTGTTCTTTCTTTTTCATATTTGCTTGTCTGAAACAAGCGTGTTCTTATGTAACCCTGGAGTGTATTAGACATTTGTAATAGACGTAAGAAGTGTGTTAACTGATCTTTGAGTTTGTCCTCTCTCTCTCTGTTGGTTCTTGGTTTCGACTTTAACTCGGAATCTTTGCATGGTGATGGAAGCCATTAACGGTCGGTATTTGATTACGCTTATATTCGTTATGTCATCTCTTGTGTCGACATTTGATCGATGCGTGATCGTGTGTATTTAATTGTAGGGCTAATCGCATATAAATAACTGAATTTTTATAAAATTTTCAAATAAATCTCTGAATTACAAAACTTCCAAATCAATATCTAAATTTTTTAAAATTTCAATATAAATATCTAAACTTTTAAAAATCTTTCAAATACATCGATTTTTGTTGACGGCGTTAATCGACGTCGGATTCCGTTATAAATTAAACAGCGTTAATGGAATTTGGTTGTATTTGGAAGTTTTTTAAAAGTTTGGGTATTTATATAAAAGTTTTGAAAATTTCAGATATTTATTTGAGAGTTTTATAGTTCATGTATTTATTTGGAAATTTTGTAAAAATTCAGTTATTTATATGCGATTATCTTTTATATACGTAAATAAAATTTGAAGGTACCTTAAAGTTAGTAAGTCGGATCGTTTTTTCATTAAATGTGTATATATATATCGTTGTTCGTGTATCTTCATCTATCCATAACGCAAATTATTAAAGATGATTAAATTAATACGTCGAGTTAATTTTGGGTTTCCGCGTAATTGCTGGGAATCTACGGGGGCAATTTCGTCATTTGATGTCATCGACATCTACTAGAAGCAAGCGATTGCCCAACTTCGGCCGGCGTTCGCGTAACGCAGGTCGGCGTTTGAGACAACAACGCAATCGCTATAACAACATAGGTTTTATTTTCGCTTCAAGTCTTTCCAAACCATTTCGTAAATGGCTTCAAACGCTCGACGAACCCTAACAAGACCAACAGAAGCATATATATTTCCGCAATACCGTCTCTTATATATATATATGTATGTATGTATGGTTGTAGCCTTGTAGCACATTATATATATATATATATATATGTGTGTGTGTGTGTATATATCACATGCTGGTATCATGCGTATCTTAGCAACCTATTAATTTAATGGAGTAGGCATACAGCTTTTGTTTATTTCGTTAGTCTCGATGGTTTTCTCTTCGCTTTGTAACCTAAATCTGTCGGCTAAATCACTTTATTTATTAATTGTTACATTTTAAACAAAAATGAATCACCAAAACATTTATCATTTGTTGTCAAGACACAAATTGCACATCCAAGTGTTTCGGATGTTACAGTCTGATTCAAACATTACATAGTGCTACTATATGTAAAAAAATATATATACTAACAAGGGGAAGAAATTAAAAAACTAGGAAATTAAATTAACTTATAAATAAGGTTCATAAAAGAATAACCGCTATGTATATACCATATGCCTTTGTATCATTTGGTCTGATCAAAATTCTGAATCTTATCATATTTCATATACTGTATCGATATATATATATATATATATAGCTAATTAGAATGCAGCAACGTCATATTCGTGTATCTTTGATGTTTATAATGTGGACTAACGAATCGATAACAATTTGAGCTTCCTTTTAATCCTGCATTTATATATATATAATGAACTGCAAGAGCTTCTAAGAGTGTACGAAGCCAGCAAGTAAAACTTCCCAACAAAATGTTTGTACTTTAAAACTCGTTAGGGAGAACTTAATTTGGACAGACAAACAATATACATAATTACATATATTCAGCTATATATAGTGAATATAGATTTGTATGTAACCGTGGCTATATATATTAATTAATGGTCTCAATAGCATGTTGGGTGAACTCAATGCGACATATATATACACAATATGTCACTAGATCAGCACAATGTTTTGTCCATTGAATTCATTAAGTTTAAAACTCTATATATGGGTGTTTATCTCCACACTACAACACACACATATATATATATAAAATAAAACGTAATATGCATGCATGGTTCTATATATTCATGTCATAATAGGAAAGAAAATGCTTAGACAATGAATGAAGAGTGATGCAGACAAGAAGGACGGGAGAAAACAAAAGGGTTCATCACCACAAATCCACATAAAGAAAAAAATAAATTGTTATAACAATTAATGCTTCAGCAAATGTGAAAACAGATCATATATACCTTTTAAAGCTATCTTTCTTCATTTATTTATTTATTTATTTTTTTAAATAATAATATAATATGAATCTGATGCACATCTCCTGCAATGTCTGCATAACTAACGAGCAGCAGCAACAGCCGTAACAGTAAATAACCAAACAAAGAAACCATGAAACAAGAGAGATAAACAATAATGACACAGACGACATTTTCACAGTTCACTTTCTATTTTTTGTCCAAGGCAAACCCATCTCTCTCTGCAAATCTTCTGACCACAAGAGACATTACAAAGAAAGAGAGGGATATGGGTTTACACTGATCCCAATCCCAGTTCACTCTGTACATAAATCCATCGATATCTCCTCCCATTCTTCCTCTTCCATAATTCTCTATATACTCACTTTCCTACTTTATTACAATATATAAGTGTGTGTGTATATGTGTATATATATATGCAGAATCCAGCTATTGTACGTAATCTAAGATATAAAGTAAGAAAGATGCATAGTAAACATAAAAAGCATTGATCTTGATTCAAGAGAGGGTGCAAGAAAATTAACTTAAAGCTTTTTAAATTATATCAATGAAAAGATGCGTGTGAATTCATATTGTACGCAATTACATTCCGAAGCTTTCATATCCTAGTTGCTATGTACACGATTTGTGCCAAAGCTTTCGACTTCAAGCTTTGGAACCACAATAGAATCAAACAAAGACCAGCTTCTACTGAGTTGTAAACTGAATCAAATCATTCCAAATTCCTCTTCCCACAACCTTTCTTAGAGTGTTATTTCTTGAAAATATCATAAAAATTGAATCTTTATGATGCATTCTGGTGTCATATACCACCTCCGATCTCTCTCTCTATATACGTATATAATTGATCATATCTATCTACGATTCATATATGTATATTGTGATTTTCACCGATGCAAATGGATAAAGACTTTCCTTTTTTGGAGAAGCGATGATCATCAGCTGCTTCCACCATCGAAGACTTCCCGCTGCTCGCGAGCCTCGGCTGAAGCGACGATGAAGTGGCAGTACCCACTGCGCCACGTGGCATATTCCCACCGGAAGACAAAGATTCTTCCTGATCCGTACAACTGTTCGTACTCCCGCAGTCCATGTCCACTCCGAACAGCCTCAGCCTCTTCCCCGCCGCCGCAACAACCGGCTGAGCTCTTCTGTGCACCACCGGCACCGATTCGATTACGATTGCCTCCTCCGCCACAGCCACCGGATTCCTCTCCAGTGACCTGACGTAGTATCCCCCCATGGAATTGCCATACCCATAGCCCAAATCTCGCGGAAATTGATAATGATGACGATGCTGATACGAAAGATTGTAACTTTCGCGGTTGAAGCTCTGGAAATTCCCGTAGTTTCTGGGAATGGTGACGACGGGCTGAGGAAAAGCGTAAAACCTAGGGAACATGGTTCCAGCGAAGTGTGCGATGGATGTAGGGTCGGGGACCTTTGGTCGTCTCCCCCAATCGATGAACAAACTGTTCCTGCCGATTTCTCCGACACCTCGTTGGAATGAGACGATGTCTCCGGCGTCGAGCTTTTTGTCCTTGACGAAGCGGCTCCATCCCTTTGTCATGACGTAGCTCTGGCTGCTGTTCCAGTAGGAGTACCTGAACCGCCATGATTTTCCTGTCCGATCCTCGAAGTTGAGAAGCAATCCTTTTTCGTTGGAGGACGAGTCCAAGGGGAAGTATCTCTCCGCGTACTGCTTCGGGATTACGAGGCGGTTCAATTTCCCGACATCGCTTGGCGTCACGACCTTATCGAACATGTGTTCCTTCTCAATGTTACTTGATGATCCTCCTGGTTGCACGCCCTTTGCTTCTTCTTCTTCGTGTATTTTCGCCGCCGAAAGGTTCATCATGTTCTCGGGCAAGTTAATTTCAGATCCCTTTGTGCCTCTGCTGCTACTGGTGATGCACTATAATTCGCCCTTTTGCATGAAACTCACGGCGACCCACTTTCGGATTCTGATATCTTTCCCACTTTCAGAAGTCTTCTGCTAGAATCAGATGAACAAAACCAGGTGTTGAACTCAGAAATGTTTCTCTAAAGAACCGGAAATGAAAGATCTGGCGGATCCGATGCGCCTGCTGCTGCTGTATCTGTGATTGGTGTTGCTTTTCTTCATCAATCTTTATGGTCGCCGTGGAAATTGCACGGAGAAAAGAAGTCGCCTTGCCGGAGAAAACACCAGGAGGCCTCCACTCTTTACTCTCTCTCTCCCCCTTTGAAATGAGCAATAGAAACCCTAATTTCCTGAAGAAGAAAACCGGAGGAGGAGGAGGCGAAAGGGTTAGTCTGCTTTGCCGCTGTGATTGACCTAATATGGATATGGAGGGTGGGTTTTACCTAACTTAACTGATAAAATGCTCCTCCTCCCTCGAAGCTTAAAGGCTCCAGTGTTGTATGGAGAGATGCATGTATAGTTATGAAGATATTCTGAAGAAATTAAAAGGAAGAAGGCGATAAAAAGGCGAAAGCTCCCCTCATAAGATTGATGGAGATATGGGTGAGGAGAGTAATACTCATCCACTGGGCCCCATGAATCATCTGGTTCTGTTCATGTGAGCTTCTTGTCCTTTTTCCACCATCCTCGTTTCTTTTTCTTCTTATACATATATGTTCACATACATGTATGTGTCCGTGTGTATATATCGATCTCTGTGTGTGTGTGTGTGTTTACCCTTGTCGAAATGACGTGAATCAAACCTCTTGATACCATAGTATTAATTAGTAATGCCCATTATCGGTCGAACCAATAACAAAAATTATTGAATTTCACGGTTATACAGGAATCCAATGACCTCCCATGAATTCGATCGTTCCATTCCATTCCCGATCAAACCGGTCAAACATATTCGAAAAAGAAATGGTTGGTTAGGGAGAAAAAAGAGACGGTGTCGTGAGGTAGGGGAGGAGGGGGTGTTTTTGGTCCTCTCGTTACAAATTAAAAATCAAGAGTATCTAAAATAAAATAAAATAATTTCAAGACTTTTGAAATAACGAGCCATGACTAATAAATGCTAATTATTGAGGGGTTGCAATTCGCTTTCGTTAGGACTAAGGTGACATGTTGTTTCAGTTTTGGTATTTACTGTTGACTTTTTGTTTGCCCCCATTATTCTCATCTAATGTGCTTCACTTTATTGCACACTAACCCTGTTTTTATAAAGTATATGTTATAAAATATGAGTGTATATACACACCAAATGTTACATATATACGTATAGATGATATATATAAGATACATCATCGATCCACTTGTACGAGATTCCCCCGTTATAGATATTCACGATTTTTTTTTTTACCATATATTGTCGTTTTGTAATCCCATTTCATTTTTTAATTCATATTTTCAGTGGTCACCCAAAAAAAAAATTGTTTGGCACGTTTATGTCTCAAGTGTCAAGTATAAACCTAACTATGTTAATTACCAAGATAGGTAGTTAGAACCTAACAAAGAGATGGTTATGATCATTCATTTTCGTACTATATATACATAAATATAGATATATAAGGTTTTATGTACATATTAATTTTAAGATTATTAGGGTGATCTTGACGTGGACAGGTTTGAAAAAAAATATGTTATTCTTTGAAATTATCAAACCAAAAGAGGGGCCAAATTTCACGAATGATATGATGGTGCATATTTTTTTGAATTTCAATGACGAATTTATATATATATATATATATATATACAGTGGCGGATCCAGAAATTTTTTAAAGTGGGAACAATAGTTATAAATTTTATATAAAATACAAAAAAATTAAAAATAATAAAAATATATCGTTATAAAAATATTCATATGTTCTATAACTGAATTTTATAGTCCTTCGCGTTTTAATATATTTATAATAACTTTATTTTTAACCATCTAAAAATATATCATTTTTCGGTTAAATAAATTAGACAATCATTCAAAAACTGATAACTAATTTGATTGCACAAAATTATCTTCGCAAAGTTTATCGTTAAAAACATCTATCAACAGTTACGGTGACAACGAATAAAATTAAAATTATATCAATAGATATGAAAGATATTTTTTTGTTTCTACCGTAACACGAATAAGATCTTCAAAATTAGTCAAATTAGAAAATTTATATTCTTCTATCAAATTATCGATGCAGATAAATATATGTAATAATAAATTTATGAGTATAATCAAAATATAAAAACTAATAAATAAACAAAAAATAAGAATTAATTAAAATAAAAATCATAACATTTATATACTTTTAATTTTATTGTTAACAAAATTGGTTGTTTTTTGTGATTGAATATTAGATTTGTATATATTGTTTAGAAAAAAATTTGAATAATTAAAAAAATAGATAAAAAAATCAAGAATAAAACAAAACTAGATTTGTTTGATCCAAAGAAATAATTTTTAAAAAACAAACAGAACAAAGGGGGCCATATTACGTTTATATAGGGGGCATTTTACATTTTTTATTAAAATTTTATAAAATTTATAACTAAATCAATTTTTTTTACCTAAATTAGTGGGGGCATGGGACCCCACTCCTATGTACGTAGATCCGCCCATGTATATATATATATATATATATATATATATCCTGTGCTTGTGGTAAGAAATTATTTTATGTTTTCATCACCTCCTAAGTGTATCGAATCGAATCATTAGTAACATACATATTTATAGTAATTTTCAATTGTTTTTATGTGGATAGCATATTATTATGAATTATAAAATATAATATTCTAAGATTATATAAATGCTAGATTTATGTAAACTTTCCCGAACATTGTAAATCCCATTCAGCGCGATGAACGTTAGAGTTTGCGCATTGCGGAGGAATAAAGAGGGGCTTAAATCAATCAATGTATACAGAAAACGGAACGATGAATATAAACACTAATCAAAGATAATAAATAGATAAATAAATAAATAAATAAAAATAGCACAGTATTTTCCCTTGTGGACCGACCAAAGTATCTTAGAGTTTAGGGCTCAAGACATAATTTTTTTTATGAAAAAAAAAAAGAAAAGAAAAGTCGATACGAATATCCAGCGCATTTGTACTGACATCGAGCAAATATATGTGTTGCTCTAGAACATGACACGTTGCACTTTAACCTCACAATTAATTAAAACCGTGTTTTTTATTTGTTGTAAATAACCGTGTTGTTTCTTCCCATCTATGTTTTAATTATTTTATTTTTGTTTTTATTATTTTGACGTGGTCCTGATAGAGACCAAGCAAAAGCATCTCTCTCTTTCCCCAATGGGCTAATCAAAGCATGATTAAGATAGATAAATTAAGTCTTAATACAGAGCTTTAAGTCAGAGATTAATTAACTAAATAAAACGATTAAAAAAAAAATACAAGCAGTAGGTGAAGGAACATTGATCAACGTGGTCCTAAATCTCATCTCCCCCATCACATAATTGGTTGGTCATGGAACCTCCATATGCGATGCGCTGTTTTCTTCTGCTTGATAAACTAATTAACAACCTCGCATATTTTATTAATTAATTATAGTTTTTCGGCCTATTCTCTTCATTACCGAAATTAACTAATTAATTAATTCGATAACGTATCGTATGGATTCCGGGCGTATCATAATATCCGGATTCAAGTTGGGATGTACATAAATCGGTACGTCCACCGTTACCGTCGACTTGGAATTAAATTATCTCAGCAAACTATATGACCACTCAAACCAAAAGATTTCTACATTCTGCAAAATATATATATATATATATAAAAGGCTAAGCGATTATTATTTTTTAATATTTGTATATAAAGATGAAGAAACTACGAGGAAATATTGTGTTGGCCTTTTCAAAGCTATAAAAGCAAGTCCTATTTCTCTAATAGCCAAGGGACCGCTCTATTTCCATTCTCTCTCTCTCTTAATTATTTCATTTATATTTACTTTTTTTTTGTGTTCCTAAGATTGTCAAATCACAGATTCCGTTCGAGAGGGAAACAGCATGTGAATTTGATTCTTAATTTTTCAAAGATGCGGGCTTGGAGAATAACGCAAGAAGAGCCATATCGGAGACTATTTATATGCATGATTTAATTGACTTTGATAAGCATCTTAATGTTAATCGACCGACGTGACTGCATGGACCTTCGATCACATCAAGTGAAAAAGTTGCCATCTTTGAAACCCGGATATGTATTAATTAGTATAACATGTTTTATGTTATCTGCTTTTACAGGAACCGGTCATTTAATTATACTTGTAATTTGAGTTTGTTTAATATGCTTTTGGAATTTAATTATATATATACATATATATATAAATAAACAAAACATGAAAGATGGGAAAGTGGGAGAGTGGGGATATATATATATATGTATGTATGTATAATGTGAGGGGAGGAGTAGGTAACAGAGAGATGGAGAGGAAAGAGGCTTAGACTAAGGACCACAAAATGCAAACTTAAATAAAATAAGCAGAAGAACAGGTCTTTTAGTTTTCATAGTTGGCTCTTCACTCTTTCTTCTTGGGTTTGTCCTAATTAAACCCTCTCCTTCATCTAGAATCTTTGAGTCCCCAATTGAAATTACATAAATACAACATATATTTTCGGATATTATGGACTTCATCCATATTTCTCGGCATCTAAAACCATATTAGAAATGTTTCATCCTGTACTTGTGATAAAAAAAAAGTCGAATATTTTATGTGAAGTAAGTAATAAGCATTACAGTCCCGAGTGACATTTTGGATCTCTACTCTATATATATATATATATTGTTGTCGCTTGGTTGTTTAGATGAAAAATAGTACGGCTCAAATTATTCCAAAGGGTTATTAATGTCGTCCTATATACAACATTCATTCTATATCGAAAGAACATAGTATGACTTTTAAAAAAAATGTTATATTCAGAGAATAATCGCCATGCATGCAGAAATAGGACACAGTTATTAGGGTTTCTCGTTTCTCTTTATATATATATATATATATATATATGTATATGATTTTGTAAAATTGAATTTGGACCGACTCGATCTGGTGGGGGCAGCCGTGTTAATTAAATTGAGCATTATATGTGCATGTATCGCGACAGTATTGTACACACTACACAGTGGGGAAAATAATATAAATATTTTAATTAAAAAGTTTATTACATGTGGGGGAAAAGATAAGTCGCCATCAAATGGTAGTGGTAAAATAGAAGGCGGTCCATTTTAATATTACGTGTATATATATATAATATAAGATGGAGAATATATCGGTGCGATAATGGCAACAACATGCCCCTCCAACTGTCATTTACCCCATGGTCTATGACCCTCTCTCTCTCTCTAGCCAACCCTCTACATCGTCTTTATTTTTTTCCTTAGATTTTATTATATGTATGTGTGTGCTAATATCTAATAATGTCACATTAATGTTAATACTTAATATATTATAAAATTTAAAATTAAAATAAAGTAAAACCAATACAATCCGAAGATATATTGATGGAAGCCGATACTGTAGTCTTTCGCATATTCTATTCAGCCGACATCGTCTTTGTAATTTTTTTTTATAGAAGTTTAACATTCTCTTCGAATCAAATCAATACAACTTGTAAAATAACCTTTCTTCGCTTCTTGTGCTTAGCATTTACATATTTTTATAAATAGAGAGAGATATTTCACGTTCATTACATCATGTATTTTAATATGGAGAGAACCGTCCAAAGTTGTGCATGCCACGCATTTTATACGAGAATATACATGCATGTATACACATGCTACCACCGAGCCTAATTAATTAGAAATTTAAAGGGTAACAATAAATGCACAATGTGCATATATAACGATATAATACAAATTGTATAAGGTGGGGTCCTTTTGTAAGGAAAAGGGGGACACAAGGATCATCCAGGTAGATCAGGGGGGCGATCGAGTGGAGTCTTTGTAGGAAAAATTCCATACGTCTTATTTAAATATTTGTTGTAATGAAAAGAGCATATCATATAATGCATCATATAAATTATATGTATAGACAATAAATACATATGTATAGAGAGGGAATTTGGCAGTCTTTCTATATGGCGCCTCTGCTGCAAAAAGTCAGCTGCCTCTCTAGCCCCTATATACACATTCATTCACTGCTCCCCCAATTAACCCCACTCCCAGCACATACATACATACATACATACATACATACATACATACATATATATATAGATATATAACGCGTAAATAATAGAAAAGTTGCACTATTTAGGAAAAAGAAGGTATTGTTGGATGAGCATGAGAGAAAAATAATTGTTTTGAGCAAATAATTTTTTATGAAAATGATTTTTCACATTTTAAAATAAGAATTCGACAGAAAAAATAGAATACATAAAATGAATAAAAATCAGAAATATCGAATCTTAGAATAAATGATGGAAGGGCTGAAGAAATTATTGAGGCTTGAAAGATGGGGGAAGAGTGGTCCCAATGAGGCCCAATGAAAATAAAGACAGAATCCATCAACGTATATGCCTCTTCCCTTCTGTCGCTTTCCCCCTTTTTCTCACCCCAAATCACACACGTGTGTGTATATAATTACATGTATATATATATACCACAGTATCGTGTAGATTTGGTGGGGGAAAAAAAGCCCAATCTTGATGGGCCTATGGATCCATCCAAGCCCACAAAGTGGCCCAATTGATCAATCAACTTAAAAGTTGCCCAAAACATCAATGGTTACATATCAATCGCATAGTTCAAGATTACAAAGAAGCAATTTAACAAAAAAAGGTTAATACCCATTAGTATAGATGACCATAATGATATTCGATATATAAAAAAAGGAAATTCGAAGCAGAGCAAGCGAATGTAAACATCTGTGAGTGGCAAAACGGTAATTTGTTCACCTCCTCAAGGTGTGCAGAATGTATTCGGCGTAGAGGTCCCTGCATGCATGCACACACGCACGCAGAGAAGTTAATTCGTATTTTCTTCATATTTAATCTCATTAACACGTTTCCATGGAAACTTACATGGAGTATTGGATGGCTTCTACAGCTGTCTCCGATGGCAGGAAGTCGTTCACTGCCACCTTCTTGTTCTCGTTCTTCTTGTCTGAGCAATCAATCACGTTAAAGCAAATCAATCCAATGCAAAACACACACTCTCTCTCTCTCTCTATATATATATACATATATACACAAACACACAAATGGGTTAAAACGAGAGAATACAATCTTCGAAGAAGCGGCGGATTTCAGAGAGGCGGTGAGGAGCAAGTTGTTTGATGTCGGTGAAATGTTTGTACTCTGGATCGTCAGCACATACCGCGATGATCTTGTCATCTTTCTCTCCCTGCAGGAAAATTAATAGACAAAATCACGTGAAGACAAAGCTCGGTTAATCTTTGGTTTCAGAGCTATACCCTGTTCTTATCTCCCTATTTCCATGGATAGTGGTGAATTTCAGACATTGAGAATGGAAAAAGTTGCAGAAGAAGAACCTGGTCGATCATAGGCATCAGTCCAATGGCTCTGGCTCGGAGGAAACACCCTGGAAGCACCGGTTCCTACATTCAAGAATCTGATGAGGTTAATTCTCTGGATCATGAGAGAGGGCAATTGACATATATAGATAAATACACAACCTGCATTAGGACAAGAACATCGAGAGGATCATTGTCTTCGCACAAAGTACGAGGGATAAATCCATAGTTGTGAGGGTAGACCACCGAAGAGTACAAGACCCTGTCGACCTGAGAATCATTCATCCATCTATATGATCAGAGAAAATGATACATCAAAATTTTTATTGGCGTTTTGGGTTTGTGTATATACCTTGATAAGGCCGGTCTTCTTGTCAAGTTCATATTTCACTTTGCTTCCCTTTGTAATCTCAACCACCTGAAGCATGAACAATGCGTATCAGAGAGGTGAATTACTTTGCACCGAGAGGAAAATGGAAAAAGTTTCTCGGGTTTGAAGAAAGACTCACCACATTGACGATCAAAGGTGCTTCAGGTCCTGAAAATTTACAACATTTTTTTTTCAGAAAACGTAGTCTTACGCAATTCTAGGACAGAAACAAGGAAGGAAACAACGTTAACAATTGTGAGTTTGATCTTATTGGAAGATCGGTTACCGAGCTCAAGGTCGTGCCATGGATGTGCGGCTACAGATCTCCTGGACAGAGATGAGAGGATCCTCTCGTTGAGCTTCGGAACTGGGCGAGGAGATTGAGCATCTTGTCCTGTTTCTTCGCTCATCTGTTATAAAAAAGTATGAGCAAGAATGACAGAGAGGAAGAAGCAGACAATTATGCCAGGAAACATAACCCCATCCGCATAAATTAGATATACGATTGATAATATCAACGGAAATGCAGAAACAGAGGGTTCATCAATGGCAATCTAGGGAACCAACAGCATGTGCAGTTGATCCAATGCGAATATTGCTGTTAAGAATTAGACAGAACGGATGGGTGGGAGACAGAAACAAACCCATAAAGAATTGCATTTGGAGAAATTATAGATCTTTCGACAAAACCCAGAAGAAACAACATCGAGAAACATCGACCTTAGAGAACTAACAAACCCATAAAAGAACATCACTTTCGAATTTGAACTCAAACCAATAACAATGGAAGAAGACTCCTGTACCTTGGACCTTCTCAAGAGACCAAAAAAATGAAAGTTGCGATTGCGAATGAAGACCTTGAAAGTGAATGAAAAAGACAATTCGACGTGTATATATATATGTACAAGAGATCAACAGAGTTTAAAAATAGCACAGGATTTGGTCAAATCGCTTTGAGTCAGACAAGCCTCGTGTCCGAAAGGGAGAAAATGTTTCTCAGCCTTTCAATTTCTTCAAAAAAAATTCGCAAAACATGCCCAAAAAATTATTACTTTATTCATCATCATCATTATTATAATTCCATTCATTGCACTAGTCCATAGTTTTGCCTAGAATCTATGGCAGCTGCCCCAACCAATCCCTCGGTTGCTCGCTCGCACGTTGTTTACTACGTGCTCGCCAATCGCTTTCACGAACACTCACTGAACTAAAAATCCTCGTCATCTCGAGATGGATGATGGATCAAACCTTGAAAATTTCACTTCAGTGGATTCACAGAAGTTTCTTTACTCACGATCAAAGGAGGTTAAATAACTTACATCTCCAAATCCCGAAACCCTTTTTCCGGATCCTGAGTTTCACGTGCATCCATGGTTGATTTCCGACTCCTTCCTCTCCTCCGCCACCGATAATCTCTGTCGCGGCCATCCACTGTCCCGAATTTTGAACTCCTCCGAACAAATTGGGCAGCATCTCCAACTATGCCCATCTCCCTGAAATGCAAATCACAGGATCGTACAAGCGACAGATCGACAACTTCCTCAAGCTTCCCATGGACCTGGTAATGGGCCTTGTGATGGGCCTGAATCCATTCATTACATAATCACGGGCCTGATATGGGCCTAGTGACGTGGCGTTCATGTGAAACATGTGGAAATTCATTGGGCCCCACAAACTCCGCCAGGTCAAAGATTACGTCTTCGATACAAGTTCTCTTCAAATCTTTTTTTCCCCTTCAAGTAAAAATCAGAGTTGATTCTGTTTTTTTTTTTTTGTTAAAATGATTCTGTTTTTTTTTTATATAAATTATCTTCTATTTTTTTAATTATCTTATATTCTTTTTTTTTAACCGCATCGATCTTAATCATAAGCGGCGAATTTTACGGGATTTAATTTCCTTTTTTTAATTCAGGATACATGATATAATGTATACATATCTGTATATGTACAAATCTTTGTTACATTTTTTCTGTATATAATTAAAATATGCATATGAATAGGTGAAGAGAATATATCTGTGAGGCTAGAAATATCTTATTCAACGTTAAAACAACGTGTTCTGCTAATGTACGGTTGAAAAATGAATTGATTTGGTTCCATGAATCTATATACAAATGCCGAAACTCGTGATGAACATGTTTAAGACAGATTGTTGCTAGATTTAGACGCATCTCGTCCTGAGCTACGTTTTTTTACAGCTTCATCAAAATAGCTACACGTGGCATTAAACCAAAGAGACGACCTTTATTCATAAAATTAATTAAAAAAATTACATTACACGATGGAAACTAAAAATTAATTATACAAAATATTAATTTTATCACAAGAAGAATTGTTGTTCAATTAAACTGCGACCCGATTCGATTGGTGAGAAGAAAAAGCGACCATATCTCTTCGTATTTTTTTTCCCTTGTGGAATTCAATTTCACGAAAGATGAAATCACGACGTCAATTAAAAGGTTTCTTCTCGGCATTGAGGAAACTGTTGCCCATAAGCTAAACCTCTCTCTCTCTAAATCCAAAAGAAAAGAAATAGAAGAAGAAGAAGAAGAAGAAGACGAAGAGAAACCATAAGAGAGAAAAAAAGGTTCGTCCTTTGCTGATATATATATATATATATATATATATATATATATATATTATATTCACTACATCGTATCCTCGCGTTAACAATAAATGGTTGTTTAAAATCCGGTGAGAAGGAAAAAAAACAAAATCTGATTTTTTTTTTATAGCCAAACAGTTCGTCGTCATCGGTGGGAGTAGAAGAAGCAAGCAATGGAGCTCAGAACAAGTAGGAATCCGAATTCGGAAGTGTAGAGTTCGGGTCAACCCAGATGGACGAGGCACGACTTGTGGGCGACTACGTGCTCGGCCCGAGAATCGGGTCGGGTTCGTTCGCGGTGGTGTGGCGAGCGAGTCACCGGTCGTCGGGTTCGGAGGTCGCCGTCAAGGAGATTGACAAGAAACTTCTCAGCCCCAAGGTCAGAGATAATCTGCTCAAGGAGATTTCGATCCTCAGCACCATCGATCATCCCAATATCATTCGATTCCACGAGGCCATCGAGGTTGCTTAATTCTCCAATTTTTTTTCCTTCTGGGTTTTTGTTGCTCTACGAAAAGTACGATCAGAATTCTGGATTTGTGTTACGGTTTTACTTGGAATCTTCTTGGAACTAAGTTCGATTTACGATATCGTTTTCCGGGTCAGTGATATTTTCCCAGAATAACAAGTTTCAATATTCGATTGAACTCTGCGTTTTTTTCGTCTGGGTTGCTGATGATTCGATGCTAATGGGAATTTGGATTTTGTTCCCCATATTTTTCGCATGAATCGTAGACCAGCGATAGGATATATCTCGTCTTGGAGTACTGTGGCGGAGGTGATCTTGCTGGGTATATTTATCGCCATGGAAAAGTCTCAGAACATGTTGCTAGGCATTTTATGAGGCAACTGGGTAAGTATCTGATCTTGTTCATTCGTTTTAATGGCAGAGAGAATCTGGTGGTTTCTTAATAAGTTGTTTTTCATGGCTGTAAGAGTAGAAGAATGTACTACTTGGTGTCATGTCTCAGAATGTCAAGAAAGTTTTGTCCTTTTAATTGCTGAACCTGAGAACCAGTTAAAGAGGTTCTGTGAATTGTGTTGTACAGCTGCAGGGTTGCAAGTACTTCAAGAGAAGCATCTTATTCACCGCGATTTAAAGCCTCAGGTACTTCGCTACTTGCCCGTTGATTTTCTGCTTGAGCGCTGTGGTTCAGAATTTTCGGTTAATCTGTTATTTTTTGAGATTTGAATTAAGATACCTCGGAAAGCTGCATCCGTAAGTTGGCATATGGTAGAGTTTATCCTGGTTCTTTCTTTTGTGAAATTGCAGAATCTACTTCTATCTACGAATGAAGTAACTCCGTTGCTAAAGATAGGTGATTTTGGGTTTGCAAGGTAACTTGTGTGTCTCATATCTCCGTAATTATTGCTTCATTAAAGGTCATGGTTTTGTGAAAGCTTGTGCTAAGCTATCAACTGTACCCTTTTGAACTACCGTTTTATCTATTGTCTGATACTACATAGGACATGTGTCTAATGTTTTTCTGTTAAGATCGTAAGGAAAAAGCAATGTTGATCAATTTTAGGAGATGTTTTTTTAGTGTGTGGTTCGTTGTAGATCGGTGAAACTTTTTTTAGTCTGTACAGGTGTGGTCTGTGCATATAGTTCTAGGTTCTGAAGTTTATGAACTAATACGGTATTAGTAGAGCATGGATCAACTTTGATAGATTCACTTTCTTCATGCCCAATAATTTTCTGTAATAATCTTTCGATGGCAGATCTTTGACACCTCAAAACCTAGCCGACACTTTTTGTGGTTCTCCATTGTACATGGCTCCAGAAATCATTCAGAATCAAAAGTACGATGCAAAGGTGAAGGAACTACATCAATTTATGGAGAAGTTCATCTTTCTTTGTCTTACTGTTTTCTTTCTAATGATAATGGTATCATAGGCTGACTTATGGAGTGCTGGTGCGATTTTGTATCAACTGGTGACCGGAAAACCACCTTTTGATGGCAATAATCACATTCAGGTTTGTGTCACTGGACAAATGATTTGCTTTTATGCATTAATCTGAAGAAGAACCTTCAAAGGTGTTAGTGGTTGTCCTTTTTATTTACAGCTTTTCCAGAACATTGTGAGAGGCAGTGACCTGCAATTCCCTGAAGATCCTCTGCAGGAAATACATCTAGATTGCATTGATCTCTGCAGAAGTCTTCTACGCCGCAATCCAAGTATATATTTTTTTGAATCTGCATTGATTCTGTATTCGTCTCCTTGTTTATATGTATGGTATTGGTCAATGAAAGTAAGTTTATGTGATGTTCTGACTGCAGTTGAGCGGTTGACATTCAGGGAGTTCTTTAATCACAAGTTTCTTCAGATGCCGAGGTAATGCCTTGAACTCCATTTTTCTGTGCCTGAAGCTTCTGATTTAACCAGTCAGAACCTTTGTCATACTCAATTCTTTCTTCTGGGGTTAAACTGGCGCACGAAATGCTGTAGACCATCGTTGCTGGATGTTGAGCAGTCACAGTCATATCCAACTCCACGAGCAGAATTAAGAGGGCATTCTGATTTATCTACCTCTGGTGAAAAGTCATTACTGCATTCACAACAACCAGGCAGCACATCCCGTATTAAAAAGAGTGTCAATGAGCAGAAGGGGGAAACATATAAAAATGATGGTGGAAGTTCATCTAGTACTTCAAGTCGTCACTTGTTCATCGAGGGACAATGTTCATCAAATCAACCTCCAGGTTTGTTGTTTGTATTCTTGTTCGGCCATCATGCTTCAGTTACCTCTCATAAGCTCAACCTCGGAATCACTTACCATGTTGTCATCTGTGCAGTTGTTGACTCGCTGGAGCTTATAGAGAGAGAGTATGTTCTTGTAAATCGTCCTTCTGTGTCAATGGAAGCTTCCTCCGAGTGTCTTGACACATCACAGCAAGAGACTGGGCTTCTTCCTAGTTCTAGTCTCGCAGAAAATCCATCGTCTAACATGTCAGGTCCACAACCAACGACGAGAACATATCTGGTAACGGAAGTGCAAAGATCAACTATGGTTCATCCCCCAACTAGACTCAAACTCTTACATCAGTATGCACAAACACTGACAGAATTAGCCCGTGAGATGGTAAATTAACTTCCTGGGCTTTCACTGAATTATCTCGTTTGGACATTTTCATCGATAAATTAAAGTATCCTATACGGTGGTGCAACAGTATAATGGAGGGCAGGTTAGGGAATCTTTTGCTGTCGACCTCGTTGTTCTGGCTATCTGGACAAAGGCTTTGGATATATGTGATTCTTGGATGATATCCGCTGGTGAGGATCTTCCACCCGAAACCAGTTCAAGAAGTGAACACAGGGCGAATCAAGGTCCAAGCACAGTCCCCGAGACTTCAGGTCTAGATTTCAGTTCACCATCATCTGCTAAAACCCGGGTGGCTGAAGAGTTTGTTATAGCATATAACCAGGCCGAGAATTCATCAACTCAGCTAAAAGAAACAAGTGGTAAACACTTGGCCAAGTTTTCAGATTAGCGCTTACCCTGTTCTGAGTTATGCACTCTTCTTGCTAAAGGCATTACCTCTGTTCTTTGCAGCTGCCTCTCATATGCCTGACGCCATGGAAACAATATACGAGAAAGCACTCACATATGGCAAGAATGGCGGGGTAAGCCCACAAAAAAAAGTTGTAACCTTTTCACACTTATCTATTACCCCAACCTAAAAGCCTGAAACTTTTGTGGTTTTTGGTTTTATAGGTGGAAGAATATATGAACAACAAGGCAAGTGCAGCAACACTATACAGCAAAGCAATTGTTCTACTCTCTTTTGTAGTTGAAGAAGCAGTGACTCTACCTCTAAGCCCTCCCTTCTCTTTAACACCTGACGACAAGAAGCGGATTCTCTTCTACATCTCTAACTTGCAGAATCGGCGGTCTCACTTGTAGCAAATTTGATGTTAATCTTATGCACTGTACAGAAAATTTCCCAGGCTCAGAATGCAACTCTTGGGTTTTGGATTTCTTCTTCAAGATGATTTGAAAACCATCATTCTATATTGATGACACCCAGTATTTACAGTATAGGTGAAGTATTTTATACTACAGGCAAGTGGTTTATGATCACTCGATCAGGTATGCATTGCAAATGTTAGAACGAATATCAAAGTTGTGGATAATACAAATACAAATACAAATGCATCAGACAGGCATAATAATATCAAATTGTCTAGGAATTAAAGAAAATTAAAAAAAAAAGACCATATGGTAATAAGTCTTTCAAATCTTCAAGTTGAAGCTTCACTTTCCAGGCGAATGCGTTTAGAATCTTTCTGCTCAGCCTGGTTGAGGGAGGTGGTGTCGATGATTGTGTTGTCTTTTGCTTCAACTGAACATCTTTTGTAAGGCTTGAAACCTGTTCTTCCCTTAAGCTTTGATGTCCCTAATCCGATACCTAGAAATCCTTTCTGGTCTGTGTTTTCCCTGCCGCTTCCCAAACCGTCTCCCTTCTCCTCCTCTTGATGATCACTGTCAGCGGCCCGAGCCTTGCTGTTAAGGTCGAGAGCCAGAGTCTCTCCGTTTTCTCTTTCCGTGTTTTTCTTCGTCTCCTCGTCTTTGTTTTCTGTCCGGTTTTTCTTTTTTTTGGCGTCGTGTGGGGGTGAAAAGCTTTGTGGCAATACCGCCCTTGAGAAGAGAGCTTGAAAGGCCAGTCGTCCCTGAAATAAATGAGTATGGAATTGGCGTAAGGGGTGAATAATGAATTTAATTTGAAAGTCCAGATTTGCAAAAACAGTACCTCATTGGACACCGACTTCCATGGGTCAGTTAAGTTGTTAGTACTTCTACTGCGACGAGTGTTAGACTCAGCTGCCGGTGGATTCGGGTCTGCATCAGCTTCTTTCACCTCATCATTGCCTTTCTCAAGCTTCTCAGATGCATCTGCTTCAACATCGCTACTAGAGGACGTGTTTGAGCCACACGAAGATCGGTCTACTACTTGTTTTGTGTTTTTGTCTCCATTTTGATCAGTCTCAGCTGCATGCTGCTCATTAGAGCCTGGCTTAGTTCCAGTTTCAGTCTTCCTTCTTTCGCTATCCTCCGAGTATGATGGTGAAGATACTGCTTTGGCGGGTGAAAATTGAGCCTTTGATGCCTCAAAGTTTTCTGGACCCTCTTCTCGACTCTGCAATGAAGGTTTCTGTAGAGTGTTCTCCTTTGGGTTTACCCTTGCGAGTGGAATCTGGCCATTATCATCAGATGGAGCTACATTTGTTGGAGGAGGATGGCAGGGGAAGGCAGAATGAAAAGGGCCACATAAAGGCAGCAAACCGTGAGCAGCCCACCAGGCAGTTGCAGCCGCAACAGTAGCGGCAGGGAGA